GGTGGCTTTCGTGACCATCTAGGATGAGGAGGCGTTTACCGGCAGTCATACGCGGTCTGGTATACTTGTCGAAATGCTGAATCCATTCCAAACCAATCTCATTCGTGGTCTACCCGTTGTCGGACACGGCCACTTTCTAATCGTGTGGTAATATTGTGTCGCGATACCATGACGCGAGGTGGGTTTTGCCCTGTAGAATGATGAACAACGGGACCACCCAACCATCAGCATTAACAGCAGAGATTGCTGTAGACCATTCCCTGTTGCCTTGCTGAGCTTGTCTAGGCCTGCCACGTCTTTCGGCGCTTGTAATGACCATGCCGGACCCAATAATGCCCATCATAAACCCAGTCTCGTCGAAGTTATAAATATCCGCGTCTTGGATACCATGTTTCGCGACTGCCACTGCAACTTGGCAAAACCACGCGCGATACGCGTCTGGATCCTCGTTCAAGACCCTCTGGTAGTCTATCTTTCGATGAAAACGCGTCCGGAGGCCTGGTGTATGTTTGATGAAGTTCCGCGTCCAGTTCTTTCCAACGCGTCTAGCCCCACGCGTCGCTAACAATTGATTCGCCATATCTTCAACATAACTGTACCGGGGCGGAAATGCTCGCGCATCCAGGTCGAGAATGAAGGAACAAATGGCATTCTCTTCGGAAACCATAAGTTTCAAAGTATTAGGCATGCTGTCGCGTCGTGATGGCATTCCTTTGACTCTATTACTCAAAGTGGAACAAGGGATATTAAAGAGTTTCGCAAGCTGAAATATAGGAATATGAGGGTCACGTCGTTTAGCTTGAACAGCTAGCTGCAAGTTTGATTCGTTATAACGCGGTGCCATTGTTGTTGGTGGAGATATGATGGTTTGAATCGTATTGGTTGGAAAGTTCATGACGAGTGCTAACTCGCTTGTAATGTCAACTCGCTTGTCAGCTACGTTAATAATAATAATAATAATAATAATAATAATAATAATAATAATAATAATAATATTTTATTTTAAAAAGTCTTAGCTACCCCGGAAGTTTTTTAACTACCTCCGAGCTGTATAATCCCTATATGCAAAGGACCTGACCGTGAATCGCGAGCAATGTAGCCGTCCGTCTATTATAATAAGCAGCCGGGAGCCTTAGGGGAATGTCGTAATTTACTTCCCGGTCAAGTGATGGTACCGCATTTTCCGTGCAAACTCTGTAGGTCGGTCACGGTCCACCATGCATTATCTGATCGCCAAGCCAGACAATCTACACCCAAATCTTTATCGTGTTGACGATAGATCTGCATGATCGCAGGTTCCCTTGTATCTTTTAAACAATAAAGGCAGGCATGACGATCAGATAATGCATGGTGGACTGTGACCGACCTAGAGAGTTTGCACGGAAAATGCGGTACCAAACAGTGAATTCCAAAAGAAAACAGATTACGACCAATTCACGCGTGTGTGTGCAATTAGATGCAACCATGGGGAATCTCGATCAGGGTAGGACCGGAAGGCAGTCTGAGAGTCCGGGGGTTGCCTGGAGGAAAGCCCGGTCTTGCCAGGGTGACATTGCGTATGATTGGGAGGTTGGACGGGTAGATGGGTTCACCGGGGCCAGGTGACCGGGCTGCATCGCGATTGATACCCCCCATCCTCACCATCCCATGCGATATAGGTAGATGATTGGCACGATGCGAGGGTGTATCGTACGCCGCAAAACCAAAGGACAAGGTCGAATGAAAACCTCAGCGCTTTCAAATGACACGTGCCTCCGACTGCCATAGTGGTCGGTGCTCTGGCCGACTCCCAGACCGTATTATGGTGCCCATAGTGATCCGAGAAGCTGGGTTGGCCTCCTTACTTGTTGCACATGCAAGTATCCGGGGCGAGAGGTTAATAATAAGGCAACCACGAGGCAATTCATGCGCGTGCCGCAATGGTGCAGGCGAGACAAGGCAATGGTCTTGCAGCATGCACCTTTCCGTCCCTTAGACCGGAGACTGGGGGACCTTGCTGCGAGAACCGGTGCTTCTCGACTGTCAAATGTCGTCCATCCCGAGCATGAAGTCCGCATCCTACTGCCAGTCTGCCCAACGGCTAAAACCCTGGTGACGAGTCTGCAAATGTACTTTTCTGGTTCTCTTCATCGGGGAAGCTCAGGCGGAGATGGGGCGACCCCAGGATGTAACGGCGGCTGACAATGTAACGGTGGGCGGTGGTGTACCAAAGAAAGCACTTGGGCGGAACTCGATACCTCGCGGAGGCAGAAGGCAAGGTCAAGTTCCGGGCTCCTACGCAGGCACAGGTGCAGGCTCGCCAGTCGCGAGCCACTACCTGTTAAGAGTCGCAACGCGGTCAAGCGAGCGAGTTGGGCCGAATAGTACCACAGCGCGTCGACTGCCAGTGCCAACCAAACCGTTGGTCTGTGTAACCAGACCAAGATTGGCCCTTCCAAGGATTGAAGAGGATGACCGGGTCGCCGGGAGTCTCATCAGTCCAGCACCGCCAACAAGGCGTAGACCCGGCAGACCGAGTATATAGACGTGCATCAAGCCTGGAAGTGCTACGTGCGTATTTTATTTTTCTCGTGCCAACGGCTCACCGGTCGCAGGGGACCATGCGGTATGGAGGCAGCAGCATGCAGCTCTGGCGTATCATACTCGAAGCCGTCAAATGATAACACGTACCGCGAACCGGGGCAACACACAGCCAAGTAGCGACGTGACTCTGGTTCTCTTCGCAACAGCAACGCGCGAGAAGTCTGGATGTGACTGCAACTGTCCTTGTCCTGCGCCATAGCCCATGCAGGATTGGGATTTGGCACGACGCGACGACGCCACTGGATTCGGTAGTGGTCCCAATCCGAGCGGTTGGGCGAAGGAGATTGGGGCTTTGTGATTTCAATGTTGCCTTGCAGGCCGCGATCTGCAGATGCCTTTTGTGTAGGCAGTCGAGTAGCCAGCACCAACAGAAGATTTTCCAGATGGCCAAGGTCGGACGGCTGTCGATCATGCGTGTTTGGAGAAAACACCAGCCCAGTACAGGCGCCGCCCCGGGGAGGCCATGATGTAACGTGCAAGCCCAAGCCGCATGTCTTTGAAGTTGACTCGGTGCGGTAGGCTAGCGGGACGAGATGCCATGTCTGTCTCGGGTTCATCACCAAGACCAGAAGACCCGGTTTGGTGGGGCAGGGCAGACACGGCACGGATATTTGGCCCTTGGCGTGGAGCAAATGCCAAAGGGGAAGAAGTGGAAGAAGTGGAAGAAGCCATGGCTGAATCGGGATTGTTTTAGAGCCCTTCATGCCGCTCTCGATGCCTTTCCTCTAGAGATTGACAAGTGGCATACTGGTTACCGTTGAAGTTTAGGTGCCTTGAGCCTTGAGTGTTCTTCCCGACTGCCCGAGTTCCCACGCTCCCCAAGCCCAGGCTAGCGGGAGCAGCTGGATCACAGCCATCATTGCATGGGGGGCCACTGTATCTAAGTACATAGGTACCCGTGGACGTCCAGGTCCGAGCTTCAATTGATCTTCCCCTCGAAGGCAACAACAGGGCCCAAATACTCGGTTTTCTCGCCGCAACGGAAAATCGCTTCCATCCTGCGTCTCTGCCATGCCCGCCCAGACATCTATCCTATCTCCACCAAATGTCCCCCGGTGCCGGTGCCGGTGGTCAAGGTGTGTTGTTCGCGTGTGTGATCCTCTAGCAGCCGAGCCAATATTGCACCCTCAGTCTTCAGTCAGTCTCCATGCCCTGTCGTCAATAAGGGCAGAGGCAGCTTCAGCTTCTTATGGATTGTGACACAATTCTGCGCAGCGGAACTGGGAGCTCAAGGTTGTTACACGCATTCCAAGGCTCCGGTCCACAGCTGCATCTCGCCATACCAGCAAGGACATCGATGATCGACCTCGAGGCAGCCTGGCAGGGATATTGATACACAGTAAGGTAGAGTCGAATGTACGCAGCCAAGTGACTGTCGACATATACCTACGTCCCCGGTCCCACGACACGGAGCAAGGAGGTCAGGTCCTCTGCCGCCGAACATCCTGCGCAGGGTTGCTTGGGTTGCTCCAAGAATGCCTGCAGCTGAAGTCTATGCGCTGGCTCCCGGCCCAGCTGCCCAGTGATATGATCAACCGTCGTTGCCCAAGTTAGTCAACTTAGGGGTCCCGCCATAGTCAGCAGGAAATGGGAAATGCTATACAAACTGCTGGTCCCTCCCCAGCCTCCTCCCGCCTGGCCGTCTGCCTCGATATAACGTGCGCCATACCGAACCGCCCCGTCAAGTCACCTCTCGCTGCTCAGATCTGATCTGTATATCAAACACGCGGCTGCACTTGTCTCCATAATCCTAACGAGGCTCGCGGGTCCAGCTGCACCACTCTGGTCGATATAAGATATAACAAGCAGCCATCCGGCGAGACCAGAAATCCCACTTCACTCACCTACCTCCCTATACCTACCTACCCACGCTGCACTGCATACAGTACATTGCCCGGCTACCTATCGCAGAGCTTTTGCTACAAGGGTAGACCCGGCAGCTCTCCCCTCTCACCCTCTCAGCGCACCTCAGACCGATCACAGATATATGAATACGACTTTCGCGCTATTCGAGTACCTCTGGCCGCCCTCTGATATCCCATCCTTCTCAGACCGCTCTCAATATTGGGCAGCGCTGCTCTCATCTTATCTCCAGCAGCGCTCCTCAAGCGATCCCCTGCTAGGACGTCTATTGTCAGCCGCTTTTTGCTTTTTGCTTCTTGCTTTTTGTCCCCTGCAGCTCGAACCGATTTATCACGCATCACCTCGGTCTGCTTTTCCAACCAGCTGGTAACACTAAAATAGTACGACAAGACCTTGTCTCTCCGGACTGATTGTGCATAGGGCCAATTCTATATAGTCCCACCGCCATCTCTGGCATCCTGGTCCTTCCCCGGCCGGCCTCTCTCGTCCTCATGTCCTCCGCTGCCGTCGAGGTTTCATCGTACGGTGGCTTTTGTCATACCATGGTGGACACAATGCCCCAGCCTCTCAACCCGTGGGCTCACGAGCCTTATGCTCCGCACTACGAACCAGACTATCGCCAAGAGCAACAAGGCCATGTACTACGTCTACCTCCACCTTCCAGCCTGGTATCCGGATCCCACCCAAGCCCAAGCATCCCGAATGGACGGGAACCGGCAGCTTACAGTCATGACCCTTACCGGGACCCATACTTTGCAGTTCCGGTGCCCACGTTCCAGCGAGCTCAGCAGCTGCCTATGCCGGGTAGCAAGTTACATGCAGCAACCCTCGCTCCTATTACCAGGAGCCCGGCAGATATAATCGCACGTCTCTCACCTACACAATCGTCAACAGCAAGTGACCGGTCCGAGGACCTGTCAGACCACCTCCGACTGCGTCAACTCGTAGGAGACCAGAGCTCCCTGCAGGCTCATCGGTCACAGCCCCAGCCGGAACAGATAAAAGAGTCATTTCGGCACCCTCGACATGCAGAGCTCCAGCCGATAAGACCGCCGCCAAACTATCCAACCCCAATTATGCGCCCAGCCCCATCTTCCCAGCCCATCACTTCTCCCCGACAGACGTTGTCGCCCCAGTCGGAGTCCCGTGCCGCCGAGCGCATGAAGATATCAGATCTTTTGAGCGATGAACCTAGAGCTGAGGCACCGACATCTTCAAAGGTACCCGTACGAAGCAAGACTTCCACCGCGGTAGCATCGACGTACACGGCCCGGGTTCGCCAACAACCCGTGGCCGCGAGGGCGTGCGGGTTTGGTGAAAGGGACCGGAGGGTCATCGATCCGCCTCCCATCGTCCAGGTGAGCATCGAAGATCCGAACGCATCAAAGGAAGAGATCATGAATCGACTCAAAAATGGGCACTCGGTGATACACTGCACGATCTGGGACGAGACGGGGGACCAGGACTGCTCGGCTATGACGGACGACTATCGGCAGCAGCGACGACTGATGGGGACGGTAGTATCATCCCCCTTCGTGGGCAAGGATGAGAACAACGAATACGGGTGCTTCTTCTGCTTCCCAGACTTGTCCTGCCGCACGCCCGGCTCCTTCCGACTGAAATTCAGTCTCGTCGTCTTGGACCCTAAAGGATCAATGCCGGGCTTCAGGACACCCGTCTGCGCCGTCGTCATGAGCGAGGTATTCACTGTCTACATCCCCAAGGACTTCCCCGGCATGATGGCGAGCTCTGTCCTGACGAGGAGGCTCAAGGAGCAAGGGTGCCTCATCTCCATTAAGAAGGGGAACGAGAAGAGCGCCCGAAGTCGCGATGAAAGCGACGACGACGACGACGACGACGATGAGGAGGACAACACGCGGCAACGGCGGTCGAAGCGATCGAGAAGGTCATGACACCGGGCATTTCGATTGCACAGCTTCCGTGTGAAGTTAAATACGTTCGGGTGTACTTGCGAGAGTGGACCATGACGGTGTTGGGATGGCAGCGAGCGCGTTTTGACTGGTTTTGCTTTCTGCTTTTTGGGCCTTGACGGACACGTACTGATGACAGACATCATACTCTTGCTTGGGAAAATACCCCTATACTATATTGTTGTTAAGTCTCATGATGACGGAACCTGAGGCCTGGCCAGGCTGCACTTCATAGCATTGCCAATTGAATATCAATCTTTGCCACAGCTGTTAACTTTTTTACTCGCAGATGGGAGAATGAGGTTATTGGGATGATGATATTCGTCACTTAGCTTCCCTGAATAGTCAAAGATGCTGGGACTACTTTTACTGCACGCATCGGATGAAATGACGCGGACTTACTCATCAAGAAAGCATCAGACTGTGTCCTAAGTACGCAAACTTGTAGGACTTACACGCTGGCCGGAGTACGATACGACGACGGAGCTTAGGGGGTAAAGGCACCCACCCCTTGAAGCTGTCTCACCCGACCAGAATGAGATTTCTCCAAACGATGCAGAATAAGATAATTATGAGCACACTCTGCATACTGTTAATGAAGCTTGTTACGAATAAGAAGTTAGACTCACTTTGTTAAGAGGCATTGGGTATATTCGACAGCGAACTTGACCTCCCTCGAACAATGATGCCAAGGTGTCGGGCAGTCAGCTCAACAAGCTTATCGGGGTCTGTCAGGCGAGAGACTAGTCCCAAAAGGACACTGGCCTATGCTCCGTTTTGGTGGCCCTTTTTGGGGGTCCCATCGGGGGTGTCGGAGCGCCGCGGGATCCAACAAGGGAAAACTCGGGCAGAACTCTGAAAAATCCCCAACATTCAATTGCAGGTGCGACTGCGAGTGAGAGTGATACCCAATTGAGTGACTTTCCGGAGCTCTCCAATTTTATTTTGCAGCAAGCTGAGTGAGCTTCGACAACCTCTCCTTCCACACGCGCCAATTCTCTACGCCTCCTAGTCCTCCTCCTCCTCCATCTCCATCAGCTCCTCCTCCTCGTCCTTGTCCGCCCTCCTTATCGGCCATCATGTTCTCGCGTGCGCTTCGAGTTCCGAGAACGGCCGCGCCCCTCGTGCGCGCTCGACCTGCCGCCGCTGCCAGACCGGCCACCTTCAGACCAGCCGCTTTCGGCGCCCTGCGAACCGTCACGACTGATGCCGCCTCAGCGCACGCCGAGGCAGTCCCGGACGCCGACGACCAGCCCTTCCAGGTCACCCTGAGCGACGAGAGCTTCGAGACCTACGAAATCGACCCCCCGGCGTACACCGTCGACGTGACCAAGAAGGAGCTGAAGCAGATGTACTACGATATGGTGGTTGTCAGGTAAGGAGGCACTGTCCCTTCGAGAACAAGAGTGGTGGATTGCGATTTTGCAAATGGCATCGAGTATGAGCAGGCTGTATGTATGCTGATCTGGTATCCCCACGTAGACAAATGGAGATGGCCGCCGATCGGTTGTACAAGGAGAAGAAAATCCGGGGTTTCTGCCACTTGTCCACCGGCCAGGAGGCCGTCGCCGTTGGTATCGAGCACGCGCTGACGAAGGAGGACGATGTCATCACCGCCTACCGATGCCACGGCTTCGCCCTCATGCGCGGCGGTTCTATCCGGTCGATCATCGGTGAGCTCCTGGGCCGACGCGAGGGCATCGCGTACGGCAAAGGCGGCTCCATGCACATGTTCACAAAGGGTTTCTACGGCGGCAACGGTATCGTCGGTGCTCAGGTTCCGGTCGGTGCCGGTCTGGCTTTCGCGCACAAGTACCTCGGCAAGAAGAACGCCGCGGTCATCCTCTACGGTGACGGTGCCAGCAACCAGGGCCAGGTCTTCGAGGCTTTCAACATGGCTAAGCTGTGGAACCTCCCTGCTCTCTTCGGCTGCGAAAGTAGGTGTTCCTAAACATGACTATCTGTGCCGATATGGGGTGCTAACCGATATGCGCAGACAACAAGTACGGTATGGGTACTGCTGCTAACCGATCGTCTGCTCTCACCGACTACTACAAGCGTGGTCAGTACATCCCGGGTTTGAAGGTCAACGGCATGGACGTCCTGGCCGTCAAGGCCGCCGTCAAGTACGGAAAGGAGTGGACCGTCGCCGAAAACGGCCCCCTCGTCCTCGAGTACGTCACATACAGATACGGAGGTCACTCCATGTCCGACCCCGGCACCACCTACCGAACCAGAGAGGAGATCCAGCGCATGCGATCCACCAACGACCCCATCGCCGGCCTGAAGCAGAAGATCCTCGAGTGGTCGGTGTGCAAGGAGGACGAGCTGAAATCCATCGACAAGGAGGCCCGCAAGCACGTCAACGAGGAGGTCGCCATCGCCGAGGCCATGGCCGTGCCCGAGGCCACCCCCCAGATCCTCTACGAGGATATCTACGTCAGGGGAACGGAGCCGCAGTTCATGCGCGGCCGCACGCCTGAGGAGAACTACTACTACAAGGCTTGATTGAACCACGGAGGCTGGGAATGAATAACCAGGTCCGAATGGATTCGATAAATTGAACCGATGGCATCGCGTTGTGCTTTTTTATCCTTGTAGTATATCTTTAGATGGCATGGCTGGGCTCGGTTGGAGTAATAGTAGATTGTTCAATTACGTCTACAGGTCCATATGATAGGAGGTGTGTGAGTCTGAATTAGCCCCGATATGCTTGTTGGGGAATGAAACAGCTGTACCTGTGAACTACACTGAATACTCGGAAGTCTCCGTACACCCCGTAATCAAGGTCTTTGAATACTCGGGGACATTTTTTATTTGGTGGAATAAACCCTTGAAAATGGGGTTTACCGTGGCTTATGAGAATTTAGCTGCTTATTCCAGGGTGATCATTCCTCTGCTCATGTCTTATCATTGGGAAGAAGCCTTGAGCGCGCGGACGGAGACTGGTGGGTGCAGGTGGTGACTGACTGTATTCAACTCTGGAACTTGAGATACTTGAGATTAGGGGTACATAGGGCATGAATTGTTCCTTTGGGACTTTGACTGTAGGCCGGCTGTTGCACATTGACATTTGGCACTGGAACTGATATTAACTAGCATGAGCATGCTTGGTGCTGAATAATCGTCATACCTAGGTAGGTAGGTACTTAAGTAGACTATTGCCGTGAACATGATGGAGTATTTGCGATTTTATGGCTTAGTTTCCAGGTTCAATGTATGACTGCTGTCAAGTCGTGCCCCGGCAAGCAAGCTCCTAGGTACGTAGGTAGGTAGATACGCTTATAACAGTAAAAATGCTACCTACATAGGTACCGAATATCCCGGATCCCAGGTACCTAGCCACCGAACGAGCGATCATGGACTATATTTAGTATTTACTACATACAGCCGGATATCAAGCGTGTGTTTAAGCCAACTAACTACCTATCCATGGACGTGGAGACTTGGCTTGGCTTCGTCGTGTCTACGCGGTTCAACAGCTCGAGAGTAAGTCGACCAGTGTGCGACCTCCTCCAGGTAGTGTTTTTTTCAGTCGCAGGCTGGTGCTTAGAAAGCTATCTGAGAAGGGTAAGGATAGCTTCGTTTGTTCTCGAACCCGGTGGGTCCCACGACGAGAAGCGAGTTGGGAGGTCTCAGTTTGAAACTGTGTCTTTATTCGTGTAGTATCGTGAAAGCTTTCGTGCTGCCAGGTACGTAGATTGGCCCGGGCAGGCAGGGCAGGGCAGGGTCATGGAAGTTGTGCTCTCCTGAATATGCATTATCCGAACCCCTTTTCCGTATGGCCCTTTTATTCACCGTATACAGACCATCCATAGATCTTACCCCTTTCCCCGGCCATTATCAACCCACTCATCCCCCCCAGGCTACCGCCGCCCCCGAAGCATATCCTCCCAACTCCCCAACCACCGCCAACTCCGCGCCACCTCACCGACACCCTCCAGCACCTCACCAACCCGTCCCTCCGGATCCGCGAACCGGTGCCCCTCGAACTCGACGAAGAACACGTACTGGAAGGCCCCCGCCAGGCTCGGCCGGCTGCTGATGCTGGTCAGGTTCAGCCCGCCGCGGCGGAAGCAGTCCAGCACGGCGGCGAGGCCGCCGGGCGCATGGTGAGGGACCGTGAAGGATACTAGGGATTTGGTCGGGCGGTGGCGGGTGGTGGTTGATGCTTTCTTGTCGGCGGCCTCTTCTGTTACTGCGCTGCCCTCTCCCGGTTTCTGCGGCTGTGTCTTTTCGTCTCCTGATACTGCTCTTGTCAGTAGCAATTCCTCCTCCTCCGATGGGGAAGTAGCAGTCCCCCGCCGCAGCACAAAAAACCGCGTCGTGTTATCATCGCGGTCCTCGACGTTGCGCGCCAGCACGTCGATCCCATCGCCCAGCAGCTCGGCCGCGGCCAGGCTCGAGATGGCGGCGCTGGTTTTGGTTGTGTCGGCGAGCGCGAGCTCGGCCGCCCGGCTCGTCGACGACATGTCGACGGTCTCGACGCCGCGCAGGTGGGCGCCTAGGAACCGCGTGCACTGCCCGAAGGCCTGCGGGTGGCTGTAGATGCGCTGGATGTGGGCTAGGGAGTGCAGGGGCTGGGCGGTGGCGGGTTTGTCGTCCTTGTCGTTGGGAGGTTTGGGGGCTGAGGATGAGGGTTTGTCCTCACGGCTGCTTTCAGGTTGTGACTGCGGTTGTTGCAATATAGAGGAGGAGGGGTTCTGTGACTGTAACTGTGAAGAAGAAGGGGAGGAAGATGATGGCGCGATGTGCCCGAGGATGCAGTGGTGCACATCAAGATAAATCTCGCGGCACACGTTCAGGTCCGGATACGCGTTGGACCGGTCCGCGAAGTGGTCCAGCGTGAAGACCACGGACCCGTTGGTCGAGTTCTCGAAGGGCACCACGCCATAGGTCGCGCGGCCCGACTGCGTCGTGTCGAAGATGTCTGGTTGGTTTGTGAGCGTGCGAACCAGGTAGATAGACCACTACTCTCTGCAGAGAAGAGTCCCCTGGCTCAGATGGGAGAGTGGGAGAAGACGGATGTGGATGTGAGTAGGCGGGTGATGTCCAGACTACCTTACGTACCCTTGATCGTGACCACGGGCATCAGCTCGAACTTGTCAGCGGGAAACGTCTCCATTGTCGCCTATATGTGCGTTGCAATCCGTTAGCCGTCGTGTCCCTATCCGTCTTGAGAAGTCCCCCTTCTCTGAGGCAGCACGATCGTTGTCTGCGTACCTGATGCGTATACGACGATACCGGGCCCAGGAAGCACACGACGGGTTTCGCGGCCGACCCAGCTTGGGCTTCATCGCCGACGTTCAGCCTACTCGACCCCATCGTACTCGTGCTGACGGCTGCGACAGATGGATATGTGTATTTGGACTCGAACAACCGATTAGGCCAGAGCAAGAATATCAAGGTTGGGGGTTGAGAGTTGAGAGTATATACTAGGTAACGTATCGAGGGAGGGACAAGGTATCCAACTCATTATCATGGATCCGCCGGCACTCGCTGATGTGGATGCGGTGATTCACATCAGAGGTACTCATCTCATGTCGGCACAAGTCACGGACAGATTTCAGAGGGGCAGTACAAGTCCCATTCACTGTACATACGTAATCGCACGTGGTTAGGTAGTCTTCAGTACGACCTCATAAATCAATGAAAGACATAATTTTTGGTGCGGACTTCGACGCCGGGCGGGTGCTAACTTTTGTGGGCTCCACATTGACGCGGGCTCCGATTCCGATGCGGGACCGGCGTCAATTTGGACTTCCCCGAGCCCTCCAGGTCCAAATTCAACAAGGTCACAGATTCACCACCGTGAAGGTCATGCGCTGGAATGAGTGACTGACTTGCATTGTTGCAACTATCTAAAGGTCCACGAGAACCATGAACGAGTGGAATGCAGCGAGAGGCCACTGCGCAATCACTGCAATACTGACAAGTAGTCCGGGGCCATGCCGTCAAACACCGGGCCAGGACGCGAAGAAGTAGAGAACCAGCAAGTCAGGGGAACCGTGAAGCAATTTTAGTGACCATCTATACTCGCTACTCAATGGTAGCAGCCCTATGACGGAGGCAAGTCTTTGACCCGTGTTTGCCATCTACACCCGATATAGCATCTTCGATAATCGTCAGCCTGAGGTATTGAGTACACCATGACCTAGACAACTCACCTCCCTCCCATGCCGGTTTAGACTCAAGTTGTCATCATAGAGCGAAGCGGGCTGGGTGTTGCGACCTGTCGTGCGGTGTGTTCCGAATTCGCTGGGCCAGTTTTCATGAGCCGACGCTGAGCGTACGAACCCGCTCTTGCTTTCCGCGCAAGTGTCGTGTCCTTCTGGGGCGCTGGAGGGAGAGGCAGCGGGCGCTCTGGTGCCTTTACGACAGGTGCTTGAGGTGCTTGCTTAGACGAGACTGCTTGAGTATGTCCCTCGGTATGAGCGAGGGACCCGTCAAACTGTACATCAAAGTCAGCAGCTGGACACGATGGATAGAAGCACGAGCGCAAGATGGTACGAGAGTTTCGGAAGGGTGCGAGAGTCGCCCGTATACTGAGCGAAATGGCTTCAGGGGGTTGTGTGTTCAGAAGTTCTTATTGGAGATTCGACTGACCTGTCAATCGTCATAATAGTCGTCATCGTCATCTACTTCAGCTAATTGCTCGAAGTTCACCTTGTAGCGGAGAATGCCACCGATGCCACCAAAGCCTTTCACGAACTGATTACCCTCAGTCGATCTATCCGACACAAACTCGAGGTTTGTTCCGAAGTCTTTGTAGTGCTCGGCGATCCACTCGAGGAAAGAATCCTGGGAGACAACATCCATCTCTTGCCCAGTCTCCTTATCCATGAACTGCTCGCGGTCTCCGGTCTCTTGCTGCTTGGTGGTGTGGAGGGTGATCTCGGCGCCGTTGCTGTCTTTGAGAACCGATCGGGTAATCTCAAGGTTTTCGAAGACAATCAGTGTCTCGACAGCACCAAGTTCCAGAGCCTTCAGTGTATCCTCGATACCATAACAGACCTTGCCACTGTCTTGGCTGATCTCCTCGAAATACTTGCCAATAAGCTTCTTCTCTTGAATAAACTTAACGTTTCCGAGGGTCTCAGATGACAGCTCAATCGCTTGGTTGAAGCCGTTTTCGCCACCATAGGAAACGTCAACCACTTTGATCACCTTGGACTGCAGTCGGTTATCGAACAAGTCGGAAGCATTAAGGTCATTCTTGAAATCGGCTGAACCAGCAAGAATGATGCCAGCAACGTTCGGCTTGTCGGCGGTGATGAAGTTCTGGACGGCCAACTCGGCTACCTTGCGGACGTAGTTGTGTCGCTTCTCCTCTCGAAGACGGGCGAATCGAAGGGCAGACTGACCACCACGACCGTGTTTCTTGGGAAGATCCACAGAGAACTTGTGGACGATGTCGCGCGTGTTTCCGCTCAGGGTACCAAAAAGAGCCCCGTTACCATCCATGATAATGAAACCAAACTTCTGGTCTGACTCTAGCAGCTCGGCCAAGGCCTCGGTGTGGAATTTATTGTCGCAGAGGTATAGAGAGGTATTGATCGGCTTGAAAGGCTCGAAATCGATGTTGACCTTGCGTTCCTTGCCTTCCGAGGTCAAGATTTCACCGCAGTATACGACGAGGCCGTTGGGGGGGACTTTGTTGTATAACTTGAGTCGCTGTTGTGTCGAGGTGATGGCTGAGAGTACGGACTGTCGGTTGACGCGCGACTTGATGTTCGAGGCAGTTCCCTAGATACCACTGTCAGCTTACTGCGCGTCCAGGTCGCCAAGAGTATGGAGTCTAGGTCTTTCATACGTATTCTTCAGCCAACATCTTTGCGGCTCGTGAAACTTGATCCTTGGGAGCTACTCGAGTCTTAGCATATAGTGGACGACACTCAAAGCGGGGGAGGGGTAAAGTGCATACGAATGATCAGGGAAATCATGGAGGTTCCATTTCCTCGAGCAGCCTCAAGGCGCTTGATCAGCTTCTTCACCTTCCATATCTCGATCTGTTGGTAGCGAACATTGTCAGCAGTAGGCCCGGATTCGTGGAGAAGAGGACACCTTGGGCATCATCTCGGCGGGGCGCATGCAACAGGGTGTTCAAGGGCGTAGAACAGGACTGGGGGCTTTACATACATTCTTCTCGGCCTCCGAAGCTTGGGCGTCACTCATCTTGCCGGAGGGTATGAGCGATCCAATCTACGGTATGATTTTGGGGTGGTGGCGTGGAACGTGGCGATGAGGTACGGTGTCAGAAGAGGGTTGTGCGGGAAAATAAACCTTGCGCGGGAGGAAACAAGAAAAAGGGCACCACTGCGTCGTGCCTGGGCGCAGAAGCCAGTTGGTCCAGTGTGGTATTAACGAAGGCGGCAGGTCCCCACAGGCAGTGGACGGACGTCAAAGGGGCCACCTTTTTACCGTTTAACGCTTGGTGAATGTGGACAATGCTGACAGCTGCGAGTGCATAACATTGAAACGAGAGTATATTATGTAAGCCGCAGAGCAGTTCTTATGAGCTGTGGATCGTGGGTTAGTCGGGGCTAGTGCAAATCAGGACTGGCCGTCCGGAGCCTGCAGCCCGTCAGCTCTACTTTGCCAGCTGGCAATTGACAGTGGCTGAGTGGTGCCGCACCTCCTCACGCCTCCTCAAGCTCCGTGCACTGGTCCTAGAAAACGACAACACCTGGTCATTCCAGCATCGGCATCCTCATCGTCACCACCGCTCCATCTCACAGAGAGCGCATACAACCTCCCGGCAGTATGCTGTCTATATGAGTATATGAGAATCATCAGAGCCTTCAATGCTTTTTCTGCAAAGAAGGCTTGACGCCTATGTATAGCGGTATTTCATGAGTATTTTCATGACTGCTCTCTGCTCCTCGGAATCTGCTGAAACTGAATGTTGACAGAGGTTGCATTGGTGTGCCGAGTTCTTCATGGAGAAGATCCGTCAAAAGTGGTTGTCGGGGACGTAATGTATGAACGAACGGAGGGCAGAGAGCTACCGCTCCTGGGCATCACCTGTCCCAGTTCCACCGATACCAACCGGTGGCTGCAAACCCCATAATCTGCCTCGCCAACTCACCCTGCTGCTGTCCGCACTGCCGCTGCCAAGTGTGCGTTACAGAGTGCATTGAAAGACTTTTGGGGTTCGAACATGGTCGTGGGATGATGCCCATGCTGGGCCCCCCACCTCAGGCTTGTTGGAAAACAGTGAGCCGAAGCTTACTGCTTTGCGACCGGGCAACTGCGAACAGACTCAAAGACTCTCAGAGGGCGTTTTGTCTTCCATGAAAGGGTGCATGATGGTCATAAACCGGTCGACCGTGTTGGGATGGTGACCTGGTCCTACGCCTTCCAACCAAGTCAAAATACGGCTGCTTGGGTGCCCCTCACCCACCTGATGACTGGGGGAATGTTGACTTTATGGTCTTGTACGGCTGACCACATTTCGTTGGACAACTGGCTGCACGGCACGGATTGGGTTGCCCACGTGGTTGCTACCCGAAGGTCTTGCTGGCTTGGATTCGTCCGGTAGCCAGATTCGGTCCCCGCTGGATGCGCGCCGGTAAGAGCGATTTTGGCGTTGACGATAGCTTCAATTTTTGGAGATGGTTGGGGTTGAAATGTTGCCGATCTGCAGAATCTGCGGTTCCAACATGAGTGTGGAGCCCACTACTTTGGCTCATCGCAAAGCTACGTTCTAACGAGACGTCCATGGTGAGTAACCATTGGCGATATCATCAAGGAAGTATCCGATCCAGTCTCAATTGAAGAAAGGGCGACCTCTTTGTTCTGTGTGGTTTGGACTGATGACAATGGCTATCTAGGACTGCGCTCCATTCATGGCGGTTACATCTTGGCCCCCCGCCATCTCAGGCCAGTCGCCCATCCGGTTGCGACGTTTTCGTGGCCGACAAACCTCACCAGAGGTGAGCATTCATGAAGAGGGACAAAATGTGGATGAATCATTCGTATCGTGAGTTGGGAGTGGTGTTGCCTCTGCTTTCAAGGGTCAGCACTTGGGGTCGGTCGGCGCTTTACTCTTGGCAGTCGCTTTCGTCTATGGTTGAGGAAGACAACGGGACATGGCGACGTGCAAAAGATTGACCACCACAACACACCGGGGTTGGAGCATGTCGATGGACCAAAAGGCACAAAGGGATTGCGCTGGGTGTCAGCAGCCAGGCTGGCTGCTGCCCTTGGTGTGCCTGGGAGAGCAAGGCGGCTTTTGGCAGCTGGTAAGATGCAGATACGTATGGATGGAGGTAGATAACTTGACAATGCCCAACCTATCAGACCTGCTCGTCCCTCCCCTGGTGATGTGCGGCTCAAGCTTTAAGTGAAATTGATTAGCGTGGGTACCCATTTCGGCGTGAGCTCGTCCTTGACCTTTCCACCTTCACCTCCACATTCCACATCCCACCTCCCACCTCCAGCCAACACCACCAAGAACGTCACCCACAACCACCCACCATGGCCGACGACGATTCTAGCGAGCTCTCCTCCGTCACGTCTCTGTCCCCTGCGCCCTCTGAGGACGAGGGTGATGTCGAGCTGAAGCGAGACAAGGGCATCCTCAAGTTCTTTCATAAGCTGCCCAAAGGCGTCAAGCCTACCGCCCCCGAGAGAGAACCATCGCCACCTCCGCGCAAGAGATCTCCCTCGCCGCCTCACGAATTTGTTCTGGCTGATAATCCAGACATCGCCGTAAGTGGTTCTCGCTGTTGCGCGTAGAAAACGCGAAACGTCGCGTCTATTCACAAGCTAATTGCTTCCAGTTCATCGTGATGTTCCGCAGCCGATTCAACGATTCCTTTCCCAAGTCCCTAGCGAACTTCGGCCCTCAAGAACTAGAGCGAGATGTCACCGAGTCTGTTCCTGGCGAGCGCGTGGAGCATTTCTTGTGCGCGGTGTTGGGTTTGCTGTTGAACCGCAAGCAGGATGTCAAGTATGACGCAATACCTCTCTGGCACAACCACGGCGCACACACACATACTGATACTATGGCGACTACAGGCCCGGACACTATAACCGAGCCCTCGAGGATGCCATCTCTACCCACAAGTCTCAATGGGCAAGTGCCTGGGAGGGAAAGAATCCCCTGTCTGGCGGCAAAAGCTTCACTACCATGAGCCCTACCGAACGAGTACGCTTGACCCCCATACCCAATTCTTCCTGTGACCGGCCAAAAGCACACTTGTCTAACTCGACCACTTTAGCTTACCCTCCTCCGAACACTCATAATCTGGTCGTTGTCATCGTCCGAAGCTATCAAAACCGTCATCAACCAATCATACAAACAGAACCGGCACGAAGACGACCTAAACCAACCCCTGTCCATACAGCCATGGGGCTCCGACAGCGACAAGCGACGATACTTCCTGATCGAGGGTCGAGACGACACCCACTTCCGAGTATATCGCGAGAGCAACTACGCCGGCTTGAAGCGGACATGGCAGAGCGTAGCCGGCAACATCGAAGAGCTCAACGCCCTAGCAGAAAAGCTACAGACGGCAGATGGAGGACCAAAGGCAAGAAGGCTTGCACAGCAGATGTTGGCCGCAGTGCCCCGCTTTGAGTCCACCGAGGAGAAGCGGAAGCGACGCGAATACCGCGTCGCGCGCAAGCATCAGTTCAAGCGGCCCGAGCCCGGCTTTTCCATGTACGAGGGACGGACGAGGGGAAAGCGCATGAAGTACACCTACTCGGACGAAGAGGAGGACGATGACGACCCCTCCGACTCGACCAACAGACGCTCGGCCCGGACTACGGGGGCGAATACCCCGGCTGAGCCCGCTGCTCCGGTCACTACGGCGAGCGGGCGGCAGATCAAGGCGCCCTCGCGCATGACGGTAGATGCATCCAACAATATTGTGACGACGAGCCCCCCGGCCCGGGAGACTGGATCTGCTGAGCCGAAGGAATGCTCGGTTGGCCCCAGTGGAAGACCGAGAAGATCGGCAGCTGTGAACCACAGTACCAACGGATGGGCGTCGTCATCCAAGAGCAAGAGCAAAGGGTACGAATTCGTGGATGACGAGATGGATGATGACGAAGACCTCAGCGACGAGCCCGAGCTCGAAGATCGAGAAGAGGATCAGTTCCCAGACGGAGACAGCGAGGAAGAAGAAGAAGATGATAATGACGAGCTCGACGAGGACGAGGAGATGGTCGACGACGACATTGAGGAGAGCAGCCCGAAGAGCCTGATTGTAAAGCTCAAGATACCGTCTAACAACAAGCAAAGTCCGGATGCTAACGGCGCATCGGTCAACTTGGATGCGTATCGGTACAAGGGTGGATCGGGCACGAAATCACCACCTGCTCCTGACATGAGTCCGCCCGTGGAGCGAAGCGAGGAGAGCATTTCTGTTGCTACGACTAAGCGGCAAGCTACACCCTCCAAGTCTTCGATCCAAGATACCACAGTTGTTAGTAACGGTAACGAGAAGACCCAACATCCTCCGCCGACACCGGCCCTCGGCTCGCTGCAGTCAGCCTCGCTGGCTTTTAGAGAGAGCCCCGATAAGATGCACGCGGCTCTGCCCAAGGCAGTTGACGTCGGTCTGGCGGACTGAATAGTGTCCTACTCTAGAGTATGGAATTGTGGCGTTGGGGCTCGAAAAGGCAGGGCGACAGTGATGCAATTCGCTACGCTATGGAAAAGGACTGGATTGCTTAGGTGGCAACCTGTGCATGGCGTTCAGAGTGTCTTTGCTACATAGTGTGCGAAGGAAGCTCTTCTGATTCCACGGGTGTTCTTGTCTGTCTCGAAGGACATAAGACAACCTTGGAGCAAGATGAGTTTTCACTCTGAAGGATAGACATACAAATCATTGCTGTATGTGGTTGTTGCACTCCAGCCAACCAATCTGGATGGATGGCAGCTATCTGCTGGGTTAGCAGATGTACTATATTACAGATAGTGCGGGTTGGTGAACGGCCACCATATTGTTCCTCTTGGGACCTATAACAGCTGTGCTCATGACCAAGTCTCTGTGTCGCCATGTTTAGGCTTGTGGTGTGGTGTGTATGTGTAGCAATCGATTCCATCCCCCGCCTGGAACACGATGATATGTGTGCAGTTGTGTGTAGTTTTATACAGCGGTCATCCGACTGAACACCACGCAGAGGACCCTTCTTCCGTACAGTAGCTAGCCTGTCTTGCTTCAGGCAGCTTCCCATATCCCATAGTCCACAAACTGCCTCCCTCCACCTCTCTCATGACGCCTTTGCATGCTTGGGCAACGGCCAGTTGTTGACGCCATACCACCACCGCCGTATCCGCGCCCCGGCCGTGTTGCCGCTCAGCTGCGCATTCTTGTTCCAGTGCTGCCAGCCGCATATCGCCAGGTTGTACAGGACGCCCTGGACTAGGGGCATCATCATCTGCGGAGGGGGTGGAGAGGTCAGTCAGTTTGCTTTGCCTGGTTTGGTATATATAGAGGCTCCCGGTATGCTTCATCCTGTGCTTTCTCTTGCTTATTCTCTTTCTGCCCCTTGCCAAGCGAGCGGGCTTCTGTTCACACACACAGAGACACAAGAGCCACATGGGGGAAGGGGGGCCAGCCAAACCAACCTACAACGGCCCAAGGGTTTGAAGTATGAGAGAATCGGAAAGGAAGGACATACCTGGTCCCGCACCGTGATCCAGCCAACCTTCCACCACGTGTCCGCCTTAGCAATACTGTGCAGGTAGCTCTGCTCGAACCGCAGGTCCGGCATCGGCGGGAAGCTCTGGTTGCGCCGTGGCGCCCGCGGCTCCAGCACGCTGATCGGGATGTCGTCGTCATCGTTGTCATAATATCTATCATGGTCCTCGTCTATGCTTATATCCGACGCGGAGGAGGAGTGTTGGCTGTGGCTTTGGTGGTTGTCGGATCGGCCTCGTGGTAGTGGGTGTAGGTCCACGGGCTGCTTCTCTGAGGCTGCGGTTGATGGGTTCATGTCGTGATGGGGCGATGGGGCGCGGTTTATGTGTGCTGTTTGCACCGTTTCGGCGATTTGGGTTGGGAGGGAGGACATTGTGTTGGACTGGTAGGGGACGGTTTGGTGGTCGAATTGTTCAATGAAGCTTGGAAGCTTGGATGTCGATGTTGAATGCTGGGGTCGCCGAGTGGGATGCTGGCAGCTGCCAGGGGTGGGTCCAGCTGTTGAGCTTCTACAACTACACCGCATACTTGTTCAACTTGACTGCGATGACATTCAGCTATTGAAATCAGGTTACTCCAATGTATGAAATGTACAGATCTCCTCCTTTGCTTTCATGACTTGCCACCCCCCTCCCCCACGGTATTATTCGTCTTTTGAGCTGCTGCTGCTGCTGTGCCGCCAAAATTCGAGACGTGAGAGCTTTATCAGCTTAGGAGACCTTTGTCAGACTGTCACCGACTTCCTAGCTGCCTAGCAGAGACCGGGCCTTCCCGAAACCTCCCCGTGTCCTAGTTCTCTTGCTGTGTATCATTATTCACACTGACAGAAGCTCGAAGAAACGGGTTCCAACATGGCAGGGTATGGAAAATTTGCGTCTTCCAGTGGCGAGCACCAAACACTTCGATCTGACTGGCCGGCGAGCAACCAGAGACTTCGAACAGAATCTGAAGCCGGATGTCTTTTTTCGTGCCATGGTATCCTTGGCGTGAGCTTGCTTTCCATATTGGATCGACCATCCGTCAGGTTCAGCTTCCTCCTTGGCCAGGGTCGTCACCTATGGCGTGAGGCTCAGAGCAAATGCTTCCAAAAGTCGTGGCTGTATATCGCAGACTGTCCAGTGCCCGGTGTCAGCGCACTGTTATGCCATCAGACGAGCGTGACCTCTTCGAGGCCGTCTTCGCTCTCCGGCCAGAGCTCCCCATCCATGACGCCTTGAACATAAGCACAGCCCACAAGGCGGAAGTTGTCTCCCTGTGGCCGGAGCGCAAGAGGCGAGCTCGCACCGGCCAGTAGATATACATCATCACCTTGCCAGCACGTCCCATTGGGACCTAAGCCGAAATAGCCAGTATCGAGCAGGAGGAAAGTGTAGGTTATGTGGTGCTCGTACAGATGCAATAGAACGGTGCGAACCTTGGCAGCGATGCTCTCGTTCTCGTGCGCATTTCCATACATGATAGAATACGCGAAGTCACCAGGGTCAGCGGACCCAGCATACCCAGCATACCCAGCGTCCACTTCGCGTGTAGCGGCTTCTGCGGTGACGTGTCCTCGGTTTGGGTGCAGCATTGTCTCATACCAGAGCCAGAGCAGGAAATCCTCCATACCGGGAAATTCCTGGGTTTGGCCTTGGCTTGAAAGCATGGAAGCAAAGGCAGAGATGAGGCTGTCGTGTGTTGGGTAGCTTTCGAGGCTGTCCACTACTCGGCACCAGTGCTGATAAGTTCGAATGAAATCGCGTTTTTTGGCGACCGCCTGGTCTCGCTCGAAAGGGTCTCTCAGCAGAGACGGGGCCTCGACTTGTACGATTTTGCCCAATAACATGCCCTTTAGACTCAGCGATCCCGGCGTCAGGGGTTGCGAAACAATGGCTTCCGACTTGGCCGTTGCGTGATATGTGGCCGAGTGATTTCTAAAAACTAGATTTACTTCAAGTTCACGGGTGTTTGCTCTCGAGGTGGACCAGTCCGGTACCCACGACGGGAATCCCGTCGTTTCGTCCAGAACGGGTAGAATCGTCAGGATACCCAGTCGTTTCCGGCTGCGTATGTATGCGATGGCCGTATCCTCGAAAACCTCTATGACCGGCTTGTCATAGTCAGGAGATTCCAAGCAGATACCAAGTTCCTTGAGAATCGAGTACATGCTGTATATTTTGTCGTGAGGCTTCATGCATTGGCCGTCGCGAAGTGAGGCGAGGAGCTCGAGCTCCCAGGAATAGAAATCCTCCAGAGAACAGAGGTCCTCCGGATCATTAATACCTGCCCACTCGGATACAGCGGCATAACTGACATTGAAAAGATAAGGGTAAGAACGGAGCATCCGTTCGAGTTTTGAGTAACCTGTAGACAGGCCGGTTTTGGACTGTGGCACAAAAAATCGCTCGACTCCAAAACTCAGTCCAGTCAACAGTCGAGCGCCCGCAGACCACAATACTCTGGCGAGACGACGACCTCCTGGATGGTCCATGATCTTATAAACCAAGGGTTGCTCAGGATCTTTTTCAGAGCTTCCTCCTTCTCCGCTGCTTTTTCCTACACATTTAGGTTAGTTTCTTATCCGTCCCCAAGTGCTCAGGTATAGAGTCAAGCACACTAACATCCATGGCCCCTGACTCTATAGCTTGGAATATACTGGGCGTTGACGCATCGCCCACCCCTAGCCAAATGAGCACGATTTGCGCCTTGCTGTAGATTCTGCCCATCATGCGTACTTGATGATTTCGCTCTTGAGTAGAGGCTTCTTCTGTGGTTTGGTCGATGCAGATAGAATCAATCCAGAGGGTTCGAGTGCGAGAATGCTGACGGAGATATAATAGAGCGTCACGGCAGTTGGGGGTGACGAGAAGCTCCTGCTCGTTGCAGAGGATAGGAAGCTCGCCGACGGGACTGCCCCATACGTAGGACACGGCTTCGTATGCGGCGTCTGGCCCTTCGAGGTCGACCTCTCTGATTAGGCATTGCAATTGAGACTCGAAATCCTCTGAGGGAAGGAGGTCCAGCACTCGAGTCGATGTGCTGGATCTCAGCCGCGCGTGCTTGAAACAGCCTGTCATTGCGCCGGTATCTAGGAACGGTTTTGCTTTAGAGCGCCGCTCGGCTTGCGAGGGGAGGCAGTTGAGCTCGAATTCGAACTGCAAGAAGATACGCGACCAGGCTGCAAGTACAAGGCAACGACGCGGACAAGGTGAGCGGCCAGAGTCAGCTGAGCCACGAAGCCTTGCGGTCTGCCTACCTATCTCCCGCATGTGAAGCTGACAACTGATGGAGAACATATATGCACCTGCATACGGCGGCGTCTCATTCGCCTCACCCCCCTAAACTACTCTATAGAGAGGTCCCAGGTAATGACTTTGACATATAACAAGCTTGAGCCTTCGTTTCTATCACGTGACTATGACCATGGTGGATGCTCATGGGAATATTACAATTGAATGTTCTTGCCTGTTGGTGATTCATCTGATGTGGCACGACGAAGGCAGATTCCATGCCTTTGTCTCCAGAACATGCCAACATAAAGTAATCGGCTGCTGCTGCTTGGCCACCCAGACCCAAGTATTTCTCTCGCTCCACCCCTTACACAGAAATCAAGCAATGCAACCCCAGTAAGTTATCAACATGAGGCTCATCACAACCAAAACAGGGTTCATCTCCCTCGCCGCCCTCGCCAGCGCCACCGCCCAAGACGCAGCAGCCGCAGCCGCAGCCCCAGCCGCAGCCCCAGCAGAGAAGCGCTACCAAATCCCCGACTGGGCCAAAATGGCTCTCAGCAAATCATGCAAAGACATCTCCCTTACCGACAAGTACACCCTGCACGCCACCTGCACATACCCCAGCAGCCACACACTTGACAACGCACTAGACCTAAACGGCTGCTTCGCCAACTACGGCGGCAACCTCGCGTTCATCGCCCCGGGGAGCGGCGGCTTCGGCGCGTCGTGTCCGCACTGCGAACTCAAGGGCACGAAGCTGGTATGTGATTGCCTGGGCGGTTACGGCGCGGCCCAACCGAGTCGGACGCGGCGTAATGAGCTCGAGATGGATGATTGGGAGAAGTTCCCTGTGAACGGTGATGGTTCACTTACGTGCGGCGAGACGGAGGGCATTGAGTAGGTAGATAGATGAAGAATACCGATGGGAAGTCTGGAGAGGATATTGTTGAAGGGGTATCAGCATAGTGAGACAGGAGGTTGATTTATTTGCTAGCTAAACCTCAAAAGGGGAAATGCTCATTTGCTTATGTGGAGTCTAAATGAGTAAGTATTTCTGGACATATCAACAGACATATAATCTCATTCATCAACTACCATGTGACCGAGTTCTAATCGAGTGTGAAGAATTGGTAGGAGATTTCTATTGGTGTTCCTCATTGCTCGCCGGCAGGGGATGAGTCGGGGGCCTGTCTAGGCACGGGACGCCCCAGAAGGTGAGCCGAGAAGATAGGCAGGGGAGAATGGTGGTTCCAACTTGATTCACACGACAAGTATCGACGGGGAGAGAAGGGAAACGCCGGCAGCCAGCCAAGCCCAAGCAGTCTCCCAGGGTGAGGTATAGGGTCGGCTCACGGGTCTGGACCGGCGTAAATAGGGGGAAAGCAAATATGTCATGATACCCTCTTTTGAAATAGAATATGTGAGGGTCAACAACTACCTGCCCTCACTGTATGCCGGCACCCCTGAATTAACTCAGCTGCAACGCAAAAATGTTCATTAACGAACTTGACTGCTAGGAATCGCATGGATGCAGTTGGAGCTAATAAAGGGGTTCTGTCAATTCATCCCTCATCCCTCATCTCTCCTATGTAGCCCCTGATTCCGTAACAGCATCCCCAAGCCCATAACGATACCCAGGTTGGGGAAAACCTATAGCCTAAGAAAGAATGACCAGAATGAAGTACACAATGTCTCTTCCACTGAAAAACACCGTCCCTCAGACCTCTCAGTCAATGCACCCCAACCGCGACGCCAGATCCAGATCTTCCTCATCCTGCAGTAGCGAGTCCTCTGACTTCACCCCCGCAGGCGCCCCCCCGTCCTCCTCATCGCCCGAGAATGTCCAGTCAGAATCGTCTGTCGAGCGCTGGGAACCAGAGGACTGGGCCTTGATCGAGGTGTCGTCGTCCGAGGACCACTCGTCCGAGGACCATATATTGCAATGGCTCAAACTATAGTCACTCAACGATTTTTGCCACTTCCGCAGATCGATCAAAATGGTGTTGGTTTCTAGAAAACAGAAATCGGGTCGTTGACCAATCCGGTAGAGGCGTAGCGTTCTCTGGCCCTGGTGGTATACAGCAAAGGGGGAAACCAGGGGCAAGCAGCGCTTTTGCACGTCTTTGAGAGCGTCTGTGAGTGTGTCGTACGATTCTGCGGGAACATTCTCATTGTCGTTGATTAGAATGGTGCCCATTGGGAGCAACACCTGGACCCTTTCGGATTCCCTTTCGGATTCCGGAGTAGACCAGGGCTTGAGAACAAGCCGAGCTGGGCAGCGTGTACGTTGCGAGGTCTCGAGGATGCGGTCCAGCCACTCAACTGTAGCTTTTGAGGGCTTGAGAACAAGCCGAACTGGGGAACGTGTACATTGCGAGGTCTCGAGAATGAGGTCCAGCCACTCAACAGGAACTCTTGAGCTGCAGTTCTTATTGTGTGCTGGGCGGCGGCGCCGGGTATGCATGGAGGAGCGATGGCCATACCGTGGTAGTTTCGGGGGCATACAAGTGTGATGATGTTGGAGAACCTCAGCCGAGAAAACAGGCTCTGGTTCATAGTTGTCGGATGCTTGGACGACGGGTGGCTCAGCGTGCTTCAGCCGGATAGGTAGGCGACCTGAGATTGGAGGAGGTGCCACAGATATTTTTCGGATGGCTTCTTCTAACTCTACTACCAACGTCAGCACGGATGTTCTGCAACGACGAGATGCAGTAGGTACACTGTGGCTTACCGGGGCTTCTTGTGTAAAAGGGAGGCGAAATGAGGCTGTCGAAGACAGAGTCCAGAGCAGCGAAATTGGGAGACTCATGGGACACAGAGTCCTCGCACGATGGCCTTGAGTGGGCGACCATTTCATCCAAGCCAGGGAGGCGAGGGGGGGCGTCGTGCGTGAGCAATGCTTCGGGCTGACTGCCGAGGCTGACAGTTCTTGTGTGACTCGCTACACGATCGAGATTGGAGGCGGGCTGAGGGGGACAGTGTAGGGTGACCGAACGTCTGGTCATATCCCCCGAAATCCTGGACTCCAAAGAGGTGCGAGCTCCACGCAGAGACGTAGCCATCGAGCTATAGGTCTTCTTCAGGGCTGGCCATGGTGTGCCTTGATCACTCTCGCTGCCTGACTTCTGCAAGGCGAGCGATCTGGCCGACATACGATTCTTGAGTGATCCTTTGATCCCGTTGAAGCGTTTGCGGATCGAGCCACCAGTCGTCCAATCTGCTGGTCGGTCTTCCGATGTTGATGATAGCGTGGAGTCGTCATGGCTGGAAGTCCCGTGGCCACGGCTGGTGCGTTTGCGAATGCTGAGCATGGTTCTAGCGACTACTGGGTAGTTGGATGTATATAAAAGTCTTGAATGTGATGCCCAGAACGATGTGTATGATGGTAGCAGACGATGCAAGACAACAATGACTTCACGAACAGATGGGATCGGGAGTTGGACCAGTTACTGGCACGCCATCCATCCATGGATATTGACGCACACACCAGGCAAGCCATGTCTGGGAAGGGACACTTGTCACTTGCACCTGACTCTAGCCCCTAATGGTCATTTTGGGAAGTCGCTCAACTTGCTCACGCCCTCCGCTGTCGGCTTTGATGAACGCACAGGAAGTCACGACATCCAGGAGGGGAGTGCATCCTGGAAGCACCCCGGGTTTAGCCAGGTGGATGCGAAGCATATAAAGGGGTTGAGTTGGATTTCGCTTTTGGACCAGGAAAACGGAACACTCAAATTCAGGTCCTTAGAAGGTATATAAGAGCTTGACTGTTTGAGCTACCTGGATATTTGATGATGGTGCGTGTGATTCATGGTAGTGGATCTGTTGTGAACCCCTATATCTCCAGAGAACGGCAATATCACTTGCGTTAATCAACTAAATAGAGGTGAAAAGGCGCATGGAGTCTCTGATTGGAGTTGTAATACGAGTATGTCTGCAGCTTTATACTCAGTTGCGATGTACAGGTCTAATATTTATATTTTTATACACAGGGTTACACGGGTATTCCTCTCAAGACGTCCAGCCGAGCTTTATACAGAGTACATATTTTACATGATAGGAAGGGACCTACACGTCGACGAAAGCCATCACCTTCCCGCCGCACTGCTATAATTGCGTTTTTCGTCCCAAGGACTGGCGTCATCCCTGAGTTCGGCTTCTTCCTCTTCTGACAATCTCTGATCCTTGTAGCTGAATGTCGGGTCCTGCTTCTTCATTTTCTCAATATGTGTAACAACAAAGCTGTTGATGTTGTTCCGCCGCTTCTTTAGAGTCTCTACATCCTTGAGCACTTCGGGAGGAAGCACAGACCCAAGGATCAGTCTGTCATACGCAGTAAGCATCTTTCGCGCTAGGGTTACTACTTCTGCCTTGTGGTCCATTCGCCGCTGCGATTCATCGCTGGCAGGGTCCTCCGGACGGTCGAACACAAATTGTTTTGCAGCAATCAAGTATGGACCCCAGAGATTGCCTAGAGCGACAGCCAGCTGTCGACACCACGTCGCCTGTGCGACATCTGCGTCCTTGTTGGCATTTTCGTAGATCGCACGCTTGTTCGCGTACGCCGTCCGAAGATATATTCGTAAGCAGGGTACACTGGGTATGCGCAAGTTGAGAAGCATGAGTTCCAGTACCTGCGTTGCGTTGTGGAAGGAAGACAGGTTGAGGTTGTCGCGGATACAGGTGGTCATGGCAAGCCTAATATGCCTGCTTGTCATGAGTTCGCGGGGCATCTGGCTCAGGTACCCAACAGTCCTGCCACTGTTCTTCCCGCGAAGGAACACCCTGAGTAGCCGAGTCCAATTGTCCGCATCTGGCACGACATTGTGCCGCTTCACGAACAGCCCCCAGTACCGTATGGCCTTGGTCGTTCTGCCGGTCTTCTCAAGAGAGGAGAGGATCATCGATAGAGAGTTGTTACCGGGTAGGGCATACCTGATTGAAGGAGCTCCGGGAGCCTTGACTGTAGTCTTCTCATTGGGTCTAGTGATCATGTTTGTTGGTGCATCACTTTTGGCCACATCCTTGGCCTGTTTGCTGTTTTCGGGTAGGGATGCTCGGTCTTCTGCAGGTATCGTCATGGTCTGCTCGACAAGTTGCTCGATGCTCGCCGCGTCGCGTGTGGTCCCCATGAGTAACACGCGACCCATAGCACATACCATTTCTTCGTCGATGATGATGGATCCCGATCTCCACCGTGATATAGCTTCCTCCCATATAATCTGGGCGCGCTGTATAGCCTTTGCCTTATTGTCGGCGATGTCAGCTTCCGGAAGATCGTCAGAGGGTGTCTTGTCAGCTGTTGCACGTAGCGTGTTCAAGATGGTGGTGTATGTAAGGTTGTTGGGTGCCCGTATGCCGTCATTTGTAGATTGGAGAATGCTGAACATGGACTCGAGGTCACCGGCCTTTGCGCACACTTGTAAGACGGCGTTCAGGTGGATTGTATTCGGTTTTATTCGACTGCTGGACAGCATGTTCTGGTATAGCTTGACGGCTTCCGCTACGGCCAACTTGGGATGAGGCGATTTTGCGCAACCCCGAAAGATGATGGTGAAGGTTTGGGCGTTCGGAATCTGGCCACGCTTTTTCATCTGGTCATCTGATTGTTAATGGGAGACCAAGTAGACTCTGGCAGAGACGGACGGACCTCGTTGTAGAGCTTCATGGCCTGGTGTACTCTGAAGTGGCGCAGCTGGTAGTCGATCAAGTGATTCCAACTAACGGCAACACTTGCATTGACGCTGGCCTTTTTCGTGATTAGAGCAGCCTCATCGAAGCGGTCCTTGTCCAGTATCCTCTTGACCTGGGTCGCAATATGCAGCGGATCTTTCAGATATTGCAAGTGTTTCCGAGCTACCCATTCTTGGGCCCGCGAGGACCGCTGCTCTAGTGGGCGGTCATCCCCTTTGGCCCACGAGGACCGCTGCAGTAGTGGGCGGTCATCCTTTTTCGAAGCAGGACTCTTTGCTGTGTCTACGGGAGCGGCAGCAGCAGTGGCGGTCGCATAAGTCCTCGAGCGAGGGGCCCTTGTCGTCGGTGTGAGGTGCGGTAAAGTCGTGCGTGGTTTAGATCGGGGGAGGGTAGGGCCGACCACGGCATCAAAGGCTCTCTTCAAGCATGCTTTGCAAGTAAACATAGTCGTTCTGCCTCGACAGCTCACAATGGCGAACATGCGAACAGGGGCGCATTAGAGATGGCATTCGCGAAGATGCTCGCTAGAAAATATTAGCTCGGAGCTGTCGCAGGACATTCTGAAGACCTCCTTATCTTATCCTATGGAATTTTGAGCCAGGGTCTATCCGAATGCTTGTCTGACGTTGTAGCCGACGGGAAGATGCTCTTAATGAAGCGAATGCATCTAATGAACACACTGGGTGGGACTAGATCAAGCATAGTGGGACACTGGTCCACCCAGCCAATCAGCTGTCATCCCAGCCACCTTTTAGGGGCCGTTACTATTTAGGGGAAGATGGGTTAATTGATCTGACCGTGATTCGCGACACAGACGCGCTGTGATCCGGGAGGTTACCTACGTGAGGGTGGCCCGCGTCGCGTCCCCACCAAGTGTTTCTCTCCTAAAGTGACTGCCCCCCAACACGCAATGCCTGCCTGCAACTGCAACCATTGAATCACATCCACGCACTCCCTTCACCTCCAATTGACTATGTGTTGCCGTTTGTAGCAGTATTTTTCCACATACGCTGACACTGAGTCTGTCTATTCCACCACAATGTCGAAAGCTGCGAGTAAACGCAACAGGTTCGCTGAGCTTCGAGCTCTGCGGGCCTCCGGAAAGAAGGCCTACGACTCGTATGAGGTTGCCGAGGAGCAGGATCTATACGAAGAAGTCGACGAGAATCAGTACAAGAAGATCGTTCGAGACCGCCTTAATCAAGATGACTTCGTCGTCGACGACAATGGTGAAGGGTACGCCGACGACGGCCGGGAAGATTGGGATCGTGTTCAGACGTACAACTCGGAGAGCGACGATGACATGCCCCATGCACCCAAGGACCGCAAATCAGGTATGTCCACACAACCACCTACGCGGACTCGACGCCATACTCACCCTGTGCCAGACAAGCGGAAACGCGACGAGGAGAAGGCGAAACGAGACGCGAGCGACCGCGACATCAGCGAATATTTCATGAAAGGGCAGGCCGGTGCTCAACCGAAGCCAAAGGTATACAGGTCCTCCCCATGCTTCAAGTCGCTGGTGGTGACTAATTGGAATTCTAGGTTGCGAAAACCAAAGACGATGAAAGATTCCTGGCAGACTTGCTGGGCGAGGTCGACGCCAACGTTCCCGCGCCTGTGTCCCGAGCCTCCAAACGACATAGATCCCCTGAAAGGCGACGCGCTCGTGCACTGTCGCCCGTTCGAGAAGCTCGACAGCCGATGCCCAAGAAAGCCAGGCTCAGCGAAGAGCGACTACCGCCAAACCCCCAAGCTGAAGATGTCTACGACGACGACGACGACGACGACGACGGGTTCATGGCACCTATGGATGATGATCTCCCGCCGCTCCCTACAGATGTTACCATGAGCGATTCGGTACCGGCCCCGTCCTCTCCGGCAACCAAGGCAGTCGCTCGTAAAGCTCAGATGAAACCTGAAGCGGCAGAAGAGGAAGACGAAGAGATTATGGAGGTTGCCCATGCTGGTGCTACCAATACAGCCAGTGTCAACTTATCCGCATCGCGACACATCAAGAAACTAGCCAAGCCGGTGGACCCTTACCCTTCACCGGCCAGCTCTTCGCCTTCCAAGGCTCCGGAGACGACTGTCGATTCCTCTTCATGGAACAACCTGACGGATAAGCTGAATGTCGTTACCAGTTCGCCCCCTGCAGCTCGAACCATCGGGAAGATGGACTACAAGGACGCCATCGAGGAAGATGGCAGCCTCAATATGTTCTGGACAGACTACACCGAGGTCAATGGATCGCTTTGCTTATTTGGTAAAGTGCTCAACAAGAAGACTGGCGCGTATGCCAGCTGCTACGTCAAGATCGACAACATCCTGAGGAAACTATATTTCCTACCACGCCAATTTCGCCAGAGAGATGGACGCGACACGAGCGAAGAGGTAGAGATGATGGACGTCTACTGGGAGGTGGACGATATCATGACCAACATGAAGGTCGACATGCACAAGATCAAGGCTTGCACACGGAAGTACGCCTTTGAACTCCTTGGCATTCCCAGGGAAGGGCAGTATCTCAAACTACTCTACCCTTATAAGAGTAAGTTCCACCTACCTGATGAGACCTCGATCATGAGACTGATGCAAAGAAGCGCAACCAATTGCTCCCGAAACCAAGGGCCAAACGTTCTCCCATGTCTTCGGCACCAATACTGCGCTCTTTGAACAGTTCGTGCTGTGGAAGAACATCATGGGCCCATGTTGGCTCAAAATCAAGGACGCCGACTTTGGTACATTGAAAAATGCCTCCCACGCCAAGCTCGAAGTTCTCGTCAATAGTCCGGATACGGTATCTTCGTTGGCTGAATCGGACAACCTTGATGCTCCTCCTCTTACACTGATGAGTCTGGCTATGCGGACTACCTACAACGCCAAGGCGAACAAGCAAGAAATCTTTTCAGTCAGTGCTCGCATATACGAAAACGTCTTGCTCAGCGACACCACCCCTGCGGAAAAACTGCCTTCGCGGACTTTCACGCTGATCAGACCTAATGGCACCGCATTTCCGACTGGGTTTGAGAAGCTGGCCTTGGGAAGGAAGAAGGGCCTGATCAAGCTGATGAAGCAAGAGTCTGAGATCTTGTCGTTCTTCTTGGCGCAAATTGACCTCGTCGACCCCGATGTGATACTTGGACACCAGCTCGAAGGTGTGGACTACAGTGTTCTGCTGAACCGGCTGCACGAGAAGAAGACTCCCCAATGGTCACGACTTGGCCGACTGCGCCGGACGCAATGGCCAACATCCATCGGAAAGGTCGGTGGCAACGTCTTCGCTGAGCGTCAGCTCATGGCTGGCCGTTTATTATGCGACCTTGCCAATGATGCCGGAAAGTCGGTCATGACCAAGTGTCAGTCCTGGAGCTTGACCGAAATGTGCAGCATCTACCTCGGTGGAGACACACGCCGAAGGGACGTCGACAACGAGGCTGCTCTGAAGACATGGGCTACGGAGAAGACGGGTCTGATGGATTATGTCACGCATATGGAAGCAGACACGTACTTCGTCGCTGCGCTCGCTCTGAGAACTCAGATGTTGCCTTTGACCAAGGTTCTGACCAACTTGGCCGGCAACTCGTGGGCCAGAACATTGACAGGCACCCGAGCTGAGCGGAACGAGTACATTCTGTTGCATGAGTTTCATCGCAACAAGTACATCTGCCCGGACAAGCAGTTCTTCAAAGCGCGACCCAAGGCCGAAGAAGAGAACAACGAGCAAGATGCCGCCGACAGCAAGAAGAAGGATAAATACAAGGGAGGTCTGGTCTTCGAGCCGGAGAAGGGCCTTTATGACAAGTTCGTGCTTGTCATGGACTTCAACTCTCTGTATCCTTCTATCATCCAGGAGTTCAACATCTGTTTCACAACTGTTGATCGGACCGCACTGGTAAGCCTTGTTCGACGACTGGTTCTTATGATTATTGCTGACATGGACCATAGTCTGATGATGATGATGCCGTGCCAGAAGTTCCAACCGACCAGGACCAAGGCATTCTGCCGAAGCTCATTGCTACCCTGGTCAGCCGGCGACGCTCAGTCAAGTCACTCATGAAGGGCAAGAATGCCACATCTGAGCAGCTTGCAACTTGGGACATCAAGCAGCTTGCCTTGAAACTGACAGCCAACTCTATGTACGGCTGTTTGGGATACACAAAATCCCGCTTCTACGCTAGGCCACTCGCTGTCCTCACTACCTACAAAGGCCGTGAGATTCTTCGCAGCACCAAAGAACTTGCCGAGTCCAAGGCTTTGCAAGTCATCTACGGTGACACGGACTCTGTCATGATCAATGCCAATGTCGAGTCAGTGGCTGATGCTCTCAAAGTCGGCACAGAGTTCAAAAAGGCCGTCAACGAGCGGTATCGTCTACTTGAGATTGATATTGACAATGTCTTCCGGCGAATACTGCTGCAGGCCAAGAAGAAGTACGCGGCTATCAACCTCGTCGAAGTGCCTGGCGGCAAATACATCGAGAAGATGGAAGTCAAGGGTCTCGATATGAAACGGAGGGAATACTGTGCTCTTTCCAAGGAGATATCCTCACGTATTCTCAACGAGATACTCTCTGGGGACGAGACTGAAGTCTGTGTCCAACGCATACACGAGTACCTGCGGGAAATATCGGCAAACATGCGCGAACACAGCATCCCTGTCGAGAAGTACATCATATACACACAGCTCGGAAAGGGGCCGAAGGAGTACCCCAACGCAGACTCGATGCCTCAAGTCCAAGTAGCTCTACGAGAGATCGCACGGGGCAAGAACGTTCGTCGTGGAGATGTTATCTCGTACGTGATCACTGGAGATAGCAAGACCACTTCAGAGCCTGTCGCCAAGCGCGCATACACGCCGCAGGACGTGAAGAAGGCGGACTCAGGCCTTACGACAGATATCGAGTGGTACATGGGCAAGCAAATCTTCCCACCTGTCGAGCGTCTCTGCGCCAACATCACGGGCACATCAACCTCACAACTCGCCGAGCAACTGGGTCTCGACATCCGCCGCTACGCCAACTCATCCAACCAGTCCAGCTCCAATGATCTCGAGATTCACCCTCTCGAGTCCCAGATCCCTGATGAGGTCCGCTTCAGCGACTGTACCCGCCTCGCCCTGCGTTGTCGCAAATGCAAGACGTCGTCTCCCTTTGAGGGCCTGCTCTCGACGGCGCATCCCGACCGCGTAACGCCGCAGGGTATCTCATGCTCGTCGTGCGCAACGGTCATCCCAAACCTCAGCATCGTCGCGCAAGTCGAGCACGCCGTCCGCACCGCAACCTCGCGCTACTACGAGGGCTGGCTCGTGTGTGACGACGCGTCGTGCGGCAATCGCACACGCCAGATGGCCGTGTACGGCACGCGGTGTATGGGCCCCAAGGGCCTGGCCTCGGGCTGCCTCGGCCGCATGCGCTACGAGTACAGCGAACGCGACATCTACAACCAGCTCGTCTACCTCGCGTCGCTGTGGAACGTCGAGAAAGCACGCGTGAAAGCAGCCTCGGGTGCCGCCGGTCAGGGCGGCGAGGGCAATGCGGGCGCGCTGAGCGCCGCTGAGAAGGACCGCGTTCTCGCGCTTGCTGAGCACAACCGCGTCCGCTTTGGTACTGTGAAGGCCGTCGTGGATAGGTATCTCGATAAGTGCGGCCGCCAGTGGGTCGCTATGGACACGCTGTTTGGGAAGCTTGGGTTCACGGCTGTTACTGTCTGAAGAAGCAGAAACGGAGTGCCGAGAGGGGGTGGGTGATTAAAGCATAGGATTAATTGACTGGGTGGTACGATAGGGCGAATGGCGCTCGGCGAAGATCAAAGCATGGAAGCAAGCAGCAGCAGCAGCAGTGTTTGATATAGTGTTTGGAAGGGCTTTCTGGGTTTCTGGGTTGGCTTTGTTTGCTGTCTTGCGCAGCTTACTGTTTGGTACGAGATGATGGCTGGTTTGCTTGCTTTGTCGTTGGTTCTGTTCATCCATACAGGAGTTGGGGCGGCAGGATACCGGTTGTTTTTCGTCATCATCTATAATCCGTTCTTCATTGAAGCATACACATTTCGAACATACTTCTCGCCTCAAGTAGACAATCCCTCCATGTACCGTGCTCTCCTGTTCAGTCTTCCTGCGGTCCGACTTTGTCGGTCCTCTGGTAACTTAGGTAGGTACGGAGTCGGAGAGCAACGTAGTTCAACGACGTAGATCAACGACCTGCCTGCAATATTGGCGTCGGTCGTCTAGTTGGTGAACATGTTACCTGACCTGTTCTACCCCTGACTCACTACCACAAGCAGCTTCAGCACAGCATCAGGTGCCATACGATAGGTACTTATGTAGCCACACTTACAGCTCTGCTGACCTACCTTTCGCATTCGAGCCTTCCACCTTTTCATTCAGCAATAGGAGAGTCAATCAGAGGGTGTATATATTCTGGGGCTTACACGATTCGCCACGCAAGCCAGCTCTAGAACATAGATCACATACTCGGCGGAAGGACAGGCGGCTATTATATCGTGACTTAGATTGGAGGGCTTGCTTATTACTAATTAGTGGTGTGAGAGCAGTTGCGTCGGCCTGCATAACTTATAAGACAAGGGAATACGACGACTGCAATGAATGCGGGTGCTGAACCATGCATGATCTGGCTAATAATCATTGGATGGGTGTTTAACTGATTGGGAGTCCGGGACCGCGCGCTATGGCTCACATTGTTTCTCAAGTGAATTCGAATTTGCAAAGAACGGGAATGATACTGCAGCCATTTGTGTTGCCCAGTCGTAAGTCGACGTGAAGCATACAAATCACCAAATCTTGTTCATGTACATGAAGACACTCAGACAGAACAAAACCAAAGCAAAGGATAGACAGGCATGAAGGGTGATTAACGCGAGGTCAGCGCACTGGTCCTGCGCCCATCTATCAAATGATACAAGGCTCCCATCCTCTGACAGAGTCCGATTTTCCACTCCACCCCTCTCCGTCTGTGCTGAGCGTAATGCTCCTAGGTTCACTAACCTCAGTAACTGGCGAGAATGATTTGACGAAACGAAGCATCAAACAAAGCCTGGGTATTGCTTTGTCCCGCCCATTTCTGTACACATCAAGTTCGTATTCTCTTTACCGAACCAGTAGAACTCCACCAAACGCCTGTATGTAGACCTTGAAGGTCCATCGTACTCCGTGAGAAAGGGCCAACCCCCGCTCTAGAGAAAGGGCAGCCCGACTAAGGCATAGCAGCAAGCTCGCCTATCTCGGGAATAACAATGCACAACCAGCTCGGCAAAAGTCTCGAGCTGGGTGGGGAGGATTGTCTATACTGGCTGGCATGCAGAGCTGCCGATTACTCTCCATCAGTCTGAGCACCACTAGCGCCTCCGTTGACTTGACTGGCACCGTTAGTTACCAGTCTTATCCTCGTGGTGTTTGGGTACGGCTGAGGTGTGCCTGCACTGGTTGTAGGGGCGGCCGAGCTGTCCTTGGCAGAGGGATCGTCGAGATCGCCTAGTTCCGGGTGCTCGTTGATCTCTGCTTGCGCCCTGTCATTGAAGAATTTCTATGCGAATTAGCTTGCGAACCATGGACACTGCAATCGGACTAACAAGAGCCGACTTACCTCCATGAATATCGCATCTGAATAAAGAAGACTGCCGTCTTCATTGTACGTCTTGCAGTTATTGCACATCAGCACGATGTCCCTGCGCATGTCGTTGATGCTGCCGTACTCCTCCTTCTTGATCTTCGCCTGTATCTGGTTCATACAGATCGGGTTCTTGATGAGCATGTAGTAGTCACCGTAGTCCCGCTTGGATGGCAGCTTGACGAAAGGTCCAATGATGAGGCGCTTGGCGGGTTCCTCGTCATCATCGTCATCAACCTGCTCATCAGGAGGAATGTCGGCTTCCAGACCCATCAAGCCGTCGTAGATATTGCGCAGGCTTCTTTGAAGGACTGGCCGTACCTCTGGGGGCACGCGTGATTCGATGCCGTTCCCGGCCATTGCTTTGGAGCGTCCCTGTGGCCCACGTCGCTTCTTGGCAGGTGGCTCAGCAACGTCATCTTCCGCTTTGCGCTTCTCGTTCTTGCTGCCCGGTTTGCGGCCACGTTTCTTGGGTGGCGACTCGACCTCCTCAGAGCTTGCACGGCTGGCACTTGGAGAATTGACGCTAGACGCAATCCCCCCTGTGAGTCTTTTGACGCGGTTCGTCTCTCGTCTGTCCTTCCTGGCTTGTTTCCGTGCAGCAGCCGCCTCTGGTGAGTCGTCATCATTGTCTACAGCATCAAGCCACTGCTCCTCAGTAAGACCATCGTCGTATTTGACTCGAGTACGCTCACGGGCACCACGGCCCAGGGTCTCTTCCACCTCCTCCGGATTTGGGTTCCCTTCTGAGATATAGATCTCTGGAAGCTCACTATCCACCATAAGCCGTGGCGCGTGTTTCGAGCCCGGAGCAGTGCCATAAAGAGGATCCTTGGCTCGTTCCTCGTCCATTTTCTGGAAAACAGCAACCTCATCGTCGCTTCGAGCAAGGAGCATGTTCAACTCCTCATCGTCCATCTCGTCTTGATCGCCAGTTTCTGCCATTTCCGCCGTCTCTAGCAGTGTTCGAAGCATGGCATCACGGTCGGTTTCCGATGACTTGTTGTCGAAACGTCCAGCTTGAATGACCTTTCCGTCCATGTCAAGCTTGTATCTGGCCCGTTCAAGGATCTTCTCTTCAACTGAGTTGGAGCTGATGAGACGTAAGATGCGCACTTCATTCTTTTGTCCGATACGATGCGCACGATCCTGCGCCTGCAAATCTTGATGGGGATTCCAATCCGAGTCATAGATGATGACGGTGTCAGCTGTTTGCAAGTTCAGACCCAGGCCACCTGCGCGGGTGGACAGTAAAAACATGAAATACGGCGAATCAGGGGCGTTGAAGTGTTTCAACAGGTCGGAACGGTCTTCCGACTTGGTCGCACCGTCCAGACGCATGTACATGATTCCTCGGTATCGGAGAAAGTCTTCCATGATGTCCATGATGGCCGTCATCTGGAAGAACATGAGCACACGGTGACCGGTAGCTCTGTACTTCGGCAGGATGCGATCTAGAAGTTCGAATTTGCCAGCCGAACGCCAGAGAAGGTCATTGCTGGTATTCAACGGGTTCATCTGGTTCTCCACTTCATCGAAGACGAAAGGGTGATTGCAGAGTTTCCGCAGTTGCATGATCATGTTGCTCAGACCCTTTTGTGCGGTCTTGCCGCCCTTCCCGTCGCTGACAGCAATCTTCTGGTGAGTGACCATTTGCTTGTAGAGACGAGATTGGAGCGCCGAGAATTTGCACTTGATGACCTTTTCCGTCTTGTCAGGCAGGTCCTTCTCCACGTCTCTCTTGAGACGACGGAGCAAGAATGGTCGCAGAACCTTGTGCAAGCGGCGAATGACAAGGATTTGCTCTTCTTCGTTCAGCTCCATCTTGTCTTGCCCGCCGGTATTTGCGAACGGGGTGTTGAACCACTCATCGAATGTCTTCACAGACTTGAAGATGTTTGGAAGGACGAAATTGAGCATGGCCCACAGTTCAGTAAGATTGTTCTGCAGCGGCGTTCCAGTAAGGATGAGGCGGAAGCGAGTGCTGTAGTGCTGGGAGATGGTCGCACTCAGCTTGGAGTTGGCGTTCTTCATACGGTGGCCTTCGTCGATGATCATGTGGAACCACTTGATCTTGCTCAGGATCGGACGGTCCTTGATGATGTATTCGTACGTTGTCAGCAAGACCTGGAATCTGCCTTGGCGGATGCTCTCCTGCTGCAGCTTTCGGGTGTTGGGTGGCCCCTTGTAAACGATCCGGGAGAGGGATGGAGCCCACTTCTCGAATTCGAGATTCCAATTGGTCAGCGTACTCAGGGGGACGATGACAAGGTACGGGCCTTGCTGCATCTTGCGCTCGATCAGGTACGTGATCAAGCTGATAGTCTGGATGGTTTTGCCGAGACCCATTTCATCGGCCAGTATACCGTTGAGGTTGTTATTGTAAAGGGAGATCATCCATTGCAAGCCCTTGATCTGGTATTCCTTGAGAGTACCTCCGACAAGGATGTTGGCCTGTTCCGTGACCTCTTCCCTGACGCGATGGGCTATAGCGTAGTAATCGACCTTGCGACCAACATCCTCATCTTCCATCTCCGGCTCTTCTTCAGGCAACTCTCCGGCTTCATCACCGTAGTGCTCTGCAGCTTGTCGCTGTTGCGCCTTGACGGAAGAAGCAAGCTGGTGCAAGAAACCATCGGTCTGCTTGAGCAAGTGTGTGATACGAGTATCCTTCGCCTGGTCAAGCAGCTTGAGGTAAGCTTCTTCGTCATCGGCCTTAAGTGCCTGGAGACGTTGCTTCGCCGTACGCTCGACACGCTTCTGTTCTTCCTTCTCAATATTGAAGTGATGTGCGTACATGGCCTTGCCAATCTTGGACATCTTGTTCCTAACAGCGGATGCCGTGTTGTGGATCTCGGACTTGTGGTGGTGCACAGATTGAAGGAAGTCGATGTGCTTCTTCTTCTCTCGGTGCTCGCGGGCATCGCGCTGCTGCTTCTCGAGCTTCTCCGTGATGCGAGCTTCCCGAACGCTCTGCTTCTTGATGCGACGATATTGGCTGCGGTTTGTCGTCATGGCCAGGTTGTCATAATGCATCATCTGGCGCCCAATCTTCTCACGCAGCGCTCGCTGCTTAGAATACAGCCCAAGAGACTTGAGCTCTATGACGGCCTTGCGCTTCAGGCTGTCATCAGGCGCAAGAGTTTCCTTGATGGTATCCCAGTGTGCGATATTACCAGGTACACTTTTAAGCTCGGCGTATCTAGCTTTCATGCGGTTGATGACAATGATTTCGCGCTCATGCCTCAGCTGTTCGAAATCGACGCCAGTCGGGAATAAGCTGGGGATGACAAGGCGGTGTTTACGATCGCCATGATCGTAGTAGTTGATGTCCTTGCATATAAGACCATTCTCGTATGGAGACTTCATAGTCTTGTAGGTCTTGACCTTCGGAGCAGCCTCATTTTCAGACGTTGCCTCTCCGTCGGGTTGGGTAGAACCAGCCTTCGTCGTGTCCGGGGTTGACGCTTTAGCGGCGTCGGCAGCCGGAGGCTGGGTTGACTGCTCGGCAACTGCTTGTCTTCGCTGGCGTTGAGCGTTCAGCGCCAGTTGCATCTGGTACGGCACACCTGCATTCTTACCCAGCAACTTGAAGGCCTGGATCTGTTGTCTAAGCAATGCAAGCTGCTGCGTAGAGAACTGATTCATTGGGGAGGCAGTTGAAGGCGACGACGTGCCCGCCTGAGCTGCCGAGGCCGATGTAGGTGGCAGCGCAGATGCACTTAAAGCTGAGGTTGAAGGTGGCTGACTGGTCTGCGAGGTGTTGGGTTGTTGACCAGGTTGTGTCCCATTAACATCTGCATTATGGGCATTTCGCATCTGCTGCTGCTGCTGCTGGTGATGCTGTTGCCGCAGTGCTTGTTGCTGCTGGAACTTGACGAGGAATTGGCTCGTTTTGATAAACTCGGGATCATTATGGGGAATGCCTTGCTTCTTCATCTGCTGGAACTTCTGTTATCACTGTTAGCACTGGTGACACTTGGGTAGAGACACAACAGAGTCCAGAAGGGCAGTACGAACGGCGAACATCTCTTGAACGTGGGCCTGGCTCATCTGCGACAGGCCTGCCGGGCCAGGGTTATGCTGGACAGAAGCCATCTTGAATGACTTGATCAAAGCATTGGCATGCAGCTGCGGTAAGATCTACTTCTTCTCCCAATGCTATCTTATGAAATGTTCATGTCTATAGCACCGCAACACGTGGCTATCGGAGGTCGCGTCGGGTCGCAAGGTTATGGGTTACCAGCGACGGGGTAACGAGCGTATCGCGATGTGGAGAGTATGTCGCGACAGATGGCTGCGATGCGGCAGCGTGGACGGGAACGCGTCGCAACCCGAGGCTGGAGAGCCGGAGGTCAGGCGTTGCGCCGGGGAGTATTTGGTTCGGGAGGAGGGTGTCGGTTGAGAAGTGTGGAGGTCTGCGGCGTGCACGATGCGGCCGCAGGCGTGGTGGGATGGCCGTGTAGTGCGGCGTCGCTCACCGGGGACTATCAAATGGCAGATGCTAATGTGCGACTGCGATTGATAGAATGGGTGGTGGTAGTGGGGAATGACGGTGACAGGTGTGAGGGTAGGTCAGGTCAGGTCTGCGTTGCGCGGCGGCTCGTCGCGGTCGGGGGACGTGAGTCGGAAAGGCCAAGGTGGTGCAGGTGGTGCAGGTGCAGGCAGGTGGGAAAAGAACGATTGCTCTGGGCAGTGGGCAGTGGTTGGCCGCGGGCGCGTGAAAAGCCGGTGCAGGGGCCGGAATCCGCTTGAACGCCGCGTACAACTAGAGCGGCTGCTCACTTGGGTAGGTTGTTGATGGCCTTGGAGGGGGAAGGGGGATTGGGTGATGCGGCTCGCTTTTTTGGATGCGCGATTGATGGCGTGGAAGAGGTGGTTGATTGATGAGAATGCGCACAAGGAAACTCCATCTGCCCCCAGGGCGGAGGCTCCATTCTGCCCGTGACCTGGTCAAAGCGCTTTAGGATCCACCCAGCTGAGGCGCTAGAACCCCGGCTTAACTTTTTGCCGGCCATATCCATCCAGATTGAGCCAATCAGATCCGTTCATTTCGGGGAATTGACCTGCTGTGCTCCGCACCTATTCATGGCTGCAGGTGGGTCGAAACTTCAAGTTCACAGGCAACTGGAAAGTACCATGTAGCAACAGTAGGTAGCATCCATTGATTCAAGCATCGCCGTGCTACATTATCTAGTACATCGAATATTTTAAGTGGAAGGAAATATGTCTAGGTAGATCATAGGCTATTATATTACTCAAAATATGTATGTATGTATCTAGACCGGAGGCACGTTGCTGATACTCTATGCCTGCTAGACCATATCAGTTAACCGCAGCTTTCGTTCGGCTGGCATACCTTCACAACAACGGAGACCCTCCCCTGAGTCTGGCAGCAGACTGTAGTGTAATGTATCCTACCACTGGGTATGCATCTTCAGACCAACCAACTAGGGACCTGGGTATGCAAACCTGACGTGACAATGGCCTGTAGCGAGAGGAATCGATTATTCAAACCCCGAACAGCCAGCATGACACTCAGTCCCTATACTGTATGTTGGCGGGCAGTTCGATATTTCTGCTGGATGTACCAGGAGTGTTAGAGGGGCTCGAAGCCAACGATGACTCAAGCGGCTGGCAAAAGTTATACTGCCACTATTAACTTAGTTCAGCCATGTTTCGTGGGCCATACGGCTTGAATAAGCAGCTGCTTATCACATTGCGACTTGTTGGTCCCCCGCCTGAGTGTATAGCACGATCAAAGGAGACCTGCATCACTCTCTCCTATCTCACCTCTTGGCTTTCTTCTTATCCGGCCCCTCCTCTTCGTCATCGCTCGCGTCCGCGTACTGCGTGACTGGCTGCGTGTCCTTCCACGCGTTCGTGAACATGGGATCTTTATTTGCCTTGTCTGCATACTTGAGTAGTGCCTCTCTGGGGTCTTCGTGCAGCATCGAACTCAACGGGATGTTCTCGCTAATGTGTTTCTGGTCAGGCTGGCTGCGCATGAATGGAGTCTGCAGAGGCATCTGCGGCCTCCTGGGGTCTTTCGATTTGCCAGATGCTGTAACACCAGCCTTCCTAGATCCCGCGAGGGCACCGGGCGTGATGATGGACTCGCCCGACAGCCCGAGGGACAGATCGGTGGTGAACTCTGGGTTGTCATCGATGTGCCGTCGCTTTGGCGCGCGTGACATGACGTCGACGGCACCTCTTGTTGACATGGTGGGATTGTAGAGGATATGCGTCTCCGCATTCGCAGACCCTGTGACGATTTGGTTGATTTTGGGGTGCCAATCCACCGTAATCAGGGGCGAACCAGGGGTGATTGGTGTGGTGAACTCAGGCCGCAAATTACCCGGATTCAATATGTGAAGATGCCCGGTCGCCGAGCCCGTGATGATGCTCGTGGAATTCGGCGCGTATTTGATATTGGTCGTCTGGTAGTGGTCAGACGTGGATGCGTGTTCAACGGCAACTAGAGGCTCCTTGAATTTGCGCGTATCCCAGAGCTTGATTGTATTGTCGCCTCCTCTGGTCACAACCATGCGCCCATCAGAGCTGATGTCGATGCCTCCGGTCCAGGTGTTGGGCTTGTGGGCATTAGTTATCTCTGCGGCAGGCCGATAGAAAGGACCGTTTCCACTCCATATGACGAGGGACCCGTCCAGAGCTGCCGAGACCAGGACATTGTTGCCTCCCTGGACTGGTGTCCCCCAAGCGACGGCCGTCATCCGTGTCCTGCCCGCAGCTCCCGCGGCTTTAGACTTGAAGACAATAACCTCCTTCTGGCTGCGCTTGTTGTTTATGTCCCATATCCGTAGAGTGCTGTCTGTTCCTGCCGTGACACATAGATTTTTGTCTGTGGGGTGCCACGTTCCTGTTGTGACCTCCGAGACGTGGCCCTTCGTGTTATGCATGTCCCGCAGATACATATCGCCTTTGACAAACTGTGCGAGGACATCGCCGTCGCGGGACATGATCTTGGCTTGGGGATGCGCAGATATACACAGGAAGACGCCTCCGGCCAAAGGGTTGAACTGGACGAGGTTCACAGGGTGCGTCTCTGAGTTGGCGGAAGATTTGCCTTCGAATGGATCGATGCTTCTGAAAGCGCGTATGGTGGTCGGCGTCATGGCGGAGAAGTCATGCATCTTGACAGTGCAGTCGATGGAGCCTGATATGAAACGCCCGCCGGCTGGATCCAGTGACACTGACGTGACGGCGCGATCGTGGGTCTTGACGACCATCTCATGGGAGGTAGGATACTCGTCATCGTCATCGGAGTCGTTTGAGTCATCGTCGCTGTCACTCGCATCGTTGGATCCCGAATGGTGATCTTGTTCGGCAGGCTTCTGTGCGGCGACGGTTCTCTTGCTCCGGTCAATCTGCGCGGCGATGTCGGCTTCTTTGGACTTCTTCCCAAACGAGGCCGGCAGAAAAGCGCGCATGGGATCATCCTCGGCCAAGTCGGGCCCAGCGACCTGGACGTCCTCGTCGTCGCTCATTGCTCAAAACGTGGTGCGTAGTATGATTACCCAGGCAGTGGCGGTCCTATGGTGAGAGTCTGCTCGAACAGGCGCCCAGTCACTGCTCATCCCACTGCTCTGTTGATCAGTGTGTCTTCCGCCTAGGTGGAGTGAATGCTGGCTGTTGGGGTTTGGAGGTCAAGTTAAAAGAAGGTCGCAGTTTGAAGTTTCGCAGTTTCGCAGCGAGGCTGATGGAACATGGATGATGGCCCGGGGAATCGGGATGTGTGAATTTCGATGCTCGCAGCTCTAGGGTGGGTCGCTAATAAAGCTTCCAATGCAGAATGACGGCAGCAGGTGGCAGGCCGCTTGTACTAAGGTACGACGTCCCTCGCAGAACGCAACTGCCAACCACGGAACTGACTTCCAAACATTTTCTACTTGTTACGATTTTTGCAAAAGCATTCATTCGAGCTCGACTCTCGACGGCTCTTAAATCAGCTGTCCAAATTCCTTATCGCCCCCGGCTTGCTTGTACGATACCGTGTCCGGGCCTACGATTCTCGCCGTCTGCGCCTATTCCGCGTTGCGCTCCACCCCCGAATCGCGCCGTTTGAACCACCCTCGATCAAGGTGTTCATGAACCCATTACGAATGAGGCCCGACCAGTCCAACAAGTTGCCATCGGAGCCTGCGGACGCCGTGGCTACTGCTATTGGCGCACCCCGACCGCTGCCCGACGGACCCTGAAATTCTCGTCGTATCTGCGCCGATATCTCCGCCGCATCCGTTACTCCCCGGTGCGACTCACGGCGGCGCGATGCCGGTTATACCAAACGATAGTAGCAACGGGGGAGTAGATTGGGGTCATCTGGGCACCGAGGCCGACGGCCATGATGGGTCGACTTTAGGAAACTGGAGCTCGCTCATCGGAATCGTGACAGCCATCGTGGGAAATATGCTGATTGCTCTGGCGCTGAACGTACAACGGTACTCCCACATTCAGCTACATCGGCGGCGGGTGGAGGCGCGTGGCAAAGCGAGGGAGGCTATGAAAAGAGTACAGGAGGGCCGTCGCGACGGCTATGGCACAGCAGATACGCCTGAGGCCGAACTGCCGGGAACTGGAGGAGACGATACCGATGCCATGGAAACGCATCCCCTTGCCCGATCTTTCCAGTCCGGCGACTCAGGGTGGTCAGAACGTTCAGGCGACGATTCCAAGGTTACGTCGACCTACCTGAAGTCGCCGTCGTGGTGGTTGGGCCAGGTATTGATGACGGTTGGTGAGATGGGCAACTTCTTGGCATACGGCTTTGCGCCAGCTTCGATTGTATCGCCCCTGGGAGTTGTGGCTCTGATATCGAATTGTGTGATCGCACCCCTTTTCTTCGGCGAAGTCTTTCGAAAGCGAGACTTCTGGGGCGTAGTCATTGCCGTCGGAGGAGCTGTCACGGTAGTTCTCAGCGCCAATACTGAGGAGACGAAGCTCAACCCGCACGATGTTTGGGATGCTATAACGACTTTGGCCTTCGAGATATACCTCGGTGTCACCATATTCATCATTATCGTCCTGATGTGGGCAAGCCCCAGATATGGCAATCGAACAATATTGATAGACCTTGGTTTGGTGGGACTCTTTGGTACGTGTACTCACTCTGACCTGATGGCAAGCATAGTGCTAACAACTACACAGGTGGCTACACAGCTTTGACCACCAAAGGTGTTTCTTCGATGCTTTCTTCGACTCTATTCGGAGCGTTCGCCACTCCTGTCACTTACGGGCTCATCATTGTCTTGCTCGCTACTGCAGTCATGCAGGTTCGATACGTGAACAAGGCGCTTCAGAGATTCGATTCAACTCAGGTTATACCCATTCAGTTTGTCATATTCACTCTATCAGTAATCATTGGAAGCGCTATTCTATATCGAGACTTCGAGCGTACATCGACAGAGCAGGCTGCCAAGTTCGTCGGAGGTTGTCTTCTGACCTTCTTTGGGGTCTTCCTTATCACCAGCGGCCGGCCGCGACATGATGATGACGATGAGCTGTCAGATGACGACAACGTGGAGGAAACTATCGGTCTCAGAGACCAGGAAGGCTCGGGCCCCTACATCGACGTAGTAGATGAACCCTCGGCAGCATCGTCAAGGAGGTCATCTCGAGCGTCTCGAGTCAATTTCGCCGGTCTCAACCTCCTAACACCCCAAGGAGGAAGCGGTACGCCTTCCAGTCGGAGACAGGATGCTTCGTCAAGGACATCTCTTGCGATCCCCGCAGAGTCCTCACCTCTACTCAATAATACGTCGCCCAATAAATCAGTCCACCCAGGGTTCGCACCCACGTTCTCTGCGGATAGTGTCCAGACGATCCATTCGGCATCCACGGTCGTTCCGGAGCCCATGCAATCTTCAATCAACCTCCCGCAATCGGGTGTATCACCAGCTGCAGACCGGCCAGTGACGCCACGTCCATCCCTTTCGATGTCTCGTCCACACAGTCATCATTACTCAAAATCATTCATCTCCCCGTCACCTCTGTCGTCGACCGTCAGTGCTGTGGTTGCTGACGCCCTCCGCAGAGGGGAGGAGGTCCCGACCGGACGACGACGATCTGTTAAGCATCCTAGGCCTAGCATCCGGGCTAGTATCTTTGCTCCCAATGACGATGATGAAAGTAGTCCGGTCGCTGAACCGCTGATTCGATCAATTAGCGACAGGGAGCCGGCTCCAAATCAAGGCGAACCGCATCCCAGCGAACGGAGGACTCTCCGTGGACGAACCCGCAGTCTAAGCCATACACTAGGAGATTTCTTCGGGCGGAAGAAGAAGAGGCGGGACTTCGACACAGAGGCAGGCGAAAGCCATGAGGATTCAACTAGCGACCCACCAGGTCCGCCACGGATAGACAACGACAGCTGAAGTAAGCAGTGGGACTTTTGATACGCATACATCGCATTGGCATTGGATAGGAGTTACAGTCTGCATTTGTCACGGTTGTTTGCTGCTTCTACGCGGGGAGAAGCTCTCTGTCCATACCGGCGCCGCTCTCCTGGGACCGAAATAGTTTCTGAAGATGTATAGATTCAAACCATAGTACTTAATTGAGATATCCATCCCGTTTCGTTCACTATAAAACCCCAGGTTTTTGACGGATAGAGGTGAAAAGGCAGGCAGACACCTTTTGGCTAGCTGCAAACAGTTGTCTCTAATCCAGGCCAATGCAATGAGTGATCCCCGTTCCCCTTTTCTGTCTGGGAGGACGCACGCGTAAGGAGCTTCAGTTCGAATCGCCATCCGTGCGAATATAACCAAGAGAGAAAAATGGGAATCCTCCGAAATAGAAATGTCCTCGGCGCTCAGGTGTAGGTAGTCAGCACTCGATCATTTCATTTGCATCGAACTGGAAGCCTGCACTCACTCCTTCGACAAGCGGCCGGGACTCTGGGCAAATCGCCGTGAAAAAGGTGCTTAGGTAGTAGGTAGGTTCTGGGAAGACACAGCCCTTCTGCACTACGGTGAGACTTTTGTTTTGTCTATCTGCGTGGGAGAAGCAGCAGCAGCATCAGTAGCGGAGGCAGTGGTGCAAGGCACACAACCGGGAGAATCGGGCTCGTCATGCCCCCATGAGCGAGCAGAAGACTGGAGGTATTGGTTCATCAGGTGTAATCGTTCTTCCCAAGACCCAGCTTAACTACAGGGGGCAGATTAGCTACATACATACATACATGCATAAGTCCAAGCTTCTCGATGGTTATAACATGGTTGTTGATATAATCAATCCTGGTTGAATTGTCTTGATATCCAGGACTCAGGGACTAGTATCCCGCCAGGTAAGCAGCCTCTATATATACCCAAGCATAGGTGGTGAGGTAACAAGGCGGCCACGTCCGCCGGATCGATGCAGTGACTGGCATCTCCAAGCACACAGAGTATGTATGGACTCTTCCTTTCTCGCCCCTCCTACTCTCTCCTTCTCTCTCTCCCCCTCCCCTCGCGTCTCTCTCGTGCGCGCCCTCCACACCATTGTATACAAAAAAACCATGAGTGCCTCGACTCTTTTTCTTTCTTCCTCTGCCCTTGCTCCTCAATCATATCCCAGTCCTCCCCCCCCCCCCCCATCTCATATTCTCATACATAGTCGTCGTTCATCGAAGAAAAAATGTAAAAAATGTAAAAAATTGTGTGCCTGATGTAGCTGACGATGGGGAAAAGGTGGTTGGTTGGAGGAAGCAAGAAGGTTAAAAGCCCAATAAGCCAAGCTAAGCCCTCCATATTCCGAACTTTTGTGTAGGCCCGATGCCACGTGCCCTTCCGTCCGTCCGTTCAAGGCAAGAAACCCCAATTTTGGAAAGAATCCCACCATCGCCATGGTCTTTTGATGAATCGCTCAGTTGCCTGCCTGTCCAGGCCCCGTGGTCTAGTATGGTCGAAACAGAAAGTAGAAAAAATATGTATGGCAGGTAGTGTGGCAGGTAGTGTGGCACCAGGATGTAGGTATCCTCGGAAACGACAGATGAAGAAATTTTTTGCCCGCCTATTGGCCCGGGCTTCTATGTGGTGAAGCGTAGACGATGCGCTCCTAGAATGCACTGGCTCACAGGCCGTATTGTTGATGATGCTCCGGAAATATGGTAACAATAGTATGAGTAACAGCGGTCGGATATGGCGACCGAATAATAGTAACAGTTAGGTATTATGTTGGGCCAGCGCTCAGAAGCGGTTGGAAACCGGCGGGAAGAGCGCAAATTGGGGCGCAGCGTTGTTGTGGCTTCTACTGGTGGTCCTCGCCCGCCTGCGCGTCTTCACCGGCTCCCGCGAATGCTTCGCGTCGGCAGTCGTGGTGGTGGTGGCATTGCGGCTGTTCTTGAAGAGCAGGTTCGCCTCGGATTGCGCTCGGTTGTGTCCTGCCTCGCGGGTAGAGTCCTGCCTGCTGAAGGGAGCCAGAGCGGGAGCTTCGGCTTCGGCTTCGGGCAGGGTCTCCAGATTGGCGGCGACGGCTATGTGGTCGCTGTCGACGTGGGGCTTGGAGACCATGGTTTGCAGGTCTTCGACGTGCACCTGCAAAAAACTGGAGGTGCTGCTGCCGGTCCATCGTGTGAATGCGGTAGATGTGGACGCTATAGACTTGTGGCGACTCGAGGTCATCGAATGCTCGGAGAGGGTAGAGTCCGTGGTCGACGCGCTCGAGCGCAGTGTCACGTTCTTGGCGAACTGGGAGGATAGATATTCGTCATCAAGCTCGTATTCCTCTCGCTCGTATTGCAGCATTTGCTGCTGGTAGTCGTTAGGTATCAGGAGCGAGGGTGACAAGTTGAACCCGTGCGACTCCTTGAAACTAGACCCGCGGGAAAGTGATTGATCATCTCCACGTCTCAGTTGAGCCGAACTGTCGCGTCTGGGAAGGGAGAAGTTTGAAGCCGCCGGGACTGTCAAAGCGGAAGGAGTCACGGCTTCATGCTGTGTTCCATTGGAGAACTGGCTCGCAGGGCTCAACGCGGGAACGTCGATGCCCACAGGGGACAGCATCTTGGATGAGACCGGGCATGAACTGCCCCTTGGATCCATGCGACTTCTGACGGCCCCATTATCGTCGCATCTGTCTTCTCGTGTCATGTCACACGAAGGTCGTTCCCAGGCGTATTCACAATCAGCCTCCGCCGCATGATCATAACAGTAATCAATGTCGTCTTCCCAGTTGTCACGCATCAGGTCTTCGACTTCATCCTCTTCGCAAATGCCGGCCTGTAGCGCGCGTTGAGCTGCAAACAGGTCAAACCTGCCCAAAGTCTCCGAGGCACTACTAGGAGGCCGCTGGGCTGTCTGTGTTAGAGACATCTGCCGGAGTAGCGGAACAGAGACACTGCCTCTGAGGGAAGAGTGATTGCTTGTGATGCTCATTCGAGACGGCCTTGTTAACTCCTCTTCCTCGGGGACGTCAGCTAAAGGGAAAGGGAATCCGGTCATAGTCAGCGGCCATGCCACGTCGTCAGGTGTCGAGATAGCGTGAGAAAATACAAAGTCGTCAACTGTGTCTTGCTCCGGGGTATCTGAGTCTCGTGAAGCTTCGGGTGACGGCGGCACGAACGGCTGTGGTTGACGAAAGCCGGCGCTCGTCATAGGGCGCTCTAGCGTCGTAGTAGACAGAGGATCAAACCCGTCATACCGCATGGACGCTCGGCTCGATGTCCTTGGGGGTGGAGAAACCGGCGACGCTTGTGCATTAGAAGTGGGAGATCTCGGCGGCCGGGGTGGTGAACGGCGGATGTTGTCTAGGGACGGGATGCGCCTGGTGAACCGCCTCGGACTCGGTGGTGTAGGCGGCAATGTCTTCTGACGCGATTGGGCAATATTCACTTGGTCTTGCGCAGACGGCCCAGCATTCAACCCGACTGATGGATCTTGCTGGGCACGGAGGACATCCGACGGGAGGCCTGTAATGCGCAGCTGATCTGGCTGAATGCTGATTATGGACGCGTCCGTTGTTCTTCGGGGTCGCATGCTCGATAGTTCGGACGCCAATTCCCTACGGCTGACACTTTCGAGATTCGGCAGGCTCTCCTTTTGCGCGTGTGACACGTGCTGGAAGTTGTACGGACCTGATATCTGCAGCTTCCTTTGGGACTCTCCAGCCTCTGGTCTCATGGTCCTCCGTCGTGCAAACATGGCCTGAATGAACCGTTGATCTCTCGGCAAGGCAGATCCGGAATCCATTGGCGGTTCAGCCGAGGATAATAACGAGCTGCTGGAGGGGCCCTCGTCACTGGTTTCCCTCCGCAGTTTACCTCGACGGTTGAAAATAGCCTTCCCGAAGAGCTGCATGCTCTCAGGGCGATCGCGAGGAGGCATGCCGCCCGATGTCGACCGTTCTGATAATTCCCTCGACAAGCTCAGACTCTCCAAGCCGCGGTCCCACGATCTTCTGTCTGACAAAGTCGAACGGCGCGAGGAGGACCCCGACGATGTTGTCATTGCGCTGCGGCGCTTGTCGACGTTCGAGGCTCGTTTCATTTGTTTACTGAAGGCTCGGATGCTCTCTGGTGACGGCGGTCCATCAAGTGCTGGTTCGAATACATCGCTAATGCTGCGGTTGACCTGATGGGTCGGCGCCGAAGTCATATAAGGACGGGCTGAATGGGAGGTCGGTAGAGCACGGTCGTTCATGGCAGGACGCCGAGCGGCGTTCCTGCTCGGAATCGCTGGCGCTGGCGAGAACATATTGTCGTGACCCTGGTCGGAGTCGATATCAACTATTGCCGCTTGTCGATAGTCTGATCTCTTGACCCGGGGCTGACGTTCTCGGGTCACTGCCGGGTCTCGATTATCGTGAGAGGCTTGCAGCGGCGCGCCTCGACCTGCTCAGAGAACGCAATGGCCTCAGAAGAAGTGTGTGGGGGGTGTAACGGGTGCGGTTCCGGGTGGGAAATGGTTGTGGATATAAGTGATCCAGGTATTGGACGCTGACGCGACGGGACTGGTCGATAACCCTTGTAGCACTCTCGACCGTTATGCAAGTGGCCTCCAGGGGGTTGGAGTAACAACTGACAGGGTACGAGACAAGGGCCAGGATCTGTCGTCGGGACACACAGTGGCAGTCCTCCTGTCTGTCACTTTGCTGGCTCCTTTGCTATGTATGAGTTCCCTCAGTCAGGTACTATGGCTGGTTCGCGTGCCGGCTCAATCGGGTGAATAGGTCGATAGAAGCGAGTTCCAAGCAATGTTCAGCTGAGCTGCGAATTTAGCTCGGCGAAGCTTCTTCCAATCTTTATTTCCAGTTCTTTGGACCAGTAGAGCTTCAGGTATTGATGCCAGATTACTGGAGTCCTATGGATCCCCTGTCAGTGCAAGGTGATGCACAGGGACGCCTGGAGCTGAGTCGGACGATGCGAACCTCCTTGCTTCTCCAGCAAACGTTCGATACTCGGGGGTAAAATAGTCGCAAGCCAGACACACTGGGAAAGGTGGCTTGCTATGTCCGGTGCAGTCTGCAATAGATGTGTCGCAAGTTGTGTCCCGATTTGCTGCTCCTGGATATCGCCAGCTCAGTGCCAGACCGGTGATACGAAGACGCCGGAAAGGTTGTGCGTCTACTCAGTGCGCCAATCCGGTAGCCACCAAGTACCACGAGCGAAACGGTGCTATGGTACGTAAGCGGACTTGCTTTATCAGAAATTCCTAATTCGATCAGGTTGTCGCAAGGCCTCGTGAAACGCCTAGATAGCACTCGGTGATCGAAAGATTTACCGCGAGATCTAGTTGATATGTTGATTCGTTGACCTCAAAGACTTTGTCAATCTGTCCGGTTCTGGCTCGAAGATCTGCCCGGGTTGTAAGAGCAGTAGTCTGCGGAAACGGCCGGGGCTTCCTCTCGATCTGGTCGGATTATGTGATACCTGGCGAGATTCAGATCAGCACCGTCCAAGCCATATCGGCTGACATGGAGAGTCGCAGGATAAGATCTATAAAAAAGTACATAAACAACGATCTGATAAAAGGACGGGGTGGGCTTCCTTGCGATAACGTCAAGGGCCCGCGGCCACCTCGGGGACCACATACCAGCCCGCCAACAAGGGCTTGCTGGAGCCTGGCATTTTCTGGGATGCGCGATTCTCGCGCAGCATCTTTGCTGACGATCAACCACATTCCCTGCCACGCTCTCCAGCCATATGCATACATCCTGACATCTGGACTGCGTTCCCAGAGCCCAGCATCAAACCCCACTCGGGGATGAATCCATGTTGCACTGCATGTATAGTGACGGCCGTAATGGGTATTACTGCCTCAGCGGGAAAGCCAAGTGCTAAAAATGTCGATACGGTCTCTCGAGTGTTCGTGAAGGGACTTCTCGTTTGACAGGCGGGGGATAGAAGACGTCGTGTATTGCTTTTTTGGGGACTCGACCGCACGTAGAGCTAGCTGAATGAAGACGTACCTTTCGGAGGTATCCAGAACGTTGACGGGTCTGTGTTGTGGCTGTGTGGAAGCTCGTCGGAGGACAGGATATCTGTTCACGATAAGGAATGTCCCAATGGCGTGGGTTGAAGGACAACCAACACTCGTGGCGAGACGAGACGATTAAGAGAGCTTCAGCCGTGCATACGATTGCTTGGTTGTGTACTGGGTAAATTATTTGAGATGGGAGTCCAGCCCTTTGGTACCTGATCAGTGATTATATGTCTTGGTATAGTCCTTAAGAGCCAATGCGTATGTTGCTTGTTGCTTGCTGGGTCGTCCTTCCGATCAACGTTGGACGAATGGGGCTGTTGTTGGTATCGCAACGGTGATGAAGTGGACGTCTGGTCTCGGAAGCTACCAGGCTTATGCAGGTACACGAAGAACTAGGGACGAACTCGAATCAGAGACAGAAGACAGAACCCAGCAGCCCGTCAAGGTTTGTGGTGTAAAGTGAAGCGAACGATTGGAGGTTGGACTGTCAAAGCCTTAACTACCGCACAGCAACACATCAACACAAGCAGAAGGGGAAGCACGAGCTGCCCAAGAGGACTTGAGAAAAACAAGACCCCAGACGACACACTAGGGAGGTCATTGCTGCTGCTAGCTACACGAAGCTCCTCGAACTATCGTGGAGTCGTGGATCTAGAGACCGTGAGGGAAGCTCCCTGCACGAGTCTAGTCTGGCGTCTCCGGGTGTACCTGCAATATTCACTATGCTCTAGTACCGTATCTAGGCAGCCCACGGCATCTCACCTTGAGCACGCTTGAGGATGCCGGCCAACTAAGGTCTCGACCGGCGTCAGGCTGGCTTCTCGGAACGTGGCGAGACAGCCATTGCCGGTAGCAACGAGAAATGAGCCAAATCAAATGACATCAAACTCTCATTTTGTTTTGGGAGACCGTCTGTCAGGTCTCAGGTGCACCGCGATGGTCAACAATGTTTGATGAGATACTATCTCGATGGTGGTTGTGGCAGTCTGGCAGTCTGGCAGTCTAGCAGTCTAGCCCAGTGCTGCTGTGGGTGTTCTGCGATAAGTCGCGTACAGTGTACAGTTATGTTCAGCCGATGGCGCACTGTGCTTGGTAATAAGGGGCAGCTCCGGGCAGTCAGGACTCTCCTTCTCCTGATGAAACAGGGGGACCTGCATCGCACCTGCATCTTGCAGAAAACATTCTCCATTTCTCCATTCTGCAGTTGAGCAACTTTTCCGAGCTCGACTTTTCTTCTTCTCCTGCACGGTGACCGGGTTCGTTACGCAGTACCGGTCTCCTTCTGTCCCAAAGTGTCGGTGTCTGTAGTGCCCTTCCAGTGCTTCCACCCACGCCACCATGCAACGATGCTGCTGGTACAGTACCACCACGGTCAAGGGTCGATCCGGCAAGGGGTCACGATGCAGCCGTCTGTTCTCCATCACACCGACCTGGCAGTCCTGGCTTTCCAGGGTCCTACCACTTGCCCCCCCGAGTCGACTCTTTTGTCAATGGAAAAGACGGCATCACGGTTACACGGCGACCACCGCAATTGCGTACCGGTAAGCCTCGCGCCGTCAGTCTATCATCAGTGCTCAGCCGTGAGTGAAAAATAAGATTGAGTTCTCAACTCATATTTGCGATTGGGTACAGGCCTGAACGGCAGCTCTCCATTGACCAATGGCTGAACGGCTGAACGGCAGCCCAAGTGGCATCAGCAGTAGTTCCCAAGAATCCCGATGGATTGGGATGCTGGACATATGCGACTCCGATATGGTAATTCCCACGAGATGACTTAGGCGGCCGCCACAAGGACAACTGCCTCGTGTCCAGACTCCAGAGCCGACTTTGCACCGAAAGGCGCAATCTCGAACCCTCACAGAAGCGCGTTCCCCTGCTACAGGGCAGCAATGGCTCAAAGCAGAGGTCCTCATTGGGCCCGGGGACGGCAACGCGTCCTGCCGTCCTGCCATCATGCCCGGCGCCCCTGTCCAGATAATGCAGGCGTCTCACGGAAACGTGTGATATACCATTGAGCCTTCAGCCTCCCGAGTCGGCGGGCTGTCGAGATTCGAATGTGACGATGGCTCTCTCAATGCTCCAGGAAACGCCGTCGTACAAGCCCCTGGAGTGCGCGCCAGCCTATTGTCTTTGAGGCAATGATCTACACCGCGCCACCAGTCTGCCAGTCCGCGTTCGTCTTTCACATTCTCGCATATACTACAGGGTTGTCGTGTTATGGGATCTATCATCTCACCAAGATCAGGCCTGACCAAGATCTTATTATCATGATTGTATCCCTACTCGCCAGGCCTAAAATCGGCTTTTGACCCTGTCGTGGATGGGGCTAGTAGAGCAATGACGACTGCGCCGTCGAATTTCTTGTGCCATCTTTTTATATTACTCTACTCCGAGCTAGAGTCCAATTGAGCGGCACAAGCCACCAACGCCAAGTGGCCGTTGGGGAAGGTCACATAATAGTATGACATGGAACGTGGTGAGAACGTGGCAGCATCTGGCGGGACTCATGTGCGCTTTGAGACAGCATCCCCGTATCAGACAGCCAGCCTCTGCAGAGACACGAGACCCTTCGTGTCTACAAGAGCGAAGCCGCTACGTGAAGCAGCACAAGGACATGCCAGGAGTGGTCACGACCGGCGGGAGTCCTGACCCCAGACAGACTTGCATTGCACATTGCATTTGCAGCAAACATGCAGGACTGGATACGGACTGCGAGAGCGAACACCAGTCCAGCGCTGTCCGCAGAAGGACTTGCATGCATGATTGATGAATCGCTTCAGAGCGAAAACGAGGAGCGTTACCGACCATTCTTCTTCATACCCCAAAAGAACTCTGCCCGCTTCTTCCAATCTATCGGGTTTTCAAGCAATGCGAAACGTGTAGAGACCGCCATTCATATGTCTTGCACCTCGAGACTGGTAGCTCCAAGCAAGTACGGACTCTGCTCCTCTATCTTCGTTACTCGGCTATTAACCCTTCCCTCCTAAAGTACCGTGCCCGGGTTTTCTCCAACAGATGGAGAGTCGTCGCAAGAGGACCTCTTTGACTATTATGGGACCCGGCTCGAGCATCTGATCAGGGATGGATGAACCCCTTCCTCCACATACGGCTGGCTGGGTCGCTGCAGGGGCAGAGAGCTGATACTTTCCTGGTAAAAAGCCTCACGACTGCGCAGAGCCCCAGACGTCTGCATTAGTCAGGTCGAAAAAGGAACGCTGCTGCATCGTGACATCGTGAGGGGTTTATTATTATTCAAAAACACCATCAGAGCGGAGCAAGCCACGAGTGCCGTCGTCGTCACTGGCTTCAACGGTTGCCCCAGCTTTCTCCCCCAGTGGATAGGTGGATATGATCCCATTCACAGAAGGATATCCACAAGATGAAGGATTCACGCCCCAGCACACGCGACAAGGTGGGGGCATATGGAGCACTGGCCACCAGCACTTGCCCTGCAGGCTCACAAAAGGCCTGCACTGCCGCACAACCACTGTCCACGATGTCTACATACAGGCACCGAACCGGGAGCATCGTGGTTCTCCTCCTGCGTTATCTGCTGGTTCTCGACCTATTTGGACCTTGGGCATCGGACTCTTCCGGTATCGCGCAGTGGGCATTGGCCTCGCTTCTTACGTATTTCTCCCACGCGGAGTATTCTTGGGGTCCTTCACCTCTCCACTCTACAAGGTGCGGTTCGATCATTTCTTCAGAGTTGCTGCACTGTACATATGTAAGAAGAAGGAAGATCGTCGGGCCATGAGGTGTGGGCCGCCAACCACCTGACCGCCAACTTCCGTGGGGAAATAAAGTTGTGCGCAAGATTTATCCTCCGAGCTGTCTAAGACATCGCCCCGTATCGACCACAACGTCGTAGCGCACCATACTGTAGGCGGAACCGGTTGAAGAGCCTTTGCGGCTCTACAACCGGGTGCCAAACGAGTGTCAAAGTTGCAACCCAGACTTCGCGCGGTGAGCGGTGAGCGGAAGCTAGCCTGCTCAGCCTAGCAGGAGGAGCTCGGTTGGATCAGCCGCGTTCATCCCGGGGTTGACAGGTTTTGTTCTTCCGTGCCTCTCGAATCCACTTGGCAATATAGTACCGAACCAACAACTTATTCCAAGTGCAGGCAAAGCACGTCCATTTCCATCCAGGACCCCTCCTGGCGCTGCCAAAATGTGCCGTGTCACGGTAGCATCGGACCGCTCGAGTTTGGGGACCGGTACGGTACTGCGGAGGCGAGAGGAGCGTCAGCGTGCCATCCGCGAGTGCTACGTACGATACATGGCAGGATGTGACAGAGTGGCGGCATGTCTCGAACCTTCCAGATTGACTCTCACTGCGACGCTCTTTTCGCGATGATGCATGATAAGTCCGGGACGTATATCCATATATAAGGCTCGTCGTATACCTCTTCTTATTAACCACCGGCCGATTCGATCCCCTCTGCCGCCAACCGCCTCACTTTTTTCTTCAAGTGCCTTCTTTCGCTGCTTACCCGGTCCGATCATATGTAGTCTGCAATGGATATCACAGCACCTTCTCCGCTGTGATGTATGCTAGCTGTTAGCAGCTCTGTGCCGACAGACGACTCTCCCCTGGTCTGCCGAACGACGTCGCTTTGAGACTGCCGAAGTCTGACTGACAGTGATGACCCTGGACCAGCTCTCAGATACCTTTCAACCATGCACGGCTCGCCGGTCTTCCAGCCGCGATCTACCCACATCGCGAAACAAAATTCCCTTCTAGCTCTGATGTATGATCGAAGCCGTCATGAATGAGCTCATCAAGCTCCCAAGCTTCATGGTTTTCAGGGTCCAGCAAGCTCGGGCGACCGGTTCGCGCCGGCGTTTGGGGTCGGTTCCTGCATTGGCGGCCTTCGACGGCGCCGCTACGGGAGAAGCTAATAACCGCTTCCGAAGTTCCGCGCAGCACCCGAAAGCCCGGGCGAGAGCTTACAGCAGAGGCCAGTGTTACAGGTTGTGAGGTCAAACGACAGATTCTCTTCACCAAGTCCCTGGTTTCAGATGCCCAGCTTTTTGAGGCACGACGGCGGACACATGGACGGACCAGGTGTTCAGTCGTTAGAGGTGTCAAAGAACGCTTGATATTGCGTCTGGGATCTGGCAACCCAGGTGCTCGGTTCGTGGACTGCCACGGACCGGGTGTTCGTTCGCTAGAGGTGTCAGAGAACGCTTGGTGATGCCGCTTGTGATCTGGCTTCCGAGATGCCCGGTTCGTGGGCTGCCTGCCGCTTGAAATTATTCCCGCCGAAGGTCAAAGTCAAAGTCAAAGTCACGGTCAAAGTCAAAGCGGAAAGAGACACCTGTGTAACTGTGGCAGACACTGCGTAACATACATTGGCTTGTGATGTCAGAGCGCAGCCACCGTTTGTAGCTCTCGTATGTCTCATCCTCCCGAAGCCGAACGTCTCTATCTTAGACATCGGGGCCTCGGTTCGGTGAAATGTCTCATTGGCGAGCGAGCACAGTCCGTCTCGTCACGTCCGAGAGCTTCGAGCGGTGTGAAATGGCTTTCTCGCTCGCATTGCCATGCCACGAATCTCTATGTCCTGTCTTGCTTCTTGTTGATCACATCCACATGGCCAAACTGGAGGCTTCCTTGCGAGGCGTAAGCTGCCCTTGAGACATCCTTACCTAGTGTGTAAAAGGTCCCGTCGGAGCCATGGACGTTTAGGATCGTCACCGGAGCCCGGCAGTGTGGATGGGGACCCGGGCGTTTCTATCTGCCCTCACGCGCCTGCCGGTCTCCGACGAACTGGCGGTCACAGATTCAGGCCCCGTGTGGATATCCGATATTGGGATTAAAGCAACAAACATGGGGCGCCTCGACTCCTACCGATGACCTGTCACTTCCTTCCCCCACGGCTCTCATGCTCATGCTTGCTTTCTACAGTACTACAACCCCACCACAGTTTCAAGAAGATCCCTGGCTTGAACCTTCATCGTAGGATTTTTAGGATTTTATGCTTGTTTCTTTCTGCGTTCTGCGCTACGGCCCGTCCATTTTCGGCAGTAGACCTTGACGATCACCAAACGAGCGGGCACCCTGACACGCTGCGAGAGGTAGGGGTTCGCGCCAAACAGCTTCATGGGCTGCAGTTCATCGGTTCATGTGTTCCCGCTCGCCCGGGGGCTGGGTGTTATTCTGGGAGAGGTATTGTCGGTGAAAAGGACCACACATGCACGGGATTCCTTCGCTCGACGAGTGTGGAGAGAGTAAGCTTCCTTCTTAGGGTTCTCCCCTCTTCCTCCTCCCACCTCCTCCTCCTCCTCGCTGCCCATGATCATCTGGCATCTCGACCCCACGTATGCTGCAGAGGAAGGGGATGGGATGCCCATTGCCCAGTGACGGCCACAGCATACTCCCGCTCATCACGACGGCTTCAAAGAACCTGGTTCTCTCGCATCCGACCTGCCTGTCACTGACATTGACACTGACACCTGCCAATTGAGGACTTGCCGAGCCCAGTCGGCAGGACCACCCACGACGTCTGGAAATCGCGTCAACGATTCTTGACGCTCCCTGCGTCGACCCCACTGGTGAATCCTGCGTGATCCGCTGCCTGCCGTGCAGCTTCTTTCTTCCCAGCGCCATGGGCGGCCGGCGGATGGCGCTTCTCGTCACCGATACCGAGGGCACCCCCGCCTTCGGGACTGGGTACTCACCCCAGGACCAGCACCAGCAGCAACGACAACACCACCCATGCCGTGCGAGGCGACAGACAGTTGTCGCGCCGCCTTCCTTCTGCCCTATGAGCGGAGTCTGGTGTGTTGTATTATAGGATTCAGGGACAGCTGGCTTTATCACCTCATACCGGTCGCTACCGAACTCGGGTTGTGGCAGGAAGTGCCACGCAGGCAGGACGACCCGAGTCTCTGTACTGGTATCTTTAGCGAGAGCTTATTAAAGCATGCGTTGAAGGATTGATTGCAGTTTGTGCCTGTTTCAGATACCTGACTGTTTCGCTGACTGTTCGCTGACTGTTCGCTGACTGATGTCTCGGCGGCGCTGGTGTAGTCGGAGGTTGGGATGTCGAGACCGACGTGGTATTCAACGCGGCGAGTCGAAAGAAGAATCCGTGATGGTTCCTTTGGGGATTGTGCAGCTCGTGGATTCTGGGAATTATGCCTCGATGGCGCGTCGACGCGTCGCTGGCGAGGGGCCGATGGTCTCGTTGCGTGCTTGTCTGCGACCTGGTTGACGGGGAGGACGGATGTTGCATCGTGAGGACCTCTTTCTAATGATAACTGCGGTGGTTCTAAGATAATACATTGGCATTGGCTTCTCTGTGGTGTACAAATCGTCGTATCTATATAGACTGACCATTAGGGGTGCCTGTTGACTGCATGGTCCTTTAAGTCAGGCCTGTTAATCATATTAGCCCCAGCATCGTAAAGGGGCAACACCTTGATGGTAGTAGACCCAACGAGTAGGTCGTGGTGGAAGGGCGAATACCATTCATTACCTGCTCTGACATTTACTAGGTACATTTCTTTCAACAGTGACCAAGCCTCGCCGAAACCTGGTGTAGCTCTCGAGTTTCCCTCTGCGTCATAGGATGCTCGTTCATCTGAAGCTGCGCTTCTGCTGCACGACGCCAGGGTCAACCAATATGATCAGTTGATGTGGTGGTAATGCGTGTCTAATCTGGCGATCTCTTAGTCGGATATCAAAGCACGAGTGACATATCCTTGAGGATAGGGGCTTGCAACAAGGGACACATATCAACCATGGCTTGTTCAACTGGCAGACCTGTCTTTGCAGTGAGACTTTGGCCTAGGAGTATGTGGTCTTCTTGTTGTATGGTGATATCTCGTACACCAGATGTGTCAATGACTCTTTAAGGAACCCCGAACTATGGCACGAACGGATGATACCTGGAGCCTACGTTCTTGCGGTCCTCCCATGCTCCAATCCTTGTCCTTTCGAGGGATCCAAGGATACACGAGCCAAATGGAGAATATGTTTATGATTTTGCCCCTCGAGAGGCGAGTCGGCCAGTCTAGTGAAGAACATCGTTCCCAGCATTATCTTGTGAATGAATTCTGCTATTGTTTTCACTACTATTTCGAGATATTGTATCTTGTTTCATGGTCGAGACATAACCACCCTCCCTCACAGTTCTCTGATCGGTTTCTGATCACTTGCGCTCGGCGCTGCCCATTCTACGTCCATGAGTGGTCACTATACGGCAAGGACCCCAACCCAAAATACAAGACATGACTATAGCCCGAGGAACGGCCATACATGCCAGAGCAGCGAAGAGGGTGATTTGGGCTGCGTGGTTGGCCATTTGGCTCCAGACTGCGGCCAGATAGAAGCCTTCATGATCACGCCAGACATGAGCATCAGCGGCGCTCATGAGGGTCCGCGGACCGATGATCATCGAGCGGCAGGCAAGAAAACCATTCGGAGCATTGCGGCTCCGTGTGCGTAAGCCTACCGCCGGCCTACAAATGGACAACGTCAAACCTGGTTGTTGTTAGGTTCAGTGGCCCCCGTTGAACGCCTCCCGATGGTCTAGGACAGTCCGTTGGATCACCACGATCACACGCAAGAGAGCACTGGGGGTCCCTCCGGCTCTACTGCCCTTGTTTGCTCAATGAACGAAAGTTACCCCGGGATGCAGCACATCCGACACACCAATCCTCGACCATCTCCTACCCTTGGACAGGGAGAGACTTAGGATAGCCTCGAGCTGCTCCGAAATCATCCGCGCCACGAATCTGGATCGATGGGCCTCTGCATTTGAAGCAGTCGTCGTCGTCGATCGAGTGGCTCTCTGCGCGGCCACTTGGGGCCAAGCCGATGCAGGTATCCTTTGCGCAGCGTATTCTTTCCTCACACTGAGCCGGGAGATGGCAGCGAGCCGAGCCTTACTGGAGGTACTTAAGGCTGTAATGTCTAAGACACCTTCCAAGTAGCACCGATACTCGTTCTGCGGTCGTGTCACCGCATAGCGTCTGAGAGCTCAGGCATGTATGTCGCGGGTAGTATGAGCCGAGGGCAGTCCGCGGAGACATCTCGAATCAAGTTGTTGCACCGCTTTGCTCGCGTCCGCATGGGAACGCCGAAACAAGAACTTCAAGCCTGCTGCGCCGTGCTTGGGGAGGCACGGCGTTTTCCCCGCGTGGCCCCAAGATATGCCGGGGTCGATGCAGCTACCCGAGAGGCACCTCCCGGCAGATACCTATCTGGCCGGCAGTGGCGAGGTCGTCGCCGCATTGGCACATTCGTTGTCGACGCGTTCACCTCTATATTACCATCGTTATAGCCTGGGTGCCTCCTCACGAGGTGACGACGACGCCGTGATGCCGATGTCTCTCGGGTGATGACCGCAGCTCTGACGGGATTTGCCCACAGCTTGCTTGCACTGTCCACGTACGTAACGGAAAACTGGTTGACGGCCGGTCAACACGGCCGCTTCTATGCCGATGGCGCCAGTAAATCGGGTTGAAGGAGTCGTAGGATCTGACGGGGGAGCTCTCGGTTGCGCAGAAGAGGAATCCTGTCAATCTCGTAATCATCCCTGGGGGAAGAACAACTAAAAGGCTTCTAGTGAGCGTATGTCTGGTGGGAGGACCAATGAGAGCCCGTCAGACAGTACGTGCGAAGTCTTTGCGTGTAGTGTTTGACCTTGGTGAAGGTTTTGGGATATATTAAGCATCAGCAGCAGACCTCTTCGCCAATCTCAGGCTGGCGGAAGGCGCTCTGCATCATCCCATGATGCGTGTCTTACCACACAGCCGTCAGGCGGCAGGGAAGGTAGCATGAGCTGCGCCGCTGATGCACCTCAGGTCGAAACTCCAATACCACCCGCCTGGAAGCGTGGATCGTCAACGTCAGTGAGAGGCGGTAGACAGACAACAAGAGAGACAGAAGATGATGTGATCTCAGGCTTTGAAAGTCAATGACGATGATTTCAACTGGACACATTACGATGCAATGCATCTTAATCCTACTAATAACTACTGGGGTCCTTCTTCTGAAACGGCCGCCTTCTTGGTTGCACTTAATCCTTCCTCTCTCCTCTGCGGAAAACGGAAAAGGTATTCCAGATACCGGGATTCCTGCTTCCTGCATGACGGTCACACACGGGCCAAAGCCCTACAGACGGGGAATACGTTACCAAGGTACCGGTATGCAAGCCACGACTGTGATGACTGTGATGAGTGAACCTGCTGCACCGTCGAAGTCGAGACCGGGCGCCGACGTTGGAGAATATACTGGCTATATGCCCGCCGCCGGCTTTTGCTTTTTGGCCCTGCTGCGTCAAGCCGTGACTGAAGGGTACAGCCCATTAACATAAAGCGCCTCACGTTTTGAGTCCATGCCCTATATCGAGTACGGAGTGCCTGACAGCTCAACCTGCATGTCGTCCACGTAGCGATTGGTGTGACAACTCCAACCTTGAAAAGACCATCAGTAAAATAGAAGTAAACAAAGTCGAAACGCGCAAGGCACGAAATTGCATGTATGATGTGGCTGTGGGCACTGCTCCTAGAGTCCTAAGCAGCCCTAGTTCTCAGCCACCACTTGGTAGGAAGTCACCCTACTGGTGCTCGACGGCACATCGCACGATACCCGGCGCCAACTCACGCCGTGCTCCAGGGCTGCAACGGCCCTTCTTCAGCCAGGATTCTTCCCTTCGCCCTGTCGAGTGTTGAAGTCATCTCCTCTGAATCCTGAGCTAGTCTCCGGCCAATGAGGACCCGACATGACGTCGCATCAAGGCCGACAAGGGGGGCTCCGAGCTTAACGCAACTGCAGCCGGATCTAGGGTTCTTTTGATTTGGGCCCTTGTGTCCTGTTGGGTCAACCGGTCTACCGGCGATCCAGGGATCACAGCACCCCGGAAAAAGAGACGGCGACCACATAGCAGCCATATAAACTATTCTATTTCGGTATTTCCAAATCCCACGTGGAGGCGGATCGAACCTTGGGCGCAAGCAAGAGGGAGGGCACCGGATCGTGTTTGAAAGGCTTGAGCACGGGAGCTCGCATAGCGCCGATGTTCCGTCTTCTAATTTATTTTTGGCTGCCCTACGAGGCCCAGTAAGCGTTTGGCAACCCGGCACACCACCACAATGTATGTCTCTGACGACCGAGAATCACGGCTATTGGCATCAGGGATCCTGACCCGAAGCCATCGTAGGTGGATTTTGGGGCTCTTCAGTCGATTCCGACCTACCGATGGCTCTGCTTCTTGTTTCAGGGTCTGGACGCGGACCCAGCCGCAAACGGCGCCAGAGCCTTGGGCTGGGCATCTATCTATTCAGGGGCGGGCATGCTCTGCACCGGTTTGATTATTATTATAGATTATAAGACCCGTGGTTCCCTAAGATGATCATCAAATAGAGTTGCGGTAATTGATCTCATATGATATGGCCCGTCCCTCTTGACAAATATCAGTCCATCACAAGACCTACCTTCCAGCTTGTAATCACCTCATCCACTGCTTCAGGAGCAGTACACGACATAGTAACTCTAATCTACGATGTGGAACACCGGTCACGCAGAGCAGTCGTATGACGCCTCGGCCATCCCGAATCTTCACGTACGTCAGTTCATATCCCTTCTCAGATACACGTCTCCCTACCGAAATACCCGACTCGCAAGCCACATCAGCTAGTGCTGGAAGCCCTGGGTAATAAACCCAGACTGGTTGGGCTTACGATGGCTGGCGAGACTTCTCGGAAAGAGAGAAAACTTGCCTTGCCCAGATAGAGACATCCAGCCACCACAAAAACATATACCTACCGAAATACACCACGCTTGAGATGTGCCTACTAACAAAGACTCCCAGATGACAACCTCCGAGGGCCTGCCCTCACTCATCGCCCCGGACAACAACTACCACATGAGCCGGCACCTCTCGACAGGCGGCCACGACGCCGCCTACACCACCGCCCCCCTCGTAGCAGGGACGACGCCCGGGGGCATGTCCGGGTACCAGAGCCAGCCGCGCTCCTTCTACCGAGTCCAGGGCCACAACCCGCTCTACCACCTGCAGCCTACCAACGAGTACCCGGAGGCGGCCAGGGCGGGCGCGTTCGACTCGGCCTTCCACCAGCAGCAGCAGCAGCCCGTCCCCTCCCCCGAGTCTTCGGGCTTCGCGGCGGCGCACCAGCACCCGGCCGCCGACGCGTACGGGTACGTGTACTCGCAGAACCAAGGGGCGACGGGGCTCGTAGCCAGTCCACCCACCACGACTTCTTCTTCCTTGGGAGGAGGCCGACGTCCAAGCAGCAGCAGCAACAGCAGCAAATCCAAGCAAAAGCAAGCAGCGTCATCATCATCGCGGTCCTCGCGCAAGCCGCGGGCCCAAACCGCCGGTTCCTCCCCCGAGGGCTCCTCCTCGCCCGTGCCATTATCCACCGGCAGCAACAAGTCAAAACTACGCAGCGCGTCGCGCACCTCGAAAAACACGCACCACAACCCGCCGGCGACGGCCGAGGAGCGCCGCAGCCGCGAGACGCACAACAACGTCGAGAAGCAGTACCGCAACCGGCTCAACATGCACTTCGAGAGCCTGCTCAGCGCGCTGCCCGAGAGCATGCAGTGCGGTGAGGAAGGCGGGGGCGTAGGGGGCGAGCTTGGTGGTGGTGGTGGTGGTGGTGGAGGCAGTGTAGCAGGGGGAGGTGAGGGCGCGGACCGCCGTGTCAGCAAGGCCGAGGTCCTGGATATGGCGCGTCGGCACATCAAGGCGCTGGAGCGCGAGTGCGCGTTGCTCGAGGGCGAGCGGGACGAGTTGCGGGATAACAGTGAGTACACCCCCAATCTCATTCAATCCCATCCCATCCCATCCCATCCCATCCCATCCCATCCCATCCCATCCCATCCCATCCCATCCCATCCCATCCCATCCCATCCCATCCCATCCCATCCCATCCCATCCCATCCCATCCCATCCCATCCCATCCCATCCCATCCCATCCCATCCCATCCCATCCCTGGCCTATCCACCCCTTTTTCTTATTCCCGGTCCCCAGCTCCAGGGCCGGGAAATCATGTACCAAACTGAGCTACCTGCTCATACATCGCACCGCGCAGGATCGCGATACAGGACCCACCACGAAGACCACGGGGCTTTCCCAATGAGATGAGATAGTTTAAAACCAACTTACTGACCCCGGATGGCAGACGAGAAACTGCGATGGATGTTCAGCCGGCGTGAAGGCGGCAGTGGCGGCTCCGCCGAGGGGTCGGGGTATCTTGACTCGGGATATGTACCATGAGGTGGATATCGGAAAAGGGGCGCAACGGGGATGGGAATAGGAATAGGGGTCCTGCAGGCTACAGGGATTTTGCGGAGGATTCAGGAGTTCAAGCGAGTTAAGGCGGCCGATAATCATTTGTGTTGTTGAATCGAGATCATGTCAAGCTGCTCTACTCGAGCATGTACATACATACGTACAGCAAAAGAATAGAGAGCACTCATTCATTGCATTGCGTGATTTCAACACTTGCCTCCAGTATTCCGACAACCCGGCTCGCAGAGGTTGGCTATGGCATAACACTCCAAACGGAGGAGGTACTGCACGTACGGCACGAGCTGTTCCACAGGATCATGGATCTCCACCATTTGACATTTGATATTTGACATGTATACTCTAGGGCAGATCATGCGGATTGGGTATCTACTTATACAAGACTTGATTACTCGTCATCTTCCTCCTCACCCTTGGAGGCCTTGGCTTCTGCCTTCATCCTCACCCACTCGGCAGCTTTCGCACTGACCTTTTCCCTGCTCTTCGCATCCCCATTCTTCTCCTCCCATTCCGCCCAGCGCTTGAACCACTTCTTCGCCGCCCTGGCCTTGAGGCCCTTCACCTTGGCGGCCCGGTCGAACACGTCCCTCACGGCTGCCTTGTCTGCTCCAGGCACATCTTCGTGGTCTAGGAGCTGGTTCCACAGGTCGAATCTCTTTGGGAACGTAGAGAGAAGGCCCTCAAACATTGTACGCCCCAGCTCGGGATTCCTGTGAGGAGAGTTAAACTCCAAAGCGGCGAACTTTGTCATGAGCGGGAAGCGCGCATGGTTCGGTAATGCTTGAGTCGCCCGCGGCAGCAAAGCTCGTGCCCGTTCTGGCTCGTTCTGAACAGCATGCAACCAGTGAGCATAGTTGAACCAGACGTCAGGTGAAGTTGCACCAAACTTCTTGACCAGAGCCTGGAAAAGCTCGTCCGCTTTCTGCCTGGCTGTTAACATAGTGACCAACAGTATCAGGATGGGATTGGCTCACCTTTGCTTTGTCATCCTGGATGTATATACTAGCCAGGCGCTGATAGACTTCTTGCTGGTCGTTTACTTGGCAAGCACGTTTGAACACCTCCTCAACCGTGTCCTCGTTACCAAAGCGAACTTCGAGGTTGAGGTAGGCCACCCAGGCATTCAGCTTTTCGGTCTCCTCAGAGCTGCTGATCGTGGTGATAGCACGTTCGGCTACTTCGCGGGCTTTTGCAAGCTCACTGACTTGCATCTGGTGAGCCATGTACTCGATCCACAGCGAAGACGAGTTAGGTTGCCGATTGAGAAGTTGTTCGTAATCAACAGCTGTTTGGGGACCAAAGGTATTCAGATCATCACTGCGGTCTACCTCATCCTGTGGTCTCCGTCGCTTCTTTTTTTTCTCTGGTGCAGCGTCTGCGTCTTTGATCACGCCACCACGGGTGGTGTCGACCTCGTCAAGCGCATTCGCAGACCAGTCGAACTCACCGGCGTTGAGAGCATCGGCATCGTCGGCTCCCCCATCAGCCATCTCTGCATTTTCGTTGTCAGATGACTCGTCCGAAACATTATCCGTGCCTCTGATCAGAAGTTCGGCATCGTCCATCTCCTCGCCCTCGTCATCTTCATCATCGACAAGCGCAGCACCAGCGCCGTGCTCGTCATCGTCGCTGTCGTGACTCTCATCGTCCTCAAAGTAGGATGGCTTCAAACCAAAGTTGATACGCTTTTTCTGCTGGTCGAGCTTCAAAATGATTGCTTTGACCATATCACCCTCACTGAAAAGCTTGCGTGCATCCTCGACAGGCTTTTCGGCCATTTCACTCCGGTGGCACAATCCACTCACGTTGGCAGAGCCCTCAATTAGGATGAAGGCACCGAACTCTTCAACCTTTCGGACCTTGCCCTTAACAATTTGACCCTCGCGAAGGTCATGATAGTTGACAAGAGGTACAAAATCCTTGTCTACGACGGATGCCTTGAGGCTCATCATGATATGACCCGTGGTGGGATCAAGAGAAGTTATTCGACCTTTCACGAGCTGGTCGACTTGAAACTCATCCTTCCACTCCTTGAGGAATTTGTCCGAAAGGTCTGAGACTCTGACCATAGCCGTGACGTCTTCACCAAGGCCTACGAAGACGCCCTTATCGGAGACGTTCTTGACAAAACCGCGGATCACATCGCCAACATGGAGTTGGGATGTCTTGGTGATTTCGGGGTCCTTCACGGGCAACGAAGAGTTCAACACCCTTGACGGGCGAGACGATAGTCGCAGCCTCTTGTTGATTTTATCAGCATCAACAACTGAAACTCGAATGACACCATTCTTGCCGTAAGACATGGTATTGGCTTCACTGTAGTCATCGCTGAGATCGATAATGTGGACTGGGCCGGAGACCGAATCACTGAGCTGCACAATAATTTGTCGTTCGTTGATCTTCGTAACCCTAGCGGGGAGGACCATGTCTTGCTTTACAGTGTCCCAAGTGAGGTTCGTCGAGGAGCCGAGGGAGCGTGCTGACAAGTCAAGACGACCCTCTGCTGCATTGACAGCCAGTACTCGAACTCGCAGCGCCAAGCCGACGGGGAAGTTTGTACGCAGACTGTCAAGCCGTGATACATCGTCGGAAATCTCTAGAGTATTGATCTTGCCGCGTACGTTAGGTGACAGGCTGACCCAGAGATAATTCTGCTGGACGTTGTTGACGAAGCCTAAATGCGTAGAGCCAACTTCCAGCTTTTCTAGAGACAAAGCTGGAGTGGCATCTTCCTTTGTATCGCTCGGTTTTGCAGACAATTCGATAACGGGATGTGTCGAGCGGTGAGAGATTGGCAAGAAACGGTGGTTTCTCGCGTCGTGGACACCCAGGACTCGGACCTGTATGATCCTGTTGACCCGGAAGGAGTCCAAGGGTGCCTTCGGATTTGGGATCTTGTCCCATGTATCAAATACTTGAGAAACATCGATGCGACCTTGTAGGTTGTCGGCTAACTTGACGTTCAACTGCGTGCTCTTGACTGACACTATTCTGGCTTTGGTGACTTTGCCAATGAATACATCGTCCATCGACGATACTGTCTCATCAACTGCATTCTCCACCAGACTTGACGCGGTGGAAGCACGACCCTCATCCGTGGCCTTATTTTCGAACGAGGTCGCGGAAACGACTAGCCGGCCATGTTCTCTGTCGATTGAGTCGATCTTGACAGCCACTGATTGATACTTCTTCAAGCCGAAGTCCGGTTTGTCTCGATCTTCTTGAGCCAGCTTGGACTTCGGTAGTAAAGCGATCAGTTGGCCAGGGAATTGCACGAACATCGCGGTAGCGGTGACATTCCGAACCCAACCTTCTCGGAGCTCCCCAACCTTGGCCTGATCCCAGGAGGTGAGAAGCTTACCATCTTGGCTAGCTTTGACCAGGCTAGGTTTCTTCGACAGCGAGATGAATTGACGGCCCTCATTCTTTTCCAGTATTATGAGGTCGCTGAGAGTCTGCCCGACACGTATTCCTTTCAACGCCGACCGACTCTTGCTTGGTCGATCGGCAAGATGTCCAACAGTTAACACCGCCTTCAGGGAATTGTCGAGGAGCTCAACGAAAATGTCATCTTCGTTCTTCTGCACGACCTTGGCAGATACGAGATCTCCCAGTTGGAGTTGCTTGAGCGCATTTTGCTTTTCAATTCCGAAGGCCGATGGATCCTTGCAAGAGACGAAAAGCTTTTGCGTCTCAGCATCAAAATTCAGTACATGGACGCTGACGACCTGACCAACACGGAAATGGTCCTTTGGATCCCGTATATAAGCCTCGCTCATCTCGGAGACGGGCAAGAAAGCTCGCAGAGACCCATAGAACTGCACGATTGCACCTTTATCGAGTAATTTGATGATTGTACCCGGACTCTGCATGCCGACGACAAGGTCTTCAAATGACCGAAGAGCAGGTGCTTCGGAATTCACAAGAGTTTTCTTCAGCGTGAGCTTGACTTGGCGCTTGACCAGATCGGTTGCGAGTACTCTGGCTTTGACTTTGAGACCCTCCCGAAACTTCTTCTCCGGATGTTGTAGTCGGATGTCCGCCAGGTGGATTTCGGGGACAAATCCATGAATGCCCTCGGCGAGTTTAATCAGCAGACCGCTGAGTCCGTCTTGGTTGATCAGGAGCTTTTCGATCTCGCCGTGGACCACTTCACCAATGGGGATGTCCTCAATCCGTATGAAAGGCTGTTCCAACACGGTCTTCTCGAAAGATAAGTGAAAGGTCCCATCAATCGCATTATAGCCCACAACCCTGCCGCGGTGAACGGACCCTACTTTGAAAGGACCGGTCGTCTCGGAAAGCATATCGACCTTGCCGTCCTTCAGTCGGGAGATATGCACGAATCCGGGCACACCATCGACGCCCGCATCAACGAAGACCCCAACTTCGGATTCCACCTTAGTCACTTTGCATTCTTCGACCACCGAAGATATAGGTAGAGTCTCCAAGGGTGACTTTTTGGAGGCTGCCAGCTTGGGTTGTAGCGATACCACGTGGTCCAGTAGGGATACGCCCAGCTTCGGCTCCTTGGCTGTTGGGAAGTTGCATATCACACGACCTTTGACCTTCTTGCCAATCTTGTATTTGGACTCGAGGTCTACAGCCTTGGGACCGAGACCAGAATGCATCAGATCAGCCGTGACATCTAGCGACCCCATGACTTTGCCCGATATTCCGCGATTGGTGATCTCGGACACCATGAACTCGACAGCGCTCCCTGGCAAGAAAGTGTTGATTGTGGTGGCCTCTGATGCAAAGTTTTGCACCTTGCCGAGCTTGTTTTGAAGGGTGGTCAGTTGTACAATTTTGCCATTTGCACCCTTTCCTGTAACAAGACACAGGACCACGGAGCCAGGTTGCAATTGAGATTCGGGAAGTTCGGCAGCCACCTCTTTGCGAGACAAAAAGCCACGGACTGCCGACTCAGCGAGACCTAATTCCATAACGAAGCCATGATCCTCGACACTAATAACCGTTGCCATGACAGTGGTGTTCTCGACAATATCTTGAATGGCCAATCCGGCGTTGGTGTGATCTGGGCGCAGGGATAGCTCGATGCGTTTTCGGGGTTTCGCAAGAGTGGCTGTCGATTCTTCTTCAGTTGAAGTGACACAGACGCGCAGATATTGACCGATTCGAAAGAGATCTTTTAGATCAACACCGTCGTCCTCGTCACCGCCGCCGACCTCGACATCATCGTCAAGGGCTTCAGCTTCAGCTGCTAATTTTGCACTCAGGACATCCGATATAGCAGTGATTGGTACATGCCCAGTGAGGTTATTCGGTAGAGCGAGGATTATTCCCAGGGTGTTGATCTCGGTGACTTGGCCGAGGACTAGAGAGCCTTTGACCAGCCGCTGCTAGATGTTAGAGGGGTGGCTACATTGTACTGTTCTCTTCAGACGTACCTGATAGTTGAGGCCCTCAATCTTCACATTGTCATCACTGAAGCCAGTATCTGTACCCTTTCTGTCTTTCGACCTCTTGGATTTCTTGTTGGAGATTCGGTCTGCCTTCTTCGCACCTTGCCCCGCCTCGTGCTCAAACAAGACATCCTGCTTCGCTTGAATGGAAATTTGCTTGTGTTCAAGCGGAGACAAAATACTGCCGCCGCCTCTGGGGAACAAGGGCTCTTCTTCCTTCAAACGCGCGATGGTGGGCGCATTGGCTGGCTTTGGATTCGAGGCGTTGGGGGATTTCGTGGATTTCGTCTCGTTCTTAGTAGGGGTATTGTCGGACTTGGTTCGCTTGGATGCCTTCGCGGCCGACGTGCCCGCGGGCGCATCTTTTCGTTTGAGATTGCTCATGGTGCCAATTTCATACCGACAGTGTTCGACCGACTAATCTTGTATGGCCGGTCTGTATGTATGCAGAGACTCTTGAGACTTGCAGATTTATTGAGCACCCACTTCATTCAGTTCAAGGTCTTGGAACAAAAAAAGTTCTGATCGTTATCGATAAAGATAGGGACCCAGCCTGCCAGCCGATTAGCATTGTGGGGTACCGGCGCTGGGCCCGTGCGATCTGGGTACCCGTGCCCCGCACCACTTTCCACCTCGCCAGGGCTCACCACGTAAACGTAAAGTGGTGCTCACCACAGTAGCACACCAACCACAATAACACACCAATATGAGGTTATTCAGCATTAAAATTTATGTAGCGACCGCATCTTCTTGCCAGATTCGTAGATATCAGCAGCAGGCAGTCTCTTAGTCATCCTCTAATGCCTGGCCAACTTTGCTGCCTCCTTAGTGAGGTTCTTTCGTGATTAGAGCTCCTTCTTTACCAGGGTATCCACCTTCTTTTGGAGGCCTGTTGCGATCTCTTGCTCCTTTTTTCTCGCCACCTGACGCCCGATCTCAACTGTGAGTACTCCTCCTGATTGGAAAGGAGTGTTCTTTGCAGACTTGTGCTGTTTATTAACTCAAGAGGCTAATTCGGTCCTTCCATGGTCACTTTTAGTCTGGACTAGCTGGGAGGCATGGAAGCGCGCCCCCTTGGATAGGAGACGGATCCTCTCAATATCTTCAAGAGTAAGATCCTCGCCATCGTCTAGGTTATTCAAGGCCTCGTCTACTTGATAAGCGGCCTTGTGAATCTGCCGCATTGTAGTTTGGGTGGCAACTGGAGAGGAACCAGGCTGGTTAGGGGGGGGTGACGGGGTCCTCGCGCAAGCTTCGCGCTCCTTCAACTGGTCAATCACAACTGATGGTTTGAAGGGATGGATGCCCGTTTTCTTGAAGGCAGAAAGGATAGTGGTCTTCTTAAAAGCTTGCTGGCGAACCCCTTCAATGCACGACAAGAACTCAATCTTCCCGATGTGCATGAGACCATCACGCACCATAATATCCAGGGCTTTAACATAGTAGTGCTTCAAGGGCTGGAAAACCACCACATCAAGCAGCTATAATAAATGTGTCATATGCAGAGAGAGACCAAAAGGAATAATGCCGTTGTTGTCACAATATCTAATGAATTGTATTGTGTGGTGGCTCCCGTGACCGTCGATGATTAAGAGCCTCTTTACACCAACTTGAGAGGTCTTAGAATGCTTGTTAAAGTGCTGAACCCACTCTAGGCTAATTTTGTCGTTTGAATAACCACTTTCTGCGGTTGTAATCGCCATCCTGGGGTCTAATCCGGGTACCTTGTACCATGAAGACATATAGAGGGTGCCAGAAAGGATAAGGAAGCCTGGGATAACCTCGCCAGTGGCAGAGATAGCTTCTATGCCAGTAGCAGACTCCCTATTCTCATATTCCAAAATAATAGGCTCTTTTTCGCTTGGTGACGGTAATCTGGTCCTTTCCAACCTCTAATCGAAAGCCAGTCTCGTCCATGTTCCATAAGTTGTCAGGGAGGATGCCCTTCTCCCTGATAACCCTTCCCAGCTTTTGAAAGTACTCTTCAGTGCGTTTTGAGTCTTCAGCAGCTTATCAATCTTATGAAAAGACCTTCTGAGGCTGCTTGAAGTATCCGTGGCGCTTGATGAAGCGGGAGGCCCAATTCTTGCCAACTGTGGGTAGTTCCGTGACCGCGGCACTCGCTGACTCCTTGAGTAGCAAGTTGGTAGCCTCTGTGATGAATTCTGGCCTCACAGAGAGATTAATGGCATCTAAGCGGTTAATATAAGCACAGACGGCCTTTTCTTGTATTGTATTCAGCTTGGTGGGTGGTTCTCGTGGTCCTTTTTTTGGAAGGGATGCCCTGCAGGCAGTTGTGGAAGCGCTCCCTTGGAACCCCGAATTGGCGGCAGATACCGCGTTTGGAGACATCCAGATGCTCGTCAACGTATCCTACGACTTCGTGAATACGGGATTCCATCGTAAAAAAGTCGTCTGTCTAAAAAGGCAATGAGTTTGATGTGGTTTTGGCTGGAGGGTGGTTATTTCGGAAGACTGGTGTGTTATTGTGGTTGGTGTGCTACTGTGGTGAGCACCACTTTACGTGGTGAGCCCTGGCGAGGTGGAAAGTGGTGCGGGGCACGGGTAGAGGGGCACATGCGACATGCAATGACGGGGCTGAGGGGCAAGGGGCGTCGGCCTGGGCGGTCTGGCAATGACCGCTCTTGGGCCTGGCTCTTTGATTCAGATGTTCGGACCTACATACATTACTACGGACAACGCGTGGCCAGGCTCCCACGATTAATACCAACAACTTCCCGCGGACAGAGCCGGAGAACCTATGGAGAAGATGAGCGCAATACCCAAATCATGAGTCCTCGAAAGCGTGCCCGACCCAACCCCTGCTCCGAGGAGAGCACAACAAGCTTGCCTGCAACGCTATCATCACAGGCCGGCAGCGTGTCGTCACAGGTCTCCAACGCATCACCAGCTTTACCCGCAGCGCCTGTAGGCCGGGAGATGCGGCCACCAACGCGAACCGACTTGGACGCTTCCAATACTACACCTGCTGCAAGGGCGAGTAATGGAAATCAAGTGGGTTGCCTCTTTGGTCCGTAGATGCTGCCTCGAGTTGTCTTTGCTGACGAGCGCGTCTTAGGTACGGAAATCACGGAGTTGGTATGGCTCTTTGGCCCAGAAATCTTCGGCCTCGACTCAAGTAGCTCGCGAGCACATCATGGGAGGCACATTGCGGTCGCGAGTCGCCCCAGACTTCAGCCGTTACGACACCAGCAAAGGCGAGGGTTCCGCAGAGTCGGACACACAGTCCATCAAGACGCTACCTAAGATCTCGGAAAGCGAAGCACAACATAGACCACACGATGGCAAACCAGACGGTGCCAAACCAGACGATGGCGCGAGTTCTACGAAGAACCCAGAAGAGTCGGCGCAAGCAGACAGAACTCGCGGCGACCTGGCCCTGAAAGATCAGACCAAAGATGTCACTACCCCAAGTAACGGAGAAACAGACATATCGCCAGAGGAGGCACAAAGGCCCACTTCCTCAGGCTGGTTATCGTGGTTTGGGAGACCACCACTGCCGGAAACGTCTCCGGCGACAGGCGACAAATCGGACATCGACCCCCCTAAAGAATCACAGCCTATTCAACCAGAGCCACAACAGGACCCCCCGGCTGAGACTCAAGTGCCACCGGAAACACCGAAACCTGCACAAACGCCAACTTCATGGTTCGGACTTTGGTCTACATCGGCATCAGCTACAGCCCCTGAAGACACGGCACCAGCAGCTACGGCTGGCCCAGACAGCCTGTCCGCTGTAGCTAAAGAGACCCAGGATGTAGTTATGGAAGGCGCCGCTACTCCCGCCCCTCCTGCGGCGGCATCAACTCAACCATCCGCTGGTTCGACTTGGGCGTTCTGGTCAAGAGACACAGGCTCGAATGAGACAGTCAAGAGCGGCGAGGCGCCAGAGCAGGGGGAATTGGCTGTTATTGGTGATGGCTCAGAAGCCAGCCCAAGAAGATCATCTGGCGTTCAAGCCCACGAAGCTGCACCGTCCTTGAAGGGTTCACCCGTCAAGGCTGCGAAGGAGTCGTTAACGAAAGCGAGTTCTTCACTCAGGCACAAGAGAGTCCGACCACGATCAATGGACATCGATGAGCCGTCATCCGCAAGACCGAATTCTCCGCAGTCGGATTCTTCGATCAAGACAGCACCGGCTAAACCGACTACACCTGTATCAATCAAAGGACCTTCACAAAATCTACTCCTGCCATCCTTTCACAGCACATACCGCTTGAAGGAGAATCCATCAATCATAAAGCAAATCACCCAGCTACTCCTTCGTACCCAACAGCCATCTGCCAACCATGTTAATCTTTCCAAAGAACCGCCTAGGATCAAGAAGGCCATTGCCATTGGTGTACATGGCCTCTTCCCTGCTAGCTATCTACGAGCGATGATAGGGCAACCAACTGGAACCTCCATTCGTTTCGCTAATCATGCAGCCGAAGCCATTCGGAAGTGGGCTGAGAAGCATGGTAGCAGTGACTGTGAGATCGAAAAGGTGGCTCTTGAAGGTGAAGGAAAGATAGCAGACCGGGTCGACAATCTCTGGAAGCTTTTGCTAAACTGGATTGAGCATATCCGGAGTGCCGATCTGATCGTTCTCGCGTGTCACTCTCAAGGGGTTCCGGTTGGCTTCATGTTGTTGGCTAAGCTGATCGATTTAGGAATCATCACCAACGCGCGAATTGGCGTCTGCGCCATGGGTATGTTATGAGTCCACTGCAGTCGGATTTTGTGACTAATCTCTGTGGCAGCTGGAGTTTCGCTCGGGCCCTTCCCCGACTACAAGTCTAGCGTGGGCATGATCATGGGAACTGCTGCTGAATTGTGGCAATTCGCCGATCCGGAGAGCGAGATAACCAAGAGATATGAACATGCCTTGCAGGTTGTCGTCAACTACGGCGCCCGTGTCACGGTAAGACCGATACGAAGCACATCACCTCACTGTTCTTAAGGAGGGACTTACTGACGCTTGCGCTGTGCAGTACATCGGCAGTATTGACGATCAGCTGGTCCCGATGGAGTCGGCGATATATTCGCCCGCATCCCACCCCTACATTTACCGCGCTGTCTTCATCGATGGACGTATACATGCTCCAGACTTCATCGCTCATCTCGTTGGGTTCGCCCTGAAACTCCGAAACCTCGGCATCTCCGACCATGGACTGATTCGGGAGCTCTCAATACCGCTTGCGGGCAGTCTCTACGGTGGCGAGGGACATTCCAGACTTTATGATGATGAGCAGGTTTACGAGTGGGTGCCATCACAAAAAGCCCCCTTTCTCGTGGGCAACGTGGCTAACTATTCCAAGCCTGGCGATCTCACACGCTCTGGAGACGACCAGTGTGTCTGGAGTGCCTTGTCAAGTTCAAAAACACGAAGGACTGACTAGTCCTCCCAATCCATACGTATTGCCTTGGATTATGAGAGGATTGCTGGAAGAGGACTTTGTTAAAACGGAGCTGCATTCGGAAACGACAGAGCTGCTGAAGCAGTTTGATGACTGGACACCTAACACGAAGGCATTGAAGGATGTCAAGTATAGACTAGAGGCTGTCAGGTCGAAACTCTAGCCTTGCCGCTGCTAGTAAACGACGGAATGTTGATGTGTATGCGGCGAATAAATCAGTGGATGGATGTACACACAGAGGTTACTTAGGGTGTTGGCGTCTGCTGTTCGGTCAAGGTGCTCTGGTCGGGTTGAGAGCAATGCCATTTAGAGGACTAGGGAGTTATTACGGGGTATTCGACAACTGTACAATGGGCGCATCCATATCACCGGCTTACATAGAAAAGTAGATCTGTAGAGCTGACGGATCGGAGTAAACCAGCTTCGAGTTCATCTAATAAAGCCGTTGCATGCTACGATCACCTCATCTGGATGGATTTGTAATGTCAAAAAGGGGCACATGTAGACAGACATTGAAGCGGCCCGATGGAATGGATCCCCTGACGAATGACACGCCGTTAAAGCCTTTGGCAGACAGCGGGCGGGCCTTGCCGCTCGGCCTATTTGCTGGTCTTGAAGTTACGCAGGTGCGGCTCTTAATCAAGATCACTAGGTAGATTAATAAGCTGTTAGGCCGGAGTTCGGGAATAAGGAATTATCGGCAACATTGCGTTGTGACGTCCTTGAGATCGTGATTCTCTTTGTCGATTACACGAGTCAAATCGCTCTGCTTTGCACCTGCCGTCTTTATGGTAGCCAGTCAGGCCGGTCGCCTAATCCACTTTGCGCCCGGGCAGCCCGGTCGGATTGAGCATTTCTGCATACTAGCTTATGTAGTGACGTGCATACTATTGCTAGTACAGACATATCGAGCATTCCTTCTCCCCTGTTCGCAACTTGTCGACTCGCGCATCCGCAACCCACCAGCGGCACACCCGCAGACCCGGGAGCGTCCTGGCACAGACACGACTATCTAGAGGATACTGCGCGAGACGCATCCGACACTCATTAGTCTACGACCGCGATCCTCCCTCGAGCTCGAGCTTTGCAAGTGTACGCCCGAAAGCCTTTTTTGTGGAGGAAGCTCGGTATCAACGGATCCCCCACTGCGCAACGAAATGGACACTCGCAAGCAACCGGCACCTGAATGATGATGCAGGGACCGCAAGCATTGAACGCGACAACGTACGTCTGGACGCTGTGTTGGACCCTTCCGCTGGCCGTCTATGCTGACGATAGCCTCTACCAGCCACGACAGCGGCACGCGCTTGCCTGAGGTGGAATCGCCATGGCGCTCCTTAACCCGACCTTCATTTTCGGCCTATTCGTCCTCCTCTACCTCTCCTCCTTCGTCCTCTTCGCCGTACTGCGCATCGTCACCGGCATATCGATACAACGGATCGGATACTTCTCCTTGCGCCGACTGGCTTATACCCCCAGAGATGGCATCAAGCTCGAGATCCGCGGCCTCGGCCTCACTCTTCACCGTCCGACTTTCTCTCAGCCGACCTGGCTCAGTGTCGTTGTCAGCGAACTCGTGGTGACAGTGGACGTCAAAGAACTAGAAGGACAAAAACACAATCTGGCCCAGCCTGGTGAAAGCGAGACCGAAAGCACTGAGGACTTACGAGATGCCAAACCAAAGCCAGCGCCGAGGAGCCCGCTCCAGAGGCGGGCAACCTTCGAGGCCGCCCGGAGCGCGACATGGAAACAATTGACTAAAATCAAAGAGCGCATTAAGCGGCTGCATCGCAATGTTCGCTGGCTTCGGATGGTTGATGTGGTGGCCACGGATTCAGCCGTTCACATCGTTGACGTGGGCAAAGTCCAAGTTGGCAGCTTCACCATTGCCTTGGACACCCGACATCGGATGGGCGACCGTGCCCGATTCTTCTTCCAGTCCAGAGCCGAGAAGCGTCGCCAGACACAGCCCGCGGAATGGATCGTGACCTTGCGGAGTATCCTCTTCACAGCCAAGGGCGGCGAAGCCGTCGAAGTCCTCGACAGCGCCGCGCTTAATGTACATGGCTTTTTATACGCCAACCTGGACGGGCTACGAGACGCATCCATAGCATTGAAGTTTGGCAGGGTGCACATTCCTTACGATGACGTGCAAATCTGCGTCGAGCGTTACCAAAGGTCCAGGCGTCAGTATTCGAATACCTATACACAGGCTGAGTCAATCGAGATCTCGGTGGACAAAGTCATTCAAGAGATCGATACACCCGGTAGCACTGATCAAGACTTGATGCAGACCGTGTCTGATTCCAAGGAATTTGTGAGCTCAATTCTTCGGGGAATCAAAGAGATCCAATTCGCCGTGAGCTTCGTCAGTCTCACCAAGAGAATGACCGCCGTGCGATCAGCCGGGTCGCCTTTGCTGTTGAACGCATCGATGAAGGAGGTTGGTATAGACCTTCATCGCTTGGATCCGAAGTCCCCAGCACATCGTATGTACTTTCCTTCCAAGGACATTGCACACGAGGCTCTTGTTGCAGCTTTATCTATCTCGGTAGGATTGGACGATGGCCACGGCAAGCCAGAAAGGGTGTTGTACGTGCCTATGGCTACGACGACCGTCAAAACAACTCTACCCTCCAAGACCGTGGAACTGTCCGGTGTTGGGAGTGCCGAGGAGAGAAACGCCAACATACTGTTCGCCAACTCTGTTGTCACCTCTCCGTCTGTTGATCTCGACCCAAAACATCTTCCTGTGCTCATAGCACTGCTTCAAGCTCGGCCGAAGTCCCCCAAGGCGCACGCGCAGCAGAGGCATATGCTGATCTCCCGGCTGCTCCCCAAAGCTAACATCAAATTCTCAATGCATGAGCCTGTCATCAGGATCGCATTACCTCCAGTGGAAACGACTGATGACCCGGACGACTTCGACCTGATCATATCTTCCATATCCTCCATTTCTCTTGACGTCGAGTCATTCCACTCTACCGTGGAAGACCTGCACTATTCTATAGCTTCGTCAATGCGAGTACAAACTCATCATCTATACTACCAAACCACTCAGGGCAACCGGTTTGATCTGATCGATACGGAGTCCTTCGACTTGAAGGTCCAGCTGTCAGCGACGCCAGACGTCCATATCGTTGCGCAAGGACATCTCCAAACACTTGCAATTCGCATGACGCGGCCTGAGATCACAAAAGGCTTGCGCCAGATAGTCAGCCAGCTCAAGCCGAAAGTAGAGCCTGACAAGCGGGCTGGGTCTAAAACAGCAAGCTCGCAGAACTTCCTACGAGCTCTGCCACAATGGCTACTCCATTTCTCAGTTCAGGTTGAAGATTTCAGCGCAGAGTTGACCGGGGTTGACGAAGACTTTCCTGGCAACACACGCGGTGTTGTCCTCATGGTTGATACGTGGTCAACAGAGTATCGCGCTCAGAGGCTGGATAATCTCAAACAACGACCGACCTCGAGGAGACGAGCGGCGAGTCGATCTTTTGCCCCAGATGGCGACTTCTTGAACTCTATATCGGTGCCACCATCCCCGCGCAGAAAACCCCAGAATGACGGTGATGGACGAAGGATCGCTGTTCACGTACGAGGCCTTGAGGCGTTCATAGTCGAGGCCCCCGAGAAATGGGAAGTCGAGCCATTTGTTCACATGCCACGCTTCGAGGTAGCCTTCTCAACCCACAGTGATGCGCACAGCGCTATCCTGCATGTACACTCTCACGTACGGACCCTACTCATTCGGTACTCTCTCTTCCGTCATTATTCCCTCGGTATCGCTGTCATGGTGCTACGAAAAGCATTCATGAGAGGACCACAGCATGGGACACCGGCGAATCCACCGACTGACCGTTTGTCACCTCTCTCACTTTCGACAGATTCGCCGATGACAAACCAGATGGATCCCTTCTTCCGTCCCATGAAAGAGCTGGTAACAGTCGATTTCAAAGCTGCGTTGGTCCAGGTCAAGGCCGAAATGCCGTCTGACCCTCCTCTGATGATGCAGATTTACAGCATGGAAGCAGGTCGTCAACGATGGTCACCCCCCTTCTTCTACGCCAAGCTAGTACGCTTGTATGCTGGCGCCCCCAGAATGCAAGGTGTCTGGGCCCGGATCGCCAGCATCAAGACGATTCGCTTGGACTATCGAGAGTCTCGGAGAAAGACGTCAACAGGGGCCTTTCAAGATGAGAGGATGTTCGATGTGGTGACAGAGGCCATGAGGCTGGCGGTGCCGCACGAGCTCATCATCAACAAAATCTCGGACAACCTCATTAATGTCATCAAAGCGAGTTCGCAGCTACACCATCGATTCAAAACTGGAACTAATGAATACATACTGGAGAAGACAGCAGAGGAGCCAAAGAACGTGCCCAAAATCTCTCTGAGGACTCGCACCCTTTTGTTTGAGCTCGAGGACGGGGCGTTTGAGTGGAAACTAGGGATGATATACAGGGCAGGCCGCGTTGAACAGCTTCAACGGCTTGCGCGCGAGGAGGCATACCGCGTCAAAGTGAAAAAGATCCACGAGAAAGAAATCAGGAAGGGTTCGAGCCGAAACCGCAACCGCTCGGCCATGACAAGAGGCCGTGCTATGGACAACACTTCGTCGGCACGTAGTAGGAGCGAAGCTGGCGCGAATCAACCGTCTCGCGATGGGCGCTCTCGCAGCGAAGTTCCTCGAGGCAGGAATCCTCGTTACGATCCAGAATGCGTTCGCGGCATGAGTGGCAGTGCTCACGTCACAATACAAGAAGCCAGGAGTAGGCTGCACCAGCATAATGCCCAAAGCTGGAAGAAACGCATCGATCGGCACTGCCTCATAGCGAAAGATGGGATGAATGAGATTCGCGGGCTTTTCTGGGGACCAGATCATCTCCCGGACGATTTTGAGGACACCGAGAGAATCCTCGAGGTGCCGCAACGGCCAGCGCTAATGTCCACGATCATCACCGACTTACACGTCACCATCGATAAACCCTCGTTTCCTCTCCAGAAGCTGCCCGACTTTCTGCACAAGGTCGGAAAGGGGATGCCAAAGGACATGAAGTATTCGCTTCTCATGCCAATGAACGTACAGATCAACATGAGCGAGGCTAGAGTGAGTCTCCGAGACTATCCTCTGCCGTTACTTCATGTCCCGGCGTTGAAACCCGGCCAGTCCTCAAAGCTCCCAGCGTTGTCACTCAAAACGGATTTTGTCATTGCAGAAGAGTTTCGTGGCAACGAATCATCTCGAAGGATACGAGTCCAAATCACACCTGTGAGCAATCTGGAACCTGGTATGCCTAATGGAAGTTTCGCCATCGATGTTCGCCGTACCATAGGTCCAGTCAAGTCTTACTCGGACATGCATGTCGACTTGAATACTGCCTATCCCACCAGAATCACATGGGGACCTTCTTACCAACCAGCCATTCAGGACATGATGATGGGCATCGAGTCGTTCACTAAGCCGCAATTGGATCCTTCCGAACGTGTTGGGTTCTGGGACAAGATCAGGCTGAATTTCCACTCCCGTGTCAGGGTTGCGTGGAAAGGTGGTGGTGATGTGCATCTCGCTCTAAAGGGCACCAGAGACCCTTACCATGTCACTGGCAATGGCGCTGGATTCTTGATGTGCTGGCGGAACAATGTCAGATGGAACATTCATACAGACGACGACCCGAAGAAACTCATGACTGTGGACAGTGGCGAATATGTCCTTGCCGTTCCCGACTACAGCCACCAGGTCAGAGAAGCAGCACGTGGAGTTGAAGAGAACGAAAGCATGACCAGCGAAAACAGTTACAAGTCCGGTGCAGTCTTCAAGAAGGTAGTGATGAAACTGTCAGGCAACGTCCAATGGATGGCCGGGCTTGTTTTCGAACGAGCTATAGAGCGTGGCCACCGGAGCTTCGAGTTCAAACCGCACTACGACGTCGTCCTGAAATCTCCAATGCACGCCAAGTCAGATGACGGAGGTCTCCCATACGATGCTTTCCGAGGCTTCAGGAGCCAGTACATACACCTTTCTATCGCTGTCAGAGCACCAGTTGACCGCGACTGGACCTCTTCGGAATTACAGCCATCTAGGAGTTACAATACTGTACACTTGACACCCAGGTTCTTCACCCATTTCTATGCTTGGTGGTCTTTGTTCAGTGGTCCGATGTCTCTGCCCATACGCCAAGGATCCCTCTGGCCAGGAAGAGAAAAGAACAGCAAGAAGTTTGGAAGGCATCTAGGCACGATCAAGTACAACCTGCTTTTAGCACCTCTATTCCTCAGCCACATATATAAGCACAAAGATGCTGAAGACTACTCCGAGAATTCCGTTTCTGCCACTGGCATCAAAGTCAGATTCGATAGCTTCATGCTCGATATCCACCAACGCCGAGAGGAGTTCAACACGCGGGACCGCGGACGCAAGACCAAGGGCAAAACGACCGGAATGAAGATTCATGCAGCTCAGCTTGATCTTGTGTCGGCGGATATACGTGCCGTTTCTGCTAGTATCAAAGGCACAACAAGTGAAGCAATCCAGAAGAACTCGGTCACAACACTGATCACGCAACAAGAAGACATCGGAAATGACCTCTCCAACTTCACAATTCCCGATCACGACTTCAGCTGGATCGACATGGATGATTTTGTTGAGCTTGACTGGATCCTTCCATCGGAACCAAACCCAGACACCAAGATCCTACCCCTGGCGTATGCTCCCCGTGTCACTTATTTCAGACAGACCGACATTGGTGGTACTATCGACGGCGACCCCGATCGCGCCAGTCCTTTCGGCGATGAGCCGTCGCACTTTTGCATAATGAGCCAAGACGACGACCCTAGGAGGGTTCAGTCGCAGCTCATCAAAAAGCGCCTAGATCAGCTGGAAGTCCAGATCACGAATAACATACGCAACGTTGACGATGCTGAGTTGCGTATGTTAGAAAAAGATAGGAATGACCTCGGTCTAAAGGCAGAGTACGAGAGTCTCAGCAGGCATACCGGAGTCCTACAAGAGAAACGGGCGTTCATGGAGAGCATGCTACGGCAGATGGACTTCAAGATCGATGACAATGGCCGAAGCGAGAGCTCAGGCAGCAGCAAAGTCCCAAGCCAGAAAAACGAGCCCCCAATTGAGAACGGCGAAGGGAAGGTCAAGGTACCTACTGGGGCGGAGTTCGCGAGCGACTTCAAGAACAGATTTGTTGTCCACAATATGCAGCTCAAATGGAACAATCTGCTGCGCAATATCGTTCTGCGGTACAGCCACCAAGTCAGTCAACGACGAGGTTTTGTATACTACTTGTCTCGGCCTGCCGTCAAGTTCATCCTGGATATCGTCGAAGAGCAGGCGAAAGCGAAGCAAAATAACAACTCGACCAAAAAGGCATCAGATGCCTCAGGCAAGCCTTCAGCTACCGATCCTAATGGGAAATCTGATGACGTCAACGCCGACATCGAGTATCGGATAAAGCAGATCTTGAAGGACGGTAGAAAGTACGTCAATGCTGATGGTTCCAGCTCGTCGGAGGGAACCGTCAACCCGAATATGGAGGACATCACGGGGGGTATTGCAGAAGATTTTGCGCCACAGAGCAGTTTCCATGTTTGTTTGATTGCACCACAGATCCAGCTCCAAAGTGACAAGAACCAGAAACACGCTATCCTCGTCACGGGTAAAGGCATGGAGCTGAAAGTGGTGGAAGTCATGGAAAAGGCCAGGCTATCTGATCAGGTCAGCGGCCTGGTCCAACGACGTTTCTTCCTTCGCATGGACAGTGCCCAGTTCTTCGTGTCGCATCAGAAGTGGTTCTCTGACCAACTTCTGTCGATGTATTCTGCGAATACGTACGGTGTGCCTCTGGGCTCATCTTGGCCGCCTTGGGTACCAATGGAGGTCATGTTCGACTTTCAATCGGATCCTTTCGGCTTCAAACGAATAGTGCAAAAGACGTCGGCGATGTTGAGGTATGACAAATACAACACCCTGCGACTGAAATACAACGATGAGGTCAACGACGTGGAAGCAGATGATCCGTCCACCGAGAGCACCGAGAGCAGGATGGATAATCTCTGGGTGGAGTTTCCCCAGGCTCGGGCTCTCTGTAACTCATCGCAATACTACGCCATGTACGTCATTGTGCTTGATCTTCTCTTGTACAACGAGCCCTTGGAGAAGACAAGGAGTGAGCGGCTTGAGAAGATCATGTTAGCCTCGGACTTCAGCGACCTGCGAGGAACCCCTGAGATGGTCACCAGGTTACAGGATCGGATTCGGCAGCTCGAGGATATCAAGAGCCATTTCCAAATACACTCCAAGTACCTGGACAGGAAAGGCTGGGAGGATAGGCTACTGCTGGAGCGGGACCTTGCAGCCTGCGAAGATGAGCTGTTCTTTATGATGAAGGCCATCACTACGTCTCAGCGCAAGTACGACAATACATCTCAAAGCAACGCCTTGATGAAATGGACTATTTCGGCAAGGGAGATTGTTTGGCATCTCGTCAAGGACAATAACGAGCCTCTCGTCGAACTGCAGTTGCGAGATGTCGAGTACGATCGAACCGACAACTCTGACGGCTCACACATCAACCTGATGCAAGTGGGGAAAGTGCTTGGCTTGAACCTCATGCCAAATGCGATCTATCCTGAGATGGTCGCCCCCTACTTTGAAGATGGGAGCAGTCCCCTTTCTGACATGAAAGACCGGCAGATGATCCGTGTGTACTGGCACATGCTGGAAGCTATCGCGGGCATACCAGTCATGGACCATTTCGAGGTGAATCTGTTCCCAATGAAGGTTCAGCTGGAACATGAAGTGGGCAAGAAGCTATTCGAGTACATCTTCCCCGGCATGGAGGGCGACAAAATCGACAATGAGAAGCCTAGCGACAACAGTCAAGGTGAATCGCCGTTCATTGTAAGGTCCACATTCCCCGGTGAAGCAGATGATACACATGACGAGTCGTCTAAGTCTGGCTCTGGAAGACTAGGCACAGCTGTCTCTGATCAGGACTCGGGCTTCGGCACCCGGCCTGGGTCACTGGAACTTCGCCTGCGACCCACTCTGACCCTGGACTCCCGCTCGCCTGAAGACAGTCCTCCGAAATCTCAAGCTATCAGCGTTCACTCGGGGGAAGGCGGACATGTGTTTAGACTTTTCGGCTCCAAGACGGCCAGTAAGAAACCGTCGTACGAGTCGCTTCGGTCCAACATCGCACCACGACCTGGGTTGGGTCGGTCCAGTACCATTGTTTCTACGAATAGCGGCGAGAACAAGAAAGGCACGCGCTTCGCGCTCCCTCGAAAATCCGGCGGCAATTCTGAAGAGAAGCCTTCTGACGATCTGACCAAAATGATGGCTCGTGCGTCAAACTACATGACGTTCGCCTACATCAAGATGCCGTCAGTAGTCCTATGTCTGAGCTATAAGGGCAAGGGTGGTCGAAACATCGAGGATGTCCACGACTTTGTCTTCAGGTTGCCGACCATCGAATACCGCAATAAGACGTGGTCTAACGTCGACCTCGTCTTGAACCTCAAATCTCGTGTCATCAAATCACTCATCTCTCACACTGGCGCCATCATTAGCAACAAATTCAGCAAGCATAGACCGAACAACGCCCAGCAGAGCAAACTCCGCGAGCTGGCAAGTAGCAGCGTACTATTGGCAACGCCAGCCTTGTCCTACAGCGGCGATAATAGCGATGACTCGTCGAGCTTATTTGGGACGAGTCCAGTCGATTATTCTCGCTCTCCCCCAAAAAGCCTTCACGACTCGCAATCCAGCATTCCCGTGCCGCGGCGATCGAATAGTCAGAGTTCCAGCCTTGCTTCATCACGATCACGGAGTCGTCCACGAACACGCGGCAACGAGAGCACATATCGCAGCGCTGTACCCATACCTACGTTCCTGAAGATGACGCCGCCGACGCCGGCGGGCTCACAGACCGGCCTTGGGATCGACAGGATCGACATGGGACGACCCCAGTCGAGCAGCAGTAACAGCCTGCTCAGCCCGATCGTGAGGCCGCGCACGAGCGGAAGCAACAACCTGGATGATCAGTCCCGGCGGAAATCCGCCGGAGGGGCCGGTTTTCTGCGGGGCAAGCTCAACGCGTTCACGAGCCGGTTGAATAACCGCGAGGCCAGTGACGGCGCCTGGAGCCTTCACGAGGGTAACGGTAACGGCGACAGCGAAGATGGCGCAGACGAGAGGGCTGGCTGGACGCCGCGGAGGCCGAAGACTGGTGGGGGATGATGAAAATGTCACCCCCGGGTATTTTAGTAATAGTAATACGGAGCTACATTCGCTTCCCTATTTTTCTTTTCTTGATTTGTCGCTAGTATCTACGGTTCTCTGCAGGCTTGCCTCCAGACTAGGGACGGAAGCGGGGGGTCACAGCATCTTCATCACATCACATCACATTCCATTGCTCCAAGGGTTCGGGGAGCAGGGAATGGAAGGGTCAGGATGGCCTTTTGCAGGACAGTGGATAACACATTCACGGGTCGCGTGGGTGGCTCGCGGCACGTACATACATACGTACATACATATGTTGTCTGTGTATATCTTCGAGCTAAACATTGGGGGGAGCGAGGAGTAGGAGAGATGGATAGATCGTGGGACTACGGTCATAGAGCCTGCTACGGCGGGATATAGAGATGCAAACGAATAATATATTTGTTGAAGATCATCGTGATGTGTGCTTTTTGTGAGGTGGTGCGTATTAACAGACGACCGGTAGAACCACCATGAATGTTATTACTTAGGTAAACATGCTTGCGTATCACGAACAGCAGCAACCCCTTGCTGGGCTATGATTTGGGTTGGAGAAACTCGGTTTGTTTCTGTATATATGTCCTGGCGCCCTTTGTATCTTAGACCTTAGGCCTCTGGAATAATTGTTTGGTTGCTGCCGCGCAGCTTGGGGTCTTTGGTGCCCTGTTGCCCTGTTGCCAGGCGAGGTTGGATATATGGCAAAACAAAAGCAAAACCGTCACCAAATGAGGCTGACCCGATCTCAGCTGATGGGGTGCGAATTTGCTCAGTTACTACGAAACAGGGCAGGCGCATTAGAGATGTAGGTTTGGTCCGAACTCTTCAAATTGACCCTGTACTAGTTGCAGGGTTCAATTTTTGCTGAAAGCACTGTTGTTACCCTTTTGGTATTTTGTTCTCAGCTGTTGCGCCGCATCCATGATATCTTGACTTCATCCACCTAGAGGCTCCCTGTTTTTCTTTCCTCCCCCTGCGTGCTACGCTGTGGTTTGCTTAAGCTTGCACTATACGTAGGGCCTCTCCCTTAGCTTTGGTAGTTGCATTTATTATACCATTCTTATCCCCCTGTGCTGGGGAATGGTGTCTCTCGTGCATCGGCAAAGGTCGAGTCTGAAGATATGGTTGTAAGTTATCTATATTCGCATGCGCCCGCTTGACCCGGCGATTGTAGAGGCGTTGCCTCCGCGGTGCATTCGCAATGGTCGAGGTTTCGGATCAGCGCAGTTTCATCATCCGTATCTTCCTGCATCCAGATGCGTGTCGAAGCTCAGATAAACTCCCTCCCTCCTCGGATGGCAGTCCATTCAGCGGTTAATATCAATCGTTTTCGAGGACCCTTCTCAGCCTCCAGGAGCAGCACCGTCGGCATCGTCCATCAAGATGAAACCCGGACTCCAATACTCGTACTCCTGAGCTTGCTTGTCAACCCACAGCATGCCGTCGCTCAGGAGATCCTCGATGGCGGTTTGAGCCCTCGCTCTCGCCCAGCGGAGGTTGATCATCAGCATCGAGACGCTCACGTAGCCCAGGACTTGTGCGGCCTCAAGGACGGAGCTCTGGTCCGTGTTCAGCTCCTTGGGCACCGAGCGGATGTATGGCTTGTTGCCGACCTTGATGACGGAATAGCTGGAGCCCAGGGGCTTCAACGTGCCTACTGCGCGCAGCACGTCGTCCCTGCGAGCTATGATTAGCACCGCGTTCCAGACACCAAGCGAGCCCCGTTATTCACTACGGGTTGACAAAAGGCAGATTACTCACTCAGTGACTTCAGGGGCGCCCTCCATCCGGCCCCTCATGACCTTCTCCCTGAGCTCGCGCACGCCGATCAACCCGCCATTCTCGCCCCGCGTAGCGCCGCAGACCTCGACAACGCGCACGGCGAGCTCGAAATAGAAGTCGTTGACGGTGCGGCCCAGCAGCTGGGCCCATAAACTATTACCGCCGCCGCCGGCAGACGAGGAGCCGGACGAGGCCAGGGGGTCGACGCCGATGGCGGCGCACATGCGCGCGAACTGGGCACGGAACGACGGGTTGGACCGGATGTCGCGGGCGTGCGTCTGCGCGAATTGTTGTAGTAGCGACCGGAAGACCGACAGCTGCGTCTCTAGGGCTTGCGCGTTGGTGCTGCGCAGCGAGTTGCCGTGCGAGGCGAACTGCGCCGACGTCAGGCGCGAGCGGTCGAAGGCGGCGAGGCCGACGCCTTTGCGAGACATCTTGCGTGATGGGTCGAGTTGCTATTGTGGTTTAATGCTTGTTGGCGTCAAGGGATTAATGGGCTTCAAGTCGTGATAGTTTTAGATGACTGAAGACCAAGTTTCAAGGGGGGTGGTGATAAGGGGCATGTGTGTGAGAGACCGGGAGACCGCTGGGAAGTCACACTCGAGACCTTATCGAAGTAGCGATATGGCTTATTCTATCAACTTTGGATGATAGTATTTTCCTGTCACGGAAGATTTAATTTCTCCTTTATTCACTGAATCCGTATGCATTGATGCTGCCAACGTCGTTGCGATGCTCCTTGGTCTGTCTCGTTCTCCATCGTCACTGATGTGAAGTCAACTCCGGCGAGGCCGGCCTTTCTTCGGCAGGCATTCCGTACATGTGCTGTACCCTACTCTCGAGCCACACTCGCCCAGCCACACTCTCCTCTCCAGCCACACCCGTCGCTCCACTGCAGCCGGCTCTAGCGCAATCTGAGGGCACAAACCTATTTTGCAAAACTCTCCCCGCGAAAAACTGCGTGCGTATCACTGTTTTTGCCCATCATCGTCGACCCCGTAGAGCCGCATCACATCGCGAACTTCCTCACCCTAACCCACAGCACATCTGGTATGTACAGAGTTCCTAAGCCCTGAATTCCTGAATCCGCCCGTATTCTCTCCGAGCTTATACTAACCTTCGCGCTCGCCAGTAAGTACCTTTACTCGGCGCTACCTGTACCTTCACGAACCAACGGAACGAATATTGACGCGGACTTTCTCCCACACCAGACGATCGCAATCATGTCGACGACCCAGAGTGTTCAGTGCTTCGGCAAGAAGAAGACCGCCACCGCGGTCGCTCACTGCAAGGTCGGTTCCCCCACGAGCGATGCCCAAGCGACAGAACTCCGTGCATGGATATCGAATTGCTGGGCAGATGTGGAATACTTTGCTGACGGAATTCTGTTCACAGGCCGGCTCCGGTCTGATAAAAGTCAACGGAAAGCCTCTTTCCCTGGTTGAGCCCCAGGTCCTCCGTTTCAAGGTCAGCCTCCATTCTTCCCCCACACGCGAAAGCACCACTCGAACCCGCCTCGCATGCCTCCACCTCGAACAATACCGATATCGAACGCGACAGATTACGCAGGGAATACTAACCAATGTCTCGCGCAGGTCTACGAACCCATTTTGATCATTGGACTCGACAAGTTCGCGAACGTCGACATCCGTGTTCGCGTAAGCGGTGGTGGTCAAACTTCCCAGGTCTACGCCATCCGACAAGCCATTTCCAAGGCCCTGATTGCCTACTACCAGAAGTACGTCGACGAGCACAGCAAGAACCTGCTGAAGCAGGCCCTCGTCCAGTACGACCGCACCCTGCTCGTTGCCGACAACCGACGATGTGAGCCCAAGAAGTTCGGCGGTCCCGGTGCCCGTGCCAGATACCAGAAGTCCTACCGTTAAAGCGGTGGCGGCTTTCTGGGGGAGTTGGAGAGGAGAAGAGCAGACCAGTCTACGGCAGAGGAGCATCACAAGCGACGGATCATACCGAAAGATGCGGCTGGTTTGGCTGTCTTGTCTGTCCTGGGTTTTCGCGGGCTCGGATGGTGGCTATATGCTACGATGGTCGGACCTTCTGGGGTCATAAGGGATCCTTTGCGGGGGCCATCTACAGATGCCCTCTCTATTCATTTGCATGGCATAAAATTCTGCCTGGTTGTAAAGGGATTAGGCGAATGAAACGACAATACTTCTGAACCAACTTCGAGACAGGTGTTTCTTGCGTCTCTTGGTGAAGATGTGAGTGTGGGCTGTGATATGTGAGTCGGGCTACCGATTACCCTGCGAGGGAGCCGCAGCAGTGCTGTGCAGATGGCTCTACATGTCCTGAGTGATCATGGGGGATTTCCCGGTTCCCTTGGTCATCGGCCTGCCTGGAAAGTCCAGCAGCTGCCATATTCCCGCGAAACGGACATCCCCTCTGCTAAGTTTCGAACAGATGTATCGCCGAATACCTTCAGCCACCGTGGGATCATCCCACGCAGTTTGCTGGCCATGTTGGAACTGCAGGCTGCTCAAAGACACCTCGTCCCACTACACGTCCGAGATGATTCGGTGGGCGCATGATCACGCGGCTAAGGAATCCCATTCCGAACACCGTCCGTCAGCCCAGTACCATGGACCTCCGTGCGAACCCTTCCTAATGCATCTGTTCGTGAAGGCCAGCCGCATACCGCAACTCGTGAGATCTCTAGGAATCGTTCGGTCCAACCTCCCAGATTTCCCCTATCCCCCCATTCCTCATTCCCCCATTCTTTTGTGAAAACAGAACGGCATATGTGTGTACAGCTCTGGGCCTTTTTCCATGCCTTTTCTTGCTGAAGGATTATCTTCTCGTGCCGAGAGTAACTATCTTGTCCAACTATTTACCAAACACCCGTGCTTCGAATTATTACCTCCAAGGCAAGGGTGCATGGAGCTTGGGCTACATACATGCTATGGAGCGCGCTGAGCTGGCTGTCCTTGCTTACCTAACTAGGCATGTATGTAAGTATGTATGTACGTTGGCAGAGCTACGCCCGTAAGTTGTGCAGGCTGTTCAGCGGTCATGGCCAGATAGATAGATATCGAAATACCAGCCAGCCAACTCTTGGCCCCGGTTGCCATACTGCGTACAGTCCTAGACTACGTGACCATGACCATGACCATAACCATAAACAAGTCAATGTCGACTTCTTAAATCAGATATGCGACCTATATCGAAATGTGATAGGAATTCGTTCTCATCCCCGTCCCCATCGGCTATTTCCTGACAGACGACTTGACTTACTGACCTGGCATTAACCCTTACCTGCTTGACGCGGTTTCTAACTTGCGAGGGTGAGTGTGTGTGTGTGTGGGGGGGGGGGGCGGGGTCCGTAGCTCCCGAGGGTAGCCAGCCCAGGCTAGGTAAGCTGTCGGTATTGATGGCATGAGAGAGGGAGCGAGGGAATGCTCTGCTCCCTGTCCCATGTCCGTGACCTGCCCCGATGTGGGCTCGACCACTATGCCGCGGTAGATGCTCGTAAGGAGCTTGAATTATATCGCTTACTTATGGGTGTTCAACAGGTCAGGTAGGCAGTTCCGGTTTATCTCTGTAGCCATATCTAGTTTTATTGGCTCCCCTCCCCCAGATCGATCTACTCATGATTCAAACCGGGGAGGGAGACCCAAGAGCAAGAAGAGTGAGTTCTTCCCAAATCTGTTGAATTACCTAACAGTAGGCGGTGGGTAGATAGGCAGGCCCTTGGCATGGGCATCTTGAGATTCGTGGGATGTTTTACTGAGTACCGTAGTGTTGATCTGACCCCTAATTCGGATTCTTATGATAACTCGAACCCCTTAGCCAGACCCTCACAGGGCCACGAACCCCTATTGTGGACCGCTCTTGCCCACACTCCCTGAACCATCTTACAGTTGAAGGCTGATGGATTTGATTGAGATCTGTCTGTCGCATGCACCCGACCTCGATACCTGGTCGTCTAACAGCAAGCGAGGCTAATCGGCCCTCAGTCGCCAAAACATTCCCTACTCGTGGCCGCAACGCGGCCAAGACATGCTTCAGAAGACCAGGACTCTGGCCCGTAGCTACTAACTATGCTGCAGTTTGGCCGGGCTGTTATCACGAGGCTGAGATGAGGATGAAGACACAGAAGGGCAGGGAAGGGGACCTTTCCGCGCAGCATGGCTTCTCAAATGTTGAGCTGCTGCACCTTCTCACGAGATCAAACCGATACTTCATATACTCCTGCCGATGACCCGTGGTCCTTAAAGTTTCAAGTGTATACAGCTGAAGGAATAATACGGAGCATATATATATATATGATATCATGCTGCGTGAACCAAATTTCAATGGTAACTATGGTGCTTCTGTGAGCATGAATGAGCTCAACATGAACATGTCGTCCGAGTCTACGGGGCGTACAAGTTGCTGCTTAGCCTAGCCAAAACAGCTGCTGCAAGAATCATGCTCCTAACTTATACCAGAGCAGACTACTCGAGCGAACGTGATTCTATAAAAGTATTGCAATTTTTACATTGACCTACTGGTTCCGGCCATATGATCCAGTATGTCTGAGCTCGTACTTCTTCGCTCGCGCTAGCCTTCTTCACACTCGAGCTGAGAAAGTCGGAAAATCGCCGGGGAATACGAAGGTCTGAAGAAAAGTTCCTACCCAGGCTTTGAGAGTAGTCAACAAGCTTGGGTCTTGTAGGACTCCGGGTTCTGACGTGTCCATCGCCAAGATGAGAAAACTGGTTGGCGGCTTGTATGGGAGGCCAGCCCTCTACCGTTCCTGATACCCTCGCTCCACGTGGATGTGATTCGCGGAAATCGTACTCATCGGAACATGGTGATGGAGTCACTTCAGAGTTACATCACGAGTACGCAGAACATCATCTCTGAGGCGGCTCAGGGGAGATGCTGTGTATTTCTCGACATGGAACTTCGGCTAGGTGGTTTACAGGTGATGTGGAGCGGAACGTGCAGGAATTCGGTATTTATTCTATTGCGTTACCCCTGGAACATTCACTAGGTTTATCATCTTCAGCTGCCTATTAGCTGCAGATATCCTGACAAATCATGGACACCTCTGCCATGTATGTCACTGTCAGGGAGCACATTTGTAAGCCGATGGCTGACCAAATAGCTCAGACCACCATCACATCTCTGGTCTCTCAGTGATCACGACGACGTCGTAAGGTATCAAATGAAGGGCGTTTGATGCAGCCCACGATCGAGAAAGGGGTGTAGAAACAGCTCCCGTTCATGTGCTTCTTCACTGACTGTCAGGATATCGAACAGACTCATGTACAGCCTGACATCCGCGCGAGTCCTCTCTGTACCAACTTCACGCTCAGAGAATATATCATGTGCAGCTGCATGATACGTGTTCGCCGGCTAGTCGACACCGCAAGTAACGTCAATATCGGTTCAACTTGCGGTCACGCGAGATCCGTCGTAGCCCTGGCTGACTCTCTGTATATTCATTCGAATCAATACCAGACGTAGTGTTTCACTCGAATAACTCGAGTGCGGTCTCGATCGTGCTCCGGTCTATTCTACAGTTTCATGATGATATGATTCATTATTCGACTCGCCATGGAGACCAAAGACTGGAGGCACGAACACTTTCAGAACACCTCCATAGAAGCTGATTCAGCAGGGGAAACGCGACTTAAGGTCGTTTTGAGTATCTCCACCCGTACAGCGAGAATTCCAAGGGCCAAGAAGGCAAAGACAACTCAAAAAGACGCTGGCTGGAGACATTTAGGCCTCTTGTTATCGATCCACGGATGTGAAGCACGACTCCCGAGTCGGGAGTCCCGACTCAGCATACCTGGATACGAGCCTCATGAGTCAGCCTCGCCCAGGCTCAACGCGTGGGAGTCAGCAACCAAGGCTGACACATCTCAACATGAATCGCCAGAAGCCAGAACCGAGGTTGATGCTTGATACTGCCACCCCTGCGCCAAAGCGCAGAGTTTCGGCTTCCCGTATGAGTCACGCTCTCTTGAACCGCCCCTCTACATATGAAAGCAGGGTGGCGTGGAAGGAACATGGTTTGGAGTGACACATTGTAGGGGTACTTCGCCTTCGAAGCCTTCAAGTCACACCATGTACCCATGACAACGAGCATCCTCACGTGTCCCTCGCCGCCACCACACAATCACAAAGCACACACTTTGGTTGCCATGATACAGAAACCCACAGAAAGGCAAAGTCTAAAAGGTTGGTGTTTGGTTCCAGACCGACCACCTGACGAGTGTCATCAAGGTTCGTGAGCCGTGTCAATAGCTGACCCGTGAAGATGGCGTGACGTGGAAGATGGCTGAAGGCAAGAAAGACTCACGACGGCAGAGATTTTCAAAACACACGAGAAGAGGCGCACGGGTGTGCCATCAACGGCGTCGTAGCCCATGAGGGTTTGGGCCCCTTTCATCACAAGGCCAGATGTTGGGGAAATGAAGTTCACAGTAAACCTTACCCGTGATAGACTTCAAAGCTTATGCTGCTAAGGCTTCGTACAGCCTCACGCTCTTTTCGCCCCCCAACTAAAGGCGGCCCGAGGTTAGGGCCTATATAGGTCGCAGATGAAGAAACACCATGGACCGTTGTCTTCAGACGCTGAGGCGTTGGAAAGCCAAACCTGTGAGCAAGTGCTTCATGTTGAGCTGCAATGAGGGGATCGCAATCGTAGGTTTGTCCGCAAGCCTCAGAGGCGTTCGACTAAACACATGGCTAAGCGAGCAAGAAAGCTTATATAAGCCAAAGAAAAGGCCATATAAACTCTTCTGTGTCATACGTCCAGCCTCCCCGAATCTCGGCTTCAAGAAATCGTATGCCAATGTTGTGATCGATGAGCAGCAACGCAAGGAGGTTGGGCCAATATCGCCGCAGGTGGGCGTCTACACAGCGCACAGTCGTACAAATGGGAACGCCCAGAGTAAGCCACACTTCTATGCCTCATAATCAATAAAATTGACTGGCTGACTGAAGAAGCTCAAGCCCAGACGCCCCTCAGCGCACAGATCGATATGTATGTATGGAACTTTCTTTCAAAACACGGACGGCCCTTGCCACGGCATGTGCAGTTCATTGTGACGAGCGCGTTGATTGGGAGGAGCGCTGAGTGGCATGCAAGCCGTGACCTCCCTCGCAGCCCAGGTGGCGATAATGGCATGGTTACTGCAAACTCGTAACACTGACCGACATTTCCATGCGGGCCGAGGATCGGGTCGCCTCTGCGACGGATATGAATTGCATGATTTTGCCTCTACGTACAGGAGAAACACGCTCGATGTTGTCGCAGATGGGAACTCGGGGTTTGATGTAGATGTCACGCGAGCAACTATAGTTCCTGTCGCATCTAGTGATTGCCATGCCACGATATAGCGGCGCGACGGGACCTAGCAGTTAGATCAGCACCACGGATTCTGTCAACACCAGCGCCAACTAAAAACAAGATCTACCGTCACCGTCTGTGTTCCTACCCTACTGTGGCCGGTTCGCCCAACTAAATAATAAGGTAGGCGTCGTTGCTTTTGCTTCTGCATGGCAGCCCGACTGCCGGTATACCTAATTCGGTGGCCCATCAAGCACAGGCACATCAGACCAGGGGCGTCTTTTCGACATATCGGTCTGTATATTTGACACGTAGACCGCGGCTACCAAGGTGTGTGTGTCTGTCTGTCAAGTAGTCCTCACCGCGAACTCCCCGTGACGAGGCTCGATGAATCAAAATCTACCACACATGTAATTTGCCGTTCGGGCACATGGAAGGACTTCTCTCCCTGTTGTCTTTGGTGAAGCCCAACATAGTTGCCCAACATAGTTAGACCTCGTCGTGTGATTCCGGGACTCTCCCCTCGGGCAAAGGGAGCGCAGCAGGGGTGCCCGTCAGAAGCAGAGGCAGAGAAAAAAGCAAAACAAATCTAATTTGCAGATGTCATTTCGGCCGAAGGGCTGTTGAGCGAGGGCCGCGGATAACGGGGCCAGTCCGGTCGCCTGGTCGCTGGTCCCTCTCACGGAGGAAGGCCCCCCCCTTCTCTGCAGGATGGAGATGGATTCAGCGAGATCGTTCATCTTGATAGATCGCCGACTAGCTGGTACTGCCAAATCCTCTTCTACGCAGAGCAAAGATTCATCATTTAGGTGGCCTCAGGTAGATCGACTCCACTCCACCGCGCTTTGCCTGTGGGAGAGAAGGGCGTTTTCGGTGTCACTCGGCCTTGGTGGTCTGTCACAGCCATGCGCTAGCCACATCGACATGTCCGGCCACCTTTTCCCGGCGACTCAAGGAAATGAGATGTTTCGAGTGCGGTTCCTTGACGTCAATGGCGTCGAGGGGATGCTGTACGCCAACCCCCGAAAGGCATGATGGGAGGTTCTTTGTCTACTGTCCTTCTTTTCATTGGAAGACATTGAGTAGGTTCAAAGTTTATCCACCTTGGGCTTCCGAGGTTGAATATGTAGGTGGAAAGGGGGAATTGGTGTCGTTGTGGGTGATCGACGCTGCAGCGCTTGGCGACAGGGGGGTCTGCAGTAGATCCAGATTCAAAGTGATTTTCCCAGGGATTTCCGCGACGCGAAACGGTGACATATGCCTCTGATACCTTGTTGTTGAGTGGCTGCACTGGGGTGAACAGCACCCTCGTGTTCTTGTTTTATGCAGAGCATCTGCCCATTTTGGGGGGGTGGAAGAGAAGGGCTATTGACAGGGTCGTCCGTCTCTCTCGAGACGCTCACTAATGTAGACTGATTAGCTTCCCGCCTGGCTGTGAATCCAAACACGAACCCCTCTGGCCGTGAGATCCTGGCACTTCGACGGCTTGACGATTCCACAGACGTTGACAGCCACGTCTTGCTCCCGCGCGTCAACGTCTATCTTGGTAACGGCAAGCTGGCTAGTCGTCTGCCACGAAGGATCCTAGCCGTGACACGCGCTCGTGTACAGGCTGATGAGCATGATGAACAGGTGAGTCCTGTAGGGATTGCCTTGCGTGAAAATATGTCTAGTCGCATACATCATCCGGCAATTTTTTTGCCGCATGAACATCGCAGGGACCTTCAGACTTCACCCCAAGTGGCTAGAACCACGACAGGGCCTAGGCCTAGAATTACATACATAGATGACGGAACGACACTAGTATCGTGTCAGGAGTCTAAGACGTTAGTGCCAGAGCAACATGCTAGAACCATGAGATTGGGCCTTGTAACTCGCTCAGGCATGGTGCTTACCTGGAGTGATTTCACGAATAGTTGAGCAACTTTGCCAAGTTGATGTTCATATTGATTGCGTACCGGGGAGTGTTGGATGGATGCGCCTGGATCGGTATATCCCGGAAGACGTTGGGCACAGCTATCGACAGCGCACGCACAGGCATCATCTCATGCGAATGCATGACTCGGGGCCCTCTGTTGCAGCCTATGGGATCTTCCGAAGGGATCCGTACTGTAAATTCTCGCAAATGAAGGGTGCGTACTCGGGACTGTGATTAGCCTCCTCACCTACATTGAAGTGGATCGGATGGGCACGTTGGTATATTTTGATCAGGCACGGACGCGACGAATCTGCGCCAGCCCAACAAGAAACCTGCTCTGACATGCAGTTGTGCTGGCCGGGATCCCTACATCCCGTTTGAAGGACTTTTTACTCCAAGTAACGATGTTGTTCGGGTGAAGCAAATAGGGCCTTTTTCGCTACCTGAAGTTGGATGTATCTTTCAGCACAGGATTATGCTGGTAGACCGAGCAGTGACGCCGTAATACGGAGCTAATCCAGATGACCCCGTGTTTATTTTGGCGTAAAGACGGGCTTCCCGGGCTCGATGGTGTCCAATGTCGGTCGCTGCTCACTGTCAACGTATCTGTTCGAACGGAAGCTTGCTAGACTGTCCGCCGAAACGATCCCGACGCAAGCATGCCCGTGTCTCTTGCTTGGGGTAATACCAGGCTTTCCTGCAGCGCGAGTCGTGACCGTGTCATAGGTAAGTGAGAACTCGAGTGGGAATGAGAAGTGACGCCGAAGGCGAGTCATGGCTGAGCAAGATCTGTGACAAGGAAATATGCTAGCATGCTATTTCTGCACTGTGAATATTCCATCGTGCACACCACGTGTGCATCCGTTGTGTGTATTGGGAAGGACTAGTGTACTGTCTGGTAACCGGGATCCAATACCCTCATTGTCGTCGTAAACTGTCGTTGAATTTGAGGCCCATGGTGTTCGCTACCAAACTGACGGGTGAGGCTAGTCACCTTGGGTCTGTGGGGGATGCTCAGGAGATCTAGAATAATGTAACCCTAATAACAAGAGCGGGCACTTCAGAGTTCGAAGGGTATGCTCGTTTGTTCCTATTGGGTATCATTGTGACCTAGCAGACGTAAGGCTATGAAGCGATGAAGCTTGAGTGGCCTTGGTGGATTGCAAAGTCGTAGCGCGCTAAAACTGTAGAAGCCCGCTGTTGACTAACATAAGAGCCCACAGCTCTCGATATTGTCCGAGACGAGCAAGGACATTGTTGTGGTCAGGTCTCACGCAGATAAGCTGTTGAAACTCATGGACCTCCGAGCTGCTGCGATACTGCGTTGCCAGCAGGTCCGACTTGTCAACTTTGTATCGAGCTTGTCTTCCTGTCTCCTGTCGGTGGCAAGAATAAATGCCTGTTCGCTCACAGAGTCACCTCATCAGATACCTAATAATAAACTTGGAAGACTGTCAATGTCAGACAAGTTGAGCAAGGCGCTATGTCGGGCATACTCTGCCCACAGCAAAAATCGCCCCTTGAAAAGTTGAGCATGATGATGCCCAAAAGATGACTTTCTTGGTTGGTGGGTCAAGCTGTCGCACTCGCACGTTGGACCCTGTGACCAAAGCGGAGGAACACGCAGCCGCAAACTCGTGTCATGGAAGAGCCTCAGATCCCTCACTAATAATAAAGCAGACAAATCACAAGGCAATTGTCAGCCACCCTGGCTGGAGGGATCAGAGGAATACGGCTCGTACGGAAGGATGTTTGTTGTCGATGCCATGCTGCCATACTCGTCACTTGAGGGGCTGGCGCCGTTGTACCCATGGATGCCGTCGGAAGGTGAGAGCCGATATCAACAGCCATCATTCATCCTCATAGCCACTTGGGAATACACACAGACCCGACTGTCACTTCTCGCAACTCGCTTGCGACTGGCTGTCGAGCAGTTGCAGGTTGCTCATACTGTCACATTGCAGGAAGTCTTGGCGGATATCGGCACAGCGCGGCGGTGGCCAAGCTCAGGTATTCAATCGTCATGTGGACAGCGATGGAGGTGGCTCCGCATGATGCGGCACGGCGTACCGGACAAGTGAAGGAGATGTTTCTCTGGCAGGGACCGCTTTTGCCGACACTGCCCGCAGATACAGACACAGCTCTCGATTGTATGTAAGATGGAGCACGAATGCACTGCGCTGATAGGTATTTGCTGATACCGTGATAGATTGGAAGACCTGTCGACGGCGGACCATGGGCCAATGGCGAGTCCATGCCGAGACGAGCAAGCAGCACTTGCCACTCCAAAATGTTTCCAGCATGGTATTGGAAAAGTCGTTTCGGTGGCAGCCAAGTTCGACCCATGCAGGAGGAACATACGAACAAGGAGTCGTGTCGCATTGCTATGGGGAGCTGAGCTGTCGCGTTCATATGACCCATTTCGGCCATCTGGGAACTTTGAAGGATGGCGGTGTGCGAGATACGGTGGGGACTGGCGGTGCAGCCGAGGGGCGGAATCAATATCCCGTGGATTGGGAAGCCCCTTTCGAGCGGTAATTTATCGATCTGTTGTTCCTGTAGATGTGTCGTCGTTGTTGTCGTTGTCGTTGAAAATAGGTAGACGCAGGCCGGGCTATTTATTAATTAGTAGTAGCGAATGATGCCATATGAATGATCTCTAGCTAGCTTCGATCCGGGTTGCGAGACACAGCCAACTGGGAGCACTGTGCCCCTCCGAGGCCTTGGATTCACGCTTGTTTAGTCCATTCCCAGAGACTCGGGTCGCCTGCGATCTCTCTCTATGCCGGCGCCATTCAGACGGTCCTGCGCGACAGATCGCTTTAGCGGGAAAATGTGTCTGGGGAACCAAGCCAAAAAAGCCAGGGTTGCTGACACTGTAGGTCCAATTGGCAATCAATTGCAACCACCATTCCAGTGGCAATTACCCTGAGTAGGTAGGCTTAGATAGCGCAACGGCAGGCGCAACCAATTGACATTGGCACCGAATGGCTGCGGGCAGGAAGAGCAGTTCGCGGGTTGAGCGAGCGGGAGCAGAAGCAGAAGCAGAAGCAGGAGCAGGAGCAGGTCACGAGCTGCCGTTATTTCCAATTTTCTGTCGGCTGGAAATCTCCGAATGCCGACGCACCGAAACCTCTTGACCTCCAGCTATGCCCATTGCCCACGTGCAGTCCATCGAGGTCCCATTGCAAAATCCTCTCCCATATCTCTTCCGGCTTTCTGTTCTCGATATCATCGAACCTACTACGTTAGTGTCGATGTCATAAGGTAAGGTAAGGGTATGCGAGCCTGTATCGTCCTGCATCACGTATGCAAGCCTGAAGGAGCTTTCACGCCCATATGCCACCCTTACAGGGGTTCAGGCAGCCCAGGTACCAACCAGCTGGGAACATCACCACCAGGACAGTTAGTCTAGCGGCTTTCTGCTTAGTCGCCTTCCCAGTCCATCATACCATCTCTACTTTGTATAGTAGGTTTATCATTATTACCCATGCACGGTCTATACCTTATCGTGGCCATCTTGCCCTGCGCCATTTGCTCTATCGTCTTTCAGCATCAAGAGTATGATGCTACATTCTCACCTCCGCCGCCATGACAGTCAGTCACTCATTCGTGCTGCGGTGTCGGCACGCCCCACGCCAGTCAGATCTTACGTTCTCGAAGGCCAGTCAAGTGACCGGAGGGACTTTTGGCCTGACTGTATCGATTATACCAGCGACCTCAACACCTCCATGTGCCTGCCTCCGGCAGGGTCGGGTTTGTCCCGACGAATTGCCATCTTCGTAGCTCTGCAGCACCGCACCACACCGCACCGCAACGACATTCAGAATTACAACCACGAGGACCACAACTGGGATCACCAAGCAGGCCAGCCAACGATACACTCGCCACGGTGGCGGGCTCTCCCAAGTCCCCTGAAGAAACGAGCACATGCAATGCCAGCCGTTCCTGGTTACGAGAACACCATGAGAACGTGGTCGGCCTGGATCAACACACTTGTACAGGCAGGTGTTGGCCCACAATGGCACAGTGCCAGCAACACAGACGAGACATGATTTGGGCCTCGGCCCTCCACACACACATCTGCACACACCACACCGTCTTTCCCAACCCATGTCGACCAGGGCCACACCCAGTTCTCATTTGTCCAATGCCACGCGACTGGTCGACGTCAACATCTGGTCGCATTTGATTGACAGCGGCCTGGCCAGGCCTCTGCACCAATACCTACGTCGATGATGATTTCACGACGTTTGTACCGTCGCCCCTCCTTCGACAGAAGACTGGCCGTGCGAGGGCAATGGAGTTCCAGCGCAGCAACTCGCGACGGTCACGCAGATTTTCCCTGCGCCGCTGTGTCTCCAAACGCTGCTGCTGTTCACCCTCCAGTCTGCGGCTTGCCACTTGTGCTCGTCGTGGACGGTGCCGCCGCTCGATTTCTCGGGAAAATGGAGACGGCGCAAAAGTAGTGATTGCTTGTACAAATCGTGCGAATTCACAAGCCAATTGAGTGTGCAGAGTCCGACCACTCGGAACCGAGAATCCAACACCTGGTATTGTGCTGAGAACCATTACTATCATCTCGACATGGTCACCGTGTCGATTCTGGGCCAGTCGAACTGTAGCACTGTTGTTCGAATCTCCAAAATCCCGGGAAACTCGCGGCACGTCGTCGAGCCGAGCAGTGGTTCTTGACACCACAAACTCTTCATTCGCCATCGTCTACTGCCAATATTTCAATCAGGGTGCAGTTTTGATGAGATGATATTCATTCTCAGCTACCCGGTATAATCGCAAATGACAGATTGACGACTCTGACCTGCATTGCTCAGCTTGGCCCCGTCCGCCAGTGACCGAGCTCGTGCCTCGTGGTGTTTCTGGTGCGCATACACAGTACATGCTGCTTGCGCTCGCACATTGCAGCACAATACGACGTGGGCACGAGTCATTACTGCCGCATACTATTGCGGCAACAGGGCGGCCCGGAACCGGCAACGCACTCGAGACCATGATGGGAACCTGACTCTAGGAAGCATACGCAGACAATGCACCGAGCCACGGTAAGGCGCCTGAGCACAAGCACCTGTGCAGACTCATCTATCGACTGTATAGCACACATCCATCCGTGCTAGGCAGGCAGCTCACCCGACGTGGGAAGAGGCATAAACTGTGCCGCGGGCAGACGTGACAATACTGTTGCTAGGTATTGGGTTATTCGATGGCTGAGGCTTCATCTTACCTAATAACGGCGTGACCTATGACAGGGCCTGTGGTGCTGTATGCACAGCACATCGGAGCCCATATTGCCATGAGGTGGGTCCAACGCGACGAGGAGTAACGAGGTGGAAGTAAAAAAGAGGATACAGTGCGTGGGTGGACAATCACGGGATCACTCAGGGATTTCTGCACGCATGAGAGAGGCTGTGGAAGGACCAGCCAGCTGCAAGGAAAGGGTCGTCGACGCCAGCAGGTGACCAGGGTGTAGCTCCAGCTCCCTCACCTCGAAACATAATGACCAGTGATACCTTACGATCTGCCATGTATAATGAGAGAGCTGCGAAGAAGAGGAGTCATGACCAGGGGCCTCGACCCTCAACCCTGGGCTGCCTCCCAAGTCCACCAGGGATGGCGATGTCTTTGCCTGGATAGTTCCGCCGCCTCCTTCGGAGAGCTCTCACTGCTCAGCTTCTGACCTCTTTTTGGTGAGCGTTTCCTCTTTTCCATCCCCCTTCAGAATTTTATGTCGTGCGCGCAGGAAAGGCAGCCGTTGCTATCACATGCACACTGGTTTCCATTTAACTCATGGCACATGTCGCTATGCAGCGGCATGCTTTTGCTAAAGATGCCGTACAAGAGGAAATGCCAGCGATAGTCGCGGGCAAAAAGTCTGGCAGCAGGATGGGGTTTCAAAATTAGCAAGAGGAGTATGATCAAGGGAGGTAAATACAAGTATTCCAACTTGGCCTATACAGTATAACATGTACAGGGTATACCTTATGGATCAATGGATGATGGACAAAGGCTCTCCCACATGAGAGTGGCCGAACAAGGATACGACCAGGTGCTCCTCATCAATCGGGTGGCTGAGGTGCATATGCGCGCATGGACATCAAGGTACTTCTAGCTGAGGCGTGTGGGTGTATTCTTGGCAGGTATCGACATAGTACTGGGGCAGCAAACGCACCCATGCATAGCGGGGACTTAGGTACCTCTCGGGTTGGTTTGCGGCGTATCTGCGGATCAGCAATGAGTGGGCGCACGCCCGTGCTCTCGACTTTCTTTAGGTTACTGTGTGATCATGTGTGAGGTACCTGTCAGGGACTCTGGACCAAGAGGCAAAAGAAAGTAAAATGAGAATATTGTTGATACCGTAATCACCGTCATCATCTCGGCCGGGTTCACGTTGTCTCCCTCCCCCAATTTCCAGTCTCGGGCCCCGTTTTCACCATGGCAGTCAGTACCCTGACAGCCCTGATTACATACATGCTTTCCCACCTGCAATTGAAAGCTGAGGTACCCGCACCTACTCTCAATTCTCGACCCGGCCAGCGCCTCCCTCCAGGCAGCCCCTCTAAAATCTTTTATTCTGCGCAAGTTTATTATGAACAATTAAGGTTTTAGTCCTGTCCTGCCTGCCTGTTTCTCTTCTACACCTACCTCCCCTCCTGATAAAACGCAAAGTCTGCAAACCAACCTCGTCCATCACATTCCGGGGTGCTGGACTGCTGGACTGCTGGACTTGACCGACCCGAAGATTTGCAGACATCATTCGTATTGTCAGCAACAACCGCTACCGCTACCACTCCAAACACCGCGCGCTGTGAGCGCGCCTCTTCTCTGCATCTTCTCCTGCATATAAAACACGCACGCGCCGTCGCTACACCTCGTCGGCACTAAACCTCACTAAGCCCAGTCTAAGCTACTTCCAAGCTTCCTGGCTTCCTGGCGCGCGACCGCACCGTCAGATACATATCTCGGGGGCTAAATTGCAATTGATCATTGAGTCGTCCTTGGCCTGACACCGCGTCCGCACTACCATCGACTCAGCACGCTGCACCCGTGTCCTGGTGCTGGTGCTGGTGCTGGTGCTAGGTGCCGACCAAGCGCCGTGCAGATTCTCTGTTGTTATCCTCGAGAACCACCAAGCGCAAAACACTGCAAGCCGCACTACGTTTACACTACGTTCTGCAAGTCATCTCTTAGGTCGGCGATCGCGTCTCGAGCAGTCAACAAGAGTCAGTCTAGTCTGGCTTGGGACCTTCTAGCGGCCCCCGAATCGACGTCTCTGCGTCTCCGAGAAGTCTAGCACGACACCGGCGCCAACTCTACGCACCTCGTCGTCAATCTCGACCCCTGATATTTCAGCTAGCCCTGGAAAATCTAGGCGACATCTGGCCGAGCTTGCACCCCCCAACCATAACCATTCAAGCATTTCACTCTGCACTATTTCTCTAGTCGGCTTCTTCCCACCCCACCGCTAGCCGGCTATCGAGCATCCCATACCACCCGGTTCACACACCTTCATACCTTCACACACCTACGCCACGGGTATCCCGAGGGGAACCTTGACAGCGCCCCAACAAAGCTCACAAGTTTACTCACACTCATAACAAACCGTGTGCTTGGCTGTGCTGGCATTTTCCCTCCTGATAGCAGCTGATCTGTCAGTCACCACGCGTGTGTAGCACAGGCAGCAATCAGCTCGAGACGACTGCTGTTGCTTTTGAGGTGCAGTCCGTGGTTCGCGTGAAGCGGAAAGAGAGCCGAGACCCTTATTAGTGTGTTGACGTACCCGCGATCTGAAAGCAAGCTCCTCTGGATTCCTTGCCCAGCCCTCCTGATCCGATCTATACGGGGCCATAATCTTCCCACTACGATAGTCTGTGGGCTTTGGTGGATCTGGCTCGACAACCGGAAGATCAACGCTACTACTCTGGATCACTCTCGCGTCACGGACAGACTGCCGCCAACTAAATACACCAGCGCAGCCGCAGCCTGGGTCGCTGGTGCAACTCTATCCTTCTTCTCTCTTGTCGAGTAGCACCAACGAACACCGTCCTCCCCTACCACCCGTACCCTACCAGACTGCGCTCAAGTCCAAACTGGCTCGTGGACTAAAATTCTCCGGCCGTCCGCTCTTTCATCGTTCCTGGTGGCAGTAGTATGTTCTTGGTGCCAACCCAACAACCGCAACACCAAGCGCTCGTTGGCAACTATCCGTCACTGCCGCGCGCCTCTGAGCCTCAGCTGAGAAGCCAGAGCGCTGGAGTGAAGTTTGGTTCGCTTCTGAACGCCAGCGACAGCCCCATGGAACGCGGTGTCCACGATTACTCGCAGTCAGGTTTGCCTTCGCCCTATCCGAGCATCTCTGGCGACGCCCAGTCTGAAGCTTCCCCTGCAGATCACGCATCTGCTGCGACCTACCCGAGCAACCAGGAAGCACGCCCGGCTGGCTACTCTTCCTCTGCGACTCCCACGTCCGAGTACGGCGCCTACCCGCAGTCTGCAAGGTCGTCGACTAGCTCTTTTCAAGAGCATAGTATCCGCCATCAATACCATCCAGCGAGCAACCACAGCGGCAGCAGTGGAGGTATGGCGCAGCAAACACCAACAAGTCCGTCCATGCCTTTGCAAGATGGACGCACCCATCAGTCCGAGCAGGTCAAATCTGACAGCGATGTACCCATAGATCCGTCCATCGCGGCACCCAGCCCTAGTGCGTACAGTGCTCACTCGCAATACTCGCCATACGGCGCGGCGCCTCCGCAAGACATGGCACATTATCCGCCGAGCGCTGGCAGCATGTATGCGCAGCCTCGACCTGACTGGTCCAACTATGGCCACCCAGGTGGCCAGATGCCACACCCTCACCAAGTACCTTTCCCTCATACACCGACTTCAGCGCCGCCGGGACGTCCCCCTCAGGTAGGCAGTTTGCATTTCCTCAGATTGGTGGCGGGCCACGGGGCCTCACGCCGTACGTGCCCGACTCGCAGTCTCGAAGGTGGATTGGGGGAAGCGGTTCGCGTACTGCTTCGTCGAACCGTCTGCTGATGTATATATGTCGCGGGTGAAGCCTGTTTTATTGATGCGGCGCGTCATGTTTTTCGCCCCCAAAAGAGAATGTATGAGATGGCTGACTCGGTTTATTGACAGTATGGAGGGCAGGTCTACTCATTCGTGCCTATCCCCGGAGCGCAGCAACACAAGCGACCTCGACGACGCTATGAAGAAATCGAGCGCATGTACAAATGCGGGTGGCAGGGCTGCGAAAAGGCCTACGGCACGCTAAACCATTTGAACGCTCATGTCACGATGCAGAGCCACGGGCAGAAGCGAACACCTGAAGGTAAGCCGATTGTCAGCTCATCCCAAGCAATGTAATTTCATCTCAATTCCGAGAATCCCTGTCAATAGCTTGACAAGTGACGCGTCTGTGATTTGCCGCTAGAAGATCGCCTAGTAGTTCTGGGTCAGGGACAGCACTTAGTCAAGCGTCACTAGTGTGAGAGATAGGGATCTACCCACGCATAACGACCGCTGGTGGTGGTAAAGATTGCTAACGTAACCGATTTATAGAGTTCAAGGAAATTCGCAAAGAATGGAAAGCACGCAAGAAGGAGGAGGACCAGCAGCGAAAAGCCGCAGAGGAAGCTGATCGTCAGCGTCACGCGCAGGCAGCCGCTCAGGCCCAAGCTCAGAATGGGGGCCCCGACGGAGGCGACGCGGGACAGCCGTCGTCATCGTACACAACGAGCCGTCAAGTGCAACTACCGCCCATCGGGTACCAGAACAACCAATACCCAGCGCCGCCGTCATCAACTGTGCCTCCGCAGTCCATGCCAGAGTACAGTCCTAACGGTCATCTGTATGCAAACAGCTACCAACCCGCTTCACCTTACGCTCCCCAGGCCCAGCAGATGTACAGCCAGCGCGAATAGGGTACGGATTTGTCTATCTGCCCATGACGAACCCGTGGGCGTGGGCTGACTGTCTAGAATAGATCCCGTGAATAGGAGATGGCGTTAATTTGGCGCAAGCCAGATGACCGTTTCCATCGACACGCAGATGCCCGATGGTTACCAATCCAGGGCCTTTGCCCTACCGTACATACGAAGAACAATGATCCCGACACAGGCAACGACCTGCGTCCTGTTTTACGCATCTTAAAGGTATTTGATGAGATTGAGAGAGTAGCACCACGGTAGACGGTGCATGCCGGCTCGGACCTAAGTGGCGATACGAACACGGATTCCTAACGATGCACGACTTTTGAGCATACAAAATTGGGGCAAGACTGGGGCGGCTTGCATCATCTTGCCCGGCGAAAGGGCGGCATACGATCTGTTCGAACAGGGTAGAGTTGATGGATTCGGGCGGTGGAGGGGTGTTCGGACTCGGAGTCAATCAAACGGTGGTGGTTCAATAGCCGGCAGTCCTGAGTCGACTCAGGCCGTTCTGCTGTCACGTGGAGCACTGTCTTCTGAGGTTGCGCTGATTTCTCCTTCGCCTGGTTCGCGCAGCATGGGGAGACGTACTACTTACCCGAAGAGGTCCATCAGGCCTTGGGGATAAGGAAATGGCCGATGGCCTCATGCCGAGCTGCGGCATTTAGGTATTAGTTGTGCATCCCTTCCGCTGATAAATACTTGGATGTAGAAGTACCCTGAGAAACAAAATAATAAATTCCTGCAGCCTGCCTTCTGCTTTTTCAGAATGACCTAATTCTCCATGCCGAGATCAATACAGGTAGACAGACATCCGGTGTTTGGTATGAATGCGCATACGCGGGCTGGCGATGTTGTTTCGATACCTAGCTACGGCACCAAAATGTGGCACCAATCCTAGAAACAAAAAGGACCCGGGGGGCCGGTAAGACAAGACCTTAGCTTTGCATATTCCCATGTGGTATGGTAAGGTATGTAGGGCAAGGTAGTGTGCTGTAAGAGCCGTAAGGATTATTGTTCCTTTGCCTTGAAAGAGACTAGGGGCAGTTTGATCCCACAGAATCCCGGGGATGGATGCTACCTACCTACTTTAGCCTCGTTCCTTTCCTCTATGCCTGGGCTGCCTGGGTTCTGTGTGACGGTAGCCACGAGGCGCCCATGGTAGCAGGGTAGGGTAGGCAGGTAGGGGAGTACAGTAGTATGTTGCCAAGAAAGTTGCTTGCGCGCTGCAGTGCAGTGCCTTAGTGCGGTTACACGGCGTCAGTCCCGATGCTACCTTTATTGTTCCCTTTTTCTTTTTTATGCGCGCTGAAGCTAAGGTAGTAGGGTTGGATATTGCGATTGGCTCCTGGAGGAGGGGAGGGCGTCAGGGGAGGGCGTCAGGGGAGGGCGTCAGGGGAGGGCGGCAGGGGATGGGGGAAGCGAGAAAGGAGGATTCGCTCCTTTGCAATGCTTTGTTTACTGTGTAAGGTATGAATGCTGCGTTGCGCATCACGACCTTCTTGGTAATGACGCTTGCACCTATGCATGAATCTGTATATTGCCGAGGGATTCGTGGGATCTGGTATATGCGTGCATCGCAGATCGGCCTGGTGGTATAGGATGGATGGGATGGGAAAGGGATTGAGTTTGTGATGAGTTTCATGTACTCGTCTGGGTGTGATGGCCACCTTCAGACTAACGGATGCGCGTCAATGGCGATTTGCTAATCAATAGCCCAGACTAAGTATAAGCAACCTTGGTCTGAAGTCGACATTGGACCTAGACGAGTATAGATGATTGACATAGGGCTGGTGGTATATAGGGGGTGAGTGTGGATTCTCACTCAGCCTTACCCGCAGCCAGCCCAAGAGGAACCCTGGCCAACCTGGGGCAGAGCAATCCGTCTGTCAGTCTATCTGTCAAGCTCCGCGGCGTTGATAGTCTCGACCAGTGCAGTGCTAAGATAGTTTGTCATAGTCTGTCGGCTCAACCTTGTCAGCGCTTGTGTAGTCCTACACACTCAACCCTTTAGTATAGACCTCCTAGCGGCGTTCTAAAGTCGAGCACGTCCGGCCGCAAGGCTAGCAAATAGTAGCCGACCGAGGATGGATGCCATGTCGTTGCAGATGCGGCCCCCTTAAGGTTCAGCCGCGCCGGCGAACGCGCGAACATGCGCCGGCGTGCCATGTCGGCCGGAAACTCAGATGGGCCGTCGAGGAGCCGCGCTAGAGGATCGGATGTTGAAACGTCTTTTGGTCCTTTCGGTTTCTTTTTTTGGCCCCGGGCATGGATCGTCAACTAGCAAAAGCGATGTAGCGTAAGGTACACTAAGCGACAGGTACTTACTATGTTGCCTGAAGCTAGCGATCCAAGTTAGACATGGATAATAGTAGGCCTGTGGTATAGACTAGGCCAACGTTCATGCAGCCGCCGGCCAGGACTGCTGGTGTGGAAGGGTGATGAGTAGTACAGACCATCCGGAACGACGATCGATGGCAAATAAGCGAACCGCAACCCCAGCCCGAATGGTTGAGGCTACTGTTAGCACCTATGGTTTACCGAACTATAGGTAGGTACTGCATCGCATACGCGCAGTGGGAAATTCTCCGGATGGACAAGTGACACAAGGCTAAGGCAAGGACTTGGGTTCGTGTGCCGGGGGTATGTTTATGTCTGGGCATGCTGTTTTAGCGAGGTTGCAAGCGTGGGCCGGTTATTAGGGGCCGGCGTGCAGGTAGGTGTCTCTCGGGTGCTGGCGCGAATGGGAATCCGGGGTAAATGAAGGTGATACTTGAATTGGGAATCACTGGAATTGATGAGGTGACATGGTGTTGGGTCGGGTTGGAACGTGGGTGTGAAGACAACGGCCAAGCTAGACAAGGGGGCTCCGTGATGGTCACTAATGCATGCAGCATCTCGCCGCTCTCCGGGGCGCTACGGGCCGCCGGGGTCAGTATGAGGATAAGAATGATGCTAGGCCGGATTGTATACCAACGTTAGTGAATGCGACGGGACATTTATAAGGCGTTTGGTGCCGGCGTTGACTTGGGTACGTATATCCAGCATTACAAGGACTTTAGCGTCAGCCCGGCTGTATCTCCATCCCATCATGGAGTCGTTCGGTCGTGATGCTTGACCCTTTAGTGCTGCCCTGCGAACGGTTCTCATCATGTACTTTAATGTTGTTAGTGCTGCATGTAGTCGGTCTGAAGTGGAATGTTCAGGTACGTACCACCCACATATGTCACTTACATGTATTGTCCGTAGCTTGTAACCCTCGTGAAGCGGGAGTTCTCGATGACTTCGGACTCTGAATTATACCGCAACAGCGACTAGCTGAAGCGTCGGTCTATGCCCTAGTCTTGAGAATGCGAACCTATGGTTATTCAAGTTCGAAAATAGAGATGCAACGGCTATTGCATACCTCCTTGGTCGTCATCACAGAGTGGGGAGGGCCTGCCGCATTCTTCATCGACCTTGCTTATAGGTTGGAGCTTCTTCGAATTCAAAATTACTGAGTAGGACCTGATACCTGCATCTTCCCCCCCATTCACGCGGATGGGCAAGGTGCCTCGAACAGTCTCATCGCTTCAATCATCCGTCCATGTGATGTGATACAGCGTCCGACACGTCGCTCACGCCTTTGGTTGAATGATAAGAACCATGCTTGGCACGCACACTGTACCTCTCGTCATTAGGCATGGAACTCGTGTCAAGCTTGACTTGTCCCAACGTCCACAGCATCATGCCCCTGTTTCCCGAAGGCTTCCTGTCACTATCGTGCGAAGTGACAGCCAACAGGCAGTGTCATCGCTTACGATAACGACAGCCCGCCTGAAGTCAAGGGATATGACGTAGCCGTCTGAGCTCCAGCCGTTTCCCTTGCCCCCGGGTCGTGCATCGCGCTGCTTCAGGAGGGACCCTGCATATCGCCCGTCCCCGGACACCTCTTTCTTCGTGTTCAATGAGGTTCTGCCTAGCTTGTAGTTTCACCTGAAGACATGTACCCAACAAGCTTCAAAGCGACAGCACTTGAATAACTTCTACCAACGGTTCCCACAATCTCTTGGATCCGACGCAGAGTCCTTCCACTGCTGACCACTTCTCTCACAGCTCGTTACGTGACGTTCCTTGGCCCCGCGACTTCACTGAAGACTGAAGTATTGATCGCTCGCTCATCGATCAGCCGTCGCTTTGTTGGTCTATTTCTTGAGCCATTTGGGCTACGGTCGCAATCGACAACACTTGTCTCCTAAACATCGAATATCAACTCGATGGTCGAGAACCTCCAACAGTTCCGCCGTCGTTTACAAAAAAGTCGCATCCATCGCGGCAAATACAAGATGGTGGAGATGGTGAACGCGCCGGGTAAGAGTGGGGCGACGACTGACGTCTACCCACCTCCCGCTGCCCATATTCGACCGTCTTTTGCTTCACTCCCCAAATCTGCAACGACACAATCGCCCACCGAGGCCTCACTCAAGTCAGTCAAATCAGTCGAGTCAATAGCAGCAAACGGCGCCTTCCCACTCGGCTCGCTTCGGGTCAACGATTTGAACCAGGACGACCAACCGGCTACACCACTCACCACACCAGCCATACCAAACCAGACCATGGAGGTCTCCAAGGCTAAACCTCCTCCTGCCTTGTTAAAGGGCGGCGATGTCTTCATTCTGGATGACCTCCCTGCTAACTTCACCGTGGGCTGCGATGCAATGTCGTTTAACACGACGAAACCATTCCCGGGCTTCAAAGACCTACCTCCTGGCGCACATCTGATCTGGGTCGCTCCGTCCGAGTCAACCTCGTCGAGAAGTGCGTATTGGATACATACCCCAGAAAAAGACCCCGAGGAGCCCGGAGAGGTCTACGTCAAGCAGTGGGACAAGTTCAACGAAGTCCTGGGCGATCCGGCGAGCCACGCCGAGGAGCGCTTCCAAAAAGAAAAGCTCGAGCAGATCTTCGGGAGCCTCGCGCCCTACCAGTTTCGAGCGACTACTTCGGGCAAACTCCAAATAGAAGCCCCAAGCCAGGAAGATGACGCGCTGCCTACCTTCTTAAATAACACGACCATCTGGTTCCAGCTTACTTTTGCGATAAGCCCAGGCCTTCTAAACAGGATCACGAGCAAGGATCAACGAACCTGGCCCGTCACGACCATGGACGGCGTGTCGGGCGAAGTATCCATGGCTGAAGAAGCCAGACTCTACGCCAAAGGCACACCGCAATTACGGTTCATGTTTCCCATGGACACCCACCTCATAAACCCAGAAGCCGAGGGGCGGGAGCGGACGCGTCAAGCGCTGGATCCCACAAACTGGATCATCGACAAGCTCGAGGGCGCTACCGCCGGCGGCCATGCCGACGATCTCGTCGGCGAGCTACAGTTCGGCTTCCTAACCGGCATGCACCTCGGCAACTACTCGTGCCTCGAACAGTGGTGGTTCTTCGTCACCCGGCTCGTCTTCCGTTCTTATAATTTGGTCGTCGAGCGGCCGCAGCTGGCGCGCGACCTGATCCAGACGTTCCACGCGCAGCTGCTCTACAACGACCGCTACATGGACGGCGACGTGCTCGAGGACATGCCGGCCAACGCGAAAATGTTGCAGAAGGCCATGGTGACGTACAAGGCGCGCCTGGACGAGAAGCTCCTCGCGCTCGGCGACCGCTGCACGCCCGACCAGCACTCCGCCGGCGTGGCCTTTTCGTCGCTCGAAGCCTGGCTGTGGCGGCTCGGCTGGGACCTCAGGGGCGAGTACGTCAGGTCGGGCAATGTGATGCTGGAGGATGGCGAGATAGTCCAGGCGGAGCTGTCGGATTTCGAGGACGAGGACGAGAGGGGCGAGTTTGCGCCTGTGGTGGTGGATCTGGAGGACGGGAGGGAGACGGGTCTGGTGTCGTGGGACAGGTGATCGATCCCGGGAGAGATGGTCCGATGCGGATGTGGATGCACACTACTACTTGTGAGGTTTGGCTTGCGCGAGATGTGATATCGCTCACCTGTCCCACTCGGTCTTCCGGAGTTGAGCTAGGGAAAGGCTCGAGAAGTCGGTTGATGTGGGTTGTGGTAATTACCTACCTACCATGTACAGTACCCACGAACTCCCTGCGCTGGGATTTGGGAGCGGTAAAAGCGACTCCTGATGTTGATAGCACCAGTCATATCATACGAATGAACGATATGTACATCAGAGGAGTGTCTACTGGATGACCGCCGCTGGCGAAATCCTGTTTGTGACGTACACTCAGCCCTCATAAGTCTCCGTACGCGCCATGTCCATGAGATTCCACACACCGGTAGATATTTCGAAATACTGGAATAAGCACACGGGAATAAGCAGCTCTGGTGTTATACTCTGCTTTTGATGCTCATCTCGGTGTGCTTGTTCCAACTACGACAAATATGCCGTTGTTTGCTAGAAGCGTGGTGTACGGAGACTCATGAGGGTTTAGTGTAACTGGCAGCTCGATCAACAAGAGGCCGAACAGAACATTGTCTCGTTCTCGAGGATTCCCGAAAGCTACGGCTTTATGTAGGAAGTATGTTGAGATAAATAAACAGACGTACATTGTACAATAACACTATACGACGCCACTACGGCTATGAAAACAACTGTAGCCCAAGTTGCAGCGAGTGGTCCTAAGAGTTCATATACCTACCACTGCTATCCCAGGGGCACGAGTGATGGATGACTTGAGTTCAGACGGAGCCTTCGACTGGAATTCGGGTTTGGGAGCCCCTGCACTGTCCCAAAAGGCCACGAACGCACCAGTATATCTTGATATGATTGACCATGACTACATACCCGGAAATCAGCCCTCAAGAACGACACCGTCATATAACAACGACGGATCCAACTCCCACTCATACCTCCACCCTTCCCCACAGCCATCCCTCCATCCATCCACCCATCCAACCATCCATCCATCCATCCCCGCAACACCATCCTCCTCCTCCCCATCTAGCAACTAAACACCGCCGGCCCAGCAGGCTGATAAGCCTTGCCCCCATTATTATAGATATTGATCAGAATCCCCGGGTCAGTAGCGCTGTAAGCCCCAGGAAATGCCACCAGTCCACTCGGCGTCTTGGAGCCCGAACCTCCGGTGACGTGGAGTTGCGCGCACGAGATGTAAAACTGGGCGCCGCCGGCGCTGCTGGCGCTGTGCAGGGCCACGTGCTCGATGCGGAATAGGTAGTCGCCCTCGGCGAGGCACGAAGGGACTGTGAAGGCTAGTTCGGACTTGCCTGTTGCGCGGGTGGTGTCAGCACTGATGACAGTGGAGTTCGACTGTTGCATGGGGAGAAGGATAGTGGACTCGCAACCGCTCCGTGGGAGGGAATAATAAAAGACGAATGAAGGGAAAGGGAAGACGGAAGATAAGGGATGGTGTCAGAGACTCACCATTGGAAGGCCAGGTATATTGCCCGTCCGCCACACTCGGCATGTCCTGGAACACCTTGAACCAAACACTCCCGCTGCCGTCCCAGGTAGCGGCCGTGCTGCCGCTGGGGACCTTGGCCATCTACACAATCAGGAGTCAGAAGTCAGTAAGGTAACCACTCCCCACAGACAACCCCAAACTACATCGAGAAGTAGCAAACAGGTCCAAACGCAAGTGAGGGTATCCAGAGCCAAAAAGCCCAAGCAAGGAACAGACCCGCACTACAGTAATCCTCTCAAAACCAAAACACCACCAGAAGGCAGAGGCAAAAAGGGAAGCAACCGACTCCAGAATCCACATACATAAGCCGATAAAGCGCCCGGGTGGTAAATACTAGGCGCCGCGACGAAAGTGACCGACCCCCCAGCCGCGACCGTGGTAGTGTCCGGCGCGCCAGTGACACCGGCGTTCTCGTAGCACCGGATCGCCTCGGACGAGACGTCGGTCACGGGCCCGTTGCTCTGGAAGTTGGCCGTCTGGCGCACCGACGACCAGTCGGCCGTGCCGTCGAGGTGGGGGAAGGTGTCTACATGCCAGGAGGAGAGGAGTCAGTCAGTGAGTCAACCAGCCCGTGGGCCAGTCATTTGGCAACCGCATCGCGTATGATAGGTGGATGGTGCCCTTGGGGGTGTTCTGGGGATGAGATCGTGAGAAGACGGGACGTGTGTGACGGGGGAAAGGGGGTCCGGTCCCAGCCAAGTAAGTGGCCGGCTCGCTCCAACAGCGATAGCAAGAACAGGGATCAGGAGTAGTTCGAACATACAATGCGGCGCCGCCTGCGCGGCAGACACGAGGAGCGCAAGAGCCGTTATGGACTTCATCTTGTCTACCTAGCTATCGACGTTGTGTGAGCGATTGCGGTGGGCTGCAAGGCTACCTGGAAGATGGATGGGCTCGTTCGCGACGACGACGACGATGTCAGTTATTGCACACGAGAACAGAAGGCCGACGAACCCATGACAAGTAGACACACACATCCCTCCTATCTTATAGGCGTCATTAGCTAGAGGGGCTTGCATAAGGGAACCCAAGCCGGTACGGAGCGCGATGGTGCGCATACTCGTCTGGGTCTAATGTCGACTCCATGCCATCACACCCAGAAAAGGACCGGGAAAAAGCCCCTCGGCCGGTTATATGGTACAACCACTTAAGAGGTACCAAATTAATGGAAAGCAATCAACACAAGATGCAGCAGGGATTGGCAGCACTCTCGAGGGTCACGAGGACTCAGAAAGAGTATGAGTTCCGAGAACAGACCATGGCGTCGATGCACCCTTATCCCCGGAGTAGGATGTCAACGAAGCACTTGCACTTTATCAGAAAATGTTGACCAAGAATTGATTCATGCTACCTAGTCCATCGCATCTGCCTCCTGATGAGAGCAGAGCGGACGAGAGAATCTACCTGAACATGTGAGACCATTTCAGAAAAGGTCATTGAGCATCTCCAATCTATGCGAGTCAGCAAGCAACATACCTCTTTCCCGCATTCAGAAAGTGGGGGAATCGCGTGATGCTCGAGACCGAGCGCTCTCAAAACAGCATACAGATCTCAGTCCTGTGCTGGGGCTGTTCATCAACTTTTGCAACCTGCGCCCCCGAACTGATCTAACGTCTCTCATCCTGTACCTTGTGGAGTGATACTAGGGACCAGAGAAATGTGCAGATCCCAGCGAAGAGATGCAGACACCTAGAAAGTGCCAACATTACCCGCGTCTAAACAACCTCGCCATCTAGAGCATAACGCCATCTGTGCTGGGTACAAAAGCAGAAGGAAAACAACGCGAGTCCGCCAGAGCCGCATTATAGTACCAAAGGGGTTGACCCTATTAGCAGCTTATGAATGGTTCGGATTACCATCGTCCTCGGCCTAGAGGCATGCTGTTAGCACCGTCGTCGCCGCCGCCGCCACGACCACCTCCTATTAAGATAGGTGAGCATGGGTTTTGGGGGAAAGGAACTCGGAGTCAACTTACCACGACCTCCGCCGCCACGGCCTCCGCCGAAGCCTCGTCCGCCATACCGGCCTCCACCGCCGCCACCACCGTATCTGGCCATCTCGGCTAGTCTCGGGTCGATCTGCTGCTTAGCTTCCTGGAGGACGTTGACTAGATCACGAGCCTGCTTCGAGTCTGTGGTTGTGTCAGTGACCATTGGTATACACGAAAGTGTGCGAGGGGACATACTGTCAGTAGTGAACAGGGTGATGGCCGTGCCCTTGGCGCCAGCACGACCGGTACGGCCAATGCGATGGATGTAGTCCTCCGAGTTGTTCGGGTAATCATAGTTGATCACGTGAGTGATGTTGCGAACATCTTGATTACAAGAAAGGTTAGCCCTAGCAACACAAGCGGTCATGTAGCAATCCCAGCGACGGACGAATGGTGCCTCAGCATATTGTTCCGTGCCTACTCCTTGGAGAATGGGGCTGTCTGTTGCGTCAATATGCCAGTTTGGAAGGGTCCCGAAGGTCCAGTCCGGGTCCTCAGGGATCGGGAATCTTGGAGACTGCTTGACAGAATCAAGAAATGCCAACTCCGCAGTTGCACCATGGGGGAAACAGGTACAACGGCGGAACAGAGGTATAGCGCGTACGCTATACCAAGGATCCCGACAATCCAGGGTGGAGGAGAACCACAAGACACAGTGAGGTCAGGCAAAATGCGCGCAATCGAGAGAGCCCCTAGACATGAGAGTAAAGCGCAGCGGACATAATCCTGCTGGAAGTTGCTACGGGAAAGGGGAGGGGAGGGGGAGTTGTAATCATACCGATACCACGAGAAGCCACGTCGGTAGCAACCATGATGGGACTCTTTCCAGTCTTGAATTGATCAAGAACCCAGTCACGCTCGTTCTGCTGCTTGTCACCGTGGATCGCTGCGGGAGTGTTAGCTTCAGGCGGATGCTTGAGGTGCGGAATGATGCTTACAGAGTGCGGGCCATCCGTCTTGTCGAAGGAATCGAGTGATTTCGTCGGCAACACGCTTGGTACCAACGAAGAGGAGAACCTTGTTTTCCTTGGTTTCCATGACCTTCTCCATGTGCTTGATCATGCGATCACGCTTCTCACCCTCGGATACAACTTCGACGATTTGGGTAATGCGATGGTTAGCAGAGAGTTCCAGGGAACCAATGTTGACCTGGATGAAGTTCGTTTGGAACTCGGATGCCAATGCTCGGACTTCCTTGGGCCATGTTGCAGACCACATGAGAGTCTGACGGTCGGGACGGATCTGGCCAACGATCTTGCGAATCTGAGGTTCAAACCCCATGTCAAGCATGCGATCAGCCTCATCGAGGACTAGGTAGGTAACACGGCGAAGGTTGGTCTTGCCACCTTCGAGCATGTCAATCAGACGGCCGGGGGTCGCAATGCAGACCTCGACACCCTTAGTGAGGTCACGGATCTGGGGACCACGGGGAACACCACCGTAAACGCAGGTGTTGCGAATGCGGGAGGACTTTCCGAACTTGGTGATTTCCTGTTGAATCTGGACGGCCAACTCTCGGGTAGGTGCCAGAACAAGAACGATGGGTCCATCACCAGGAGCGAGGAGCGGTTGTGCGTTGATGTGGACAATAGCGGGAAGACAATACGTAAGAGTCTTTCCAGAACCAGTCTCGGCAATACCAACAACATCACGACCGGAAAGAGCCATGGGCCATCCTTGGGACTGAATGGCGGTAGGAGCAGGGAAGCCCTGGGCCTTGACTTCGTCCATGACGTATCGGGGGAAGCCAGCCTCGTCGAAGGTCTCGACAGGCTTGGGGACATCGGTACCGGTAACGGCGATTTGATGGTCGCGTCGAAATCGCTCAACTTCGCTATCAGGTCGGTTGGCGATAGCGTCGTCTTCCTTGTAGAAGGACTTCTCGAACTTGGGAAGAGTGTTCATGTCTGTTTGCGCGAAAACAAGTTAGCTAGGTGAAACGATCGGCTGGATCGATGCAGTTAACGTACCCCACGACTGCTTGCTGAGGCCGGCACCAAGTTGGCTCATTCGGTCACCGCCAGCGCCACCACCGTAACCACCACCGCCGCCGCCGCCGCCGTAGCCACCACCACCACCACCACCACCGCCATAACCACCACCACCGCCGGAGTAGCCTCCGCTACCACCGTAGCCGCCACCACCGCCGCCGTTAGAGTATCCGCCGCTATTGAGACAAGGTCAGAATCACAGGTAAAACAGAGGGACTGTGCGAAGGGTTTGATGTGTTTCACCTGGCGCGTAGACGCACGCCAGCTGGTGATTCGAGTATATATTCGAGGCGCAAATAGAATCAGTAGAAATAGGAATGCTTACCCGCCGCCGCTGTAATCGTCGCGACCACCAGATCGGTAGCCGCCACCGCCAGAGCCGCCGCTGCGGCCACCGCCGTAACCACCACCGTAAGACATGGTGATTGCTGTGGTTGTTGGGTTTGCGCGAGGAGCGTGAAGTATTGGGATCGAGCGCGCGTCGCAAAGCAGATGCGTCAGTCGAGGGAAGAGGGATTCGGATGTGTTCGTGGATGCGAATTGCGAGTTGAGTTGAACGCAGGGCGCTGTCTGCGTGAAATGAGCGGGATGGAGATGGAGAGGATGGGAAGGAGCAGATTGTGTTTGAGAGGGCGAAGAAGAAAATTCAGAGATGGCAATTTTCAAAGGGCCCTAAGATTCTTCGAGAGGGCCCGTGCGCTATTCATATCGATAAGGGACAGATGGCGTTGCATAGTGGGGCAGCTGCCGATATTTCTCACTCAGAACTCTGATCACGTCGGGTCCTGGTTGCCAGGTTGCTCGAGTCGTGGCGCCTTCCTGGGAAGAAAATTTGCTTCGTACCTACCTTTTACCCAGCCAATTGTCAGGTGGGTGGGTGGTTTCAGCGTTCCCATTGAACGATCGAAGGTACACGTATATCCAACTAAGCTTTGGGCGGCGACACGGGGCCATAATTCGATTTGAGCCCTGACGACTACCTACCTACCTTACCTTGCGCATCCAGGCTGTCTATGAGCTCAGCGAAGGGACAAACGTCATGAGCCTCGTAAACGAAGACACATCACCAAAGCACACATATGAGACATATTCAGGAATACTCGAGAGGGCGTGACTCGAGTGCTCGCAAAGGCCGAGGACCACTGCTCATATCTGCGCGCTGTCTACCTTAGAATTTTCAACAGAGCTACCGTAGACACCCCCTCAGGACAAGCGAAGCCTACCATAGCACACCTCTCGCGGTACACTGCTAGGATTCATGTTGTGTGCCTGGTTCCATTGCGTGTGATATCCAGTCGCGAGTAGTCCAGTCCAGTACCCACTATCCAGTACCTATTTTCTAGCCCAGCAACACACCGCGATCAAGTCTACGCAGACGGGCACATCTCCCAAAACCCAATCTCCATCTAGTACCGGTAGATCATCAGTATATCGCCCATTCATCACCCCTCAAACACCCTCAACAAAAATAAAAGCTCTTCTTACCTTAGTAGCATGAATAAAGATCTTGACCAACTCCTCTATCCGCGACGGCGAGTGCAAGACCGCGTTCCTCTCCATGAGCTCTTTGAACCACCAAGTCAAGTCAGCAAGTATCTCCAAAACACCCGGGGACGATGCTTCGCTTACCAGACCCCGTCTGCACCGCCTGCACATAGTCCTCCGCGACGTAGTTCATGATCCACGGCCAGTACGTATTGCCCTCAGTCCTGTCAGTCCGCGGGTCGCCGTGCAGCTGCCTCGCGATAGCACCGTATCCGAGCAGGCAGGGCGCGAGCGCGACCTGCAACCCCAGCCAGTCTTCTGATTGTCCGATGTCCAGTACGTATCGGGTGTACGCCGTGCATGCTAATTATTAACCAAGGTCCAGCTGTTAGCGCTTATGCATATCTAGGTACATAGAGGCGGCCAGAGTAGAGAGAGTAGTGATGTTCGACTAGGTTAGGTTAGGAGGGCGGGATGGGCTTACCTTGGTGCTCCTCCGTCGCCTCGATCTCCTCCTTGGAGATACCAAAACTCCTGCAGTAGCCCAAATGCAAGCTCATCTCGGTATGAATATGCGACACTATCTTGGCCCCCTTGAATCACAAATCATATCTGTCAGCGCCAGAGTCCAACAACAACAATACCGATCCTCCTCGTAGTCAATCACGTACTGCAGCGATGTCCTCCATGCTCTTAGACTTGTACGAAGCCAGCGCGTTCGCTCGCGCGAAGTGCACCAGGTACAGGTAGTCCTGAACCAGATACTTCTTGAACGAGTCGAGCGGCAGCTGTCCGTTTCCGAGCCCGAGGACGAAGGGGTGGTTGATGAAGCGGTGCCATACGGGCTTGACGTCTGGCCGTGTGAGGAGATACTCGAGAAACCGCCCACTATATATGACTCAAGTCAGATAGAATAAAACCCCCCCAAAAATCATGGATGGAGCACTCACGGAGCAAACGGCAGCATGTAAGTCGAGTGAAAATGATTGAGCGGCCCATGGCCCTGCCCATACCCCGGCGCCGTTTTGATGCCGGCCTCGACGTACCGACAGGCCGCCCTCACAGCCTCGACCGGCTCCAGATCCCTCGCGAGGTTCGCAGCGATGGCCGACGCCAGCGAGCACCCCGTGCCGTGCGTGTTCTTCGAGTCCTGGTACGGGCTCTCTATCCTAGTCAACAAGCCCTCGCCCAGAAGGACGTTGACGATGATATCCTTCTCGTCAGACGACGTTGCAACAGTGCCATCCTTCTTGAAAGGCACATGTCCGCCCTTGACCAGTACCCACTTGGGGCCGAGCTCCTGCACCCGACGCGCGATGGCTTCTAGGTCGTCGACATGTTGGATGTCTGGCGACTGGCTGCCGGACTCGTCCGAGAGCAGCAGCTTGGCCTCGGGGATATTCGGGGTGAGGATGAATGTCTGGGGCAGCAGAAGACTTCGCAGCTCACTCACGGCCTTCGAAGGCAGTAGTTGGGCGCCAGTAGTCGCCACCATGACCTACGTCCGTACGATCAGTTCTTTCCTCCATCAAACCGGAAGCAAGTAAGACCACTCACAGGGTCCAAAACCAGCGTCTCGACCTGATGGTCTTTCAGCGCCTGTGCCAACATCTCGATCGTCCCCACAGACGCGAGCATTCCTGAGAAGTCGTCAACGCAGCCCTGCAACACAGACATCTCGACCTCGGTCCCAACTCACCGGTCTTGACGACTTTGGGCCGGATGTCCTTGAAGACGGCATCGATCTGCTTCCGCGTGAACTCGGGCGGCACGTAGTGGATGTCGTCGACGCCCATGGTATTCTGCGCCGTCAGGGCCGTGGTGGCTGTCATGGCGTAGCAGCCATGGGCGGCGATGACCTTCTGGTCTGCCTCCAGGCCACTGCTGCATGTCAGCGCTCCAGTCACAATCAGACATGATGTAGTTGGCTCGTGGAGGGCATGTCTGCGGCGTCTCGACTTACGCACCACCGGATGAGTCGCTGCCCGCGACGACCAGAATCGTTCTATGGGTCATCTTTGGGAGTAGTGACCTGCCGTGCGCTTCAGATAGATCTACGATAATCAAGTCTTCACGTGGCGAACAAAAGAGATGATGCTATCCACTACCGGCCAGAAATCGCTCGTGGAATATTTCTGCTACGGTACACGAAGTGGGGCTTTGGTGGCTTCACATGACGACACCTCCTGAATTCTGCTACACAACACCGAATAGGGACAGCATAATGCAGATTGTGTCAACTGTCTATAGTCTTTATCTTTCAGGCTTGTCGAGTGACAAGATACCCTATTCTGCCGGCAACATCACCGTCATACTAAGCAAGCCTCACCTCACTATTATTTACGACCGCCAAGCAAGAGCAGGTCCACAAGTTTACATGCATCATCACGCAAGAAACAGATTGGGTACCGTAAGCGAACATCAGGTGCGATTTGATGGTATTTTCAAGCCTCCCACATGCTTTGGTATTGCCCCTTGACCCGAAACGCCCAGGGAACACCAGAAACCCCGTTTCCCAGAATTCCCCGTTACCGAAGCGTGTCCCTTTCTGCCCCAACTCCAGCCTATTTGAAAGTATTGGTACATGCAGATCGTAATTTCAAATCACCTGCCGTCCAAGTGTGTGCCTTCTATGCAAGCCTCATATGTGCCGCGACGGTCTAAAGCGGTGTCGCCACTGGTCCGCTTACAGCTACTTCACGTTTCAAAGCTTTGTTCGCTGTATCCAAGCGTCATCAGTATCCGTCCCTGCAATGCTAGATCGAAGACTTGTAGGTTCTGCTCGTCGTCTTCTCCAAGTCGGCGGGGTCGCTGATGCTTCTCTGTCGCTCTGTTCGTTGCTCATCTCCGGAGTTGCTTTCCACTTCATCGCTGCTCTCGTCTCCATATACGATGTGCCTCAAAACGCTCTTGTCAAATAACTCGATCACCATATGCCGGTCCGGCAGCCTATAGTGGTGGCTTTCCAGCAGTCCCAAGACCCGACGGAAAAGCACAGGCTGTCGGAAACCAGGGGCTTTCTTGTGTCGCAATTGCATCAATTCAACTTTGGCCTTCTTGCAGAGCACCATGTTACCAAGCTCAATCATGAGCTCCAGTATGCGTTGGTTCGTCTCATCCTTGTCGGTGAGGTCTGTCGGTGGTGGGTCTAGAATCGTCGTTTGGGTGTCGGGTAGTTGAATTGTCGCAGGTATCTCATGCTTCCAGGGTTTGAAGGAGCAGAATTTCGAGAGGTCGGTAGGAATACACAGCCCTAGGGATTCCCCAAGCTCGCTGGTGTTGGACTCCCACCCATGTTCTGAGAGTATCTCTAGCCCGTGCAGTGACCTTGAGATCAACCCTAACACAAAGAACGCAGTCCCCCTCAGACTCATCACATCATGTGATTCGGCAATCTCAACGATATGCTCGACAACGTCTGTGGATTCCAGGAAGGGGGCTCCGAGCTCCATGGAACCGACATTGCCTACCGCCCACAGACAGCCTTTGACCTTGGTAAGGATCTCGGCGTCATTTGACAGCATCCCATACTCTCGAATCGTAGACGCAAATTCTTGGAAATGGCCTTTGTCTTCAAGCAACTGACACCCCTCTTTGGTTCGGGTCAGTTCACGGTAGAAATGGGGCGGTATGTGGCTATCGTGGTCTGCGTCCAGCTCGTCTTCGTACAAGCTCATGCGGTTCGAGTGATCATCATGGTCTACAAAGGAACGTGCGAGGCTAGCTTCAATAAGGCTAACGTAGTTATCGTTGCGTCCTAGGAACCAGTCGTCCATCTCGTTGCTGATATAGTCAAGCCCATCTAGGTAGTGGTAACCAATGGATGTTGACAAGAAACGCAGCAACAGAGGAGCACCGATTTCGCCGAGATGATCAAGAGCGGGCCGACACTCTACTATGTACTCGAGTAAGGCCTTGCTGTTGCAGGCCTTCTCGAGAATCTTCACTGCTGTGGCGCACACCTCTACCTCTGGGTCGTATAGTTGCGTGACGAGCATTTGAATAGCCCATTTGGCGTCCGAAACAATGTGACCCGTCGGGGTAAGCCGGTGCCTTATTGCGTACTTACGTAGGACGTTTGTTGCATGGATTCGCATGTCCTTCGCTCCGGACGTGAGGGCCTTGGACAGGAGGACACGGGGATGGCCCTGGAGACTGTAATCGAGATTGAGAAGAAGCGACTTGATGAGGTCGGGCCGTTGCTTGAAATCAATGATGTGATACATCATGTTGAATATGCGCCATCGCTCGAGCATTTGCAGGCCCCTGGGATTGCCACTCAACACACCCAGCATGGGAAAGTAGCCCCCACACAATGTATCTGTAAGGCGATCCCGTGAGAACATGGGATATTGCGCAGTCAGACCGCTCGTCTGCGCATGTCAGTAAGCAACTTGCTAGTGAAGTCTTGATTCGAGGGTGTCCTTACAGGATCGCACTGAGCTAGACACTCGGCGATTTGTCTCAGCAACTTGTTGTCCGCCAGATATCGCGTACCCTCCGCTGTATATAATAGCGTGTGGACCAGAGCACATCCAACTCGGATATACTTCTGGGTATTTCGGGTGCTCTTGATCTCTGAGAACCTATACTTGAATGGCCTATAGAAGCCCACGATTCGCTTGACGAACTTGGAAGCCTTGATGGCTTCTTCCAGGCGCTTGCCGTTCATCAACGGCCCTTCTATGATCCTTAGCACAACCTCCCAATTCCACTTAGAAGGATTGGAATGGCTCAGGACCCCAGAGTCAATCAACAATTGGCGAAAGGTGGCATCATCTGTGTTGAACGTGTTACTTGTTTTAGGCGTCTCGTCGACCGGGCCTGCAATTTCTACCAGGTTGCTAGAGGGTGCACTGCCGGACGGCGAGGATCGATAAAGCGTCCGGCTGACGCTGCTGATTTGGTAAACGATACCGGTCGCGTTGAACCGGGTGTCGTCTTGAAACTGGGCAGCAGCGGTAAACAGCTCTGGGAGAAGCTGTAGCTCACTACTCCATGAAGATGGGAGGATCCGGTTGGCGAGTTTCAAAGACTCGCCAATCAACAGCGTCGTCTTCCGCTTCAACGTGGGATCTTCGGCATCCTGTGCTACTTGCAGTAGGTTCGGCATCATCCCAGCCCGGATGAAGATGGCCAAGAGCAGAGATGTATAGTGCTCCACGAAGTTTTGTTCCACACTATCTTCCTCGGGTACCGGTTCACCCTTGCTGGGTCCTGCCGACTTCAGAGTCGCGACTCTCCCGTATGTGGTCAAACGTCGCCCAGCAAGGTATGAGGTTGCCCATGCGGGCGGTTTGATGCGAAGGACCGAGTAGAGCATATCTACGACGGTGTCTCGGATGCCGGGGTTCGGTAGCATCAGGCTTCCAATCAGGGATCTGACCGCTCTGAAGTTGTACATTGACAGCGTCATCAGTCCAGACCACGACTTCAATGCCGAGGATATTGCTTTCGCATTTTGCTTCACGACGCCTTCAAACGAAAATAAGACGTCAGTGAAGGCTGTGAACATAACCTCCAGATCATATCCGGCCCGCAAGAACTTCCGTGTCTGTGGGGCATCGAGCAGGAAGAGGAAAGCTGATGATAGAGACTCGGGCGATTTGTAGGTGCCCTCCGCAAGAGCCTCCGACAGTGGTGGTAGTCCCCCCGACGCGATCAACAGTGCCGGATCTCGCAAGAGAATCTCTGCAAGCGTCTCAATACATATCGAGCGCAGTCTGTCCTCTGCATTCTCGGCTACTGCCGCGATAGTCCTCACAAGTGCTCGAGAAATTTCGCGAACACCGTCCTTGACATCTAGGAAAGATCGAACGAATTTCAGGGCCTGCTCACGCTCGACATCTGCTTTGCGATCTTTGACGAGGGAGACGACTACCACGAAGTCGGTGTTCAGGCTGCGTATCTTCTTGAGAGACGCAATGTCCGAGATGGAGTAGCGAAGCATGCGATAACCGGCCGCCACGACTTCCCTGCTGCCGCTGAGCAGCATGACCTGCATACGATCTCCAAAAACAGACCACACCAAGTCGTACTTGAGTGTAGGGTACCGCTTGAAGAGATCCACCAGGTTGTTTGCGCGCCCAACATAGTATTCGGCGGGCATTCCCTCCAACTCCAAAGCTTGTAGGATCTCTGCGAGGACAAAGGTTGGGGATTCAGTTGGTTCGTCGATGTCGGACCCGGCGCCACTTCGCGATGCACTCTGGGGTGATCGCATAGCATTGTTGGGCAGAATCCCCTCGTTCCGGTTTCTGGTGGGAGTACTAGGCGCTACCTTGGTCCTCTGCGTCTCGATTATCCTCTGCCTCAGCTCCTTGATCCGGGAATTGGAGGCATTGAGCTCGGCCTCGACTCTGTGACGCTGATCCTTGGTCTGCTTTGCTTTCTTAGCATTCAAAGCCTCCAGCATGTTCTCGCTTCCCTCCTTGATCTTCATCTCCCGGTTCAGCGAATCCTTCAGCGCGGTGAGGGCATTCTCGGCCACAGAACCGTCGTCCTCCTCCAGCTTCTCCAGACCGTATATATCAGCCCTGGAACCTGCCCTCGATTGCATCATCTGGCTGCGCAGTTCGGAGCTGAAGGAGCCTGGGGCGGCCGACGGGTTGAGGGAAGAACCTCTGGTCGCATAGGATACGGCCGACGCAGACAGGTTCCGGGCTCCATTGGTGGAGGATGGGGGCTGGAGGCTGCCATCTCGGTCGAGGCTTGGTCGCGATGGGGCGACGGAGGGATTGAGCGATGCAGCAGGCTGGTTGTTCAACGACTTCTGGGCCGATGTTGCCGAGGAGCTGCTCAACATAGTGGCAACCCCGACCAGATGCCCACCAGGGACTCCAGTGTTAATGGCGGTCGCATAGATGGCTTGGGATGTTCGGTCGCAGGTGGTTCAACCTGCGCGAGCTCGGGGGAAGGGCACGCGCGATCGGTGTATGCGAGCCGTAGCTGCTCGAGGTGGAGTAATTCGTGCAAGCCCGTGGTCTCGAGACCGGCCGGGTTTCCGGGTGTCGCCTTCACAGGTAAGACGGAGGTATAAAGCGGTGTCGTTCGAGGTTCAATGTTCGATGTGCAGTTCATCACCAGGACCCAAGCCAGAGCAGGCAGACAGCATGCGACACCGGTGGAAACTGCACAGCCGGTCGGGTCGAAGGTGCCGAGTGCAACGAGAGTAGGTCAGCCACGAAGGAGGGACAGGAGGCAACGGGATGGCAGATGGATGATTGAATTGCATTTCTCGTATCCATCCTAGAGCTGCAGAGCTGCACATGCACTGAGGTCGGGTTCCAAGCTGCCAAGCTTGAATGGGTGCCAAGAACGTGCCAAGAACGTGGCGGGTGGCTTGAGCGCGCCTGGGTTTTAGGCCTGTCTCCCCCGGACAGGGGCTTGACTACAGCCTCTTCAACCGACTAACTACCATCTCGCATCTCCAAGTCCACAGTCTCGGTCTTGGGGAGGGTCTTCATTCCATACTTCATCATGGTTCACCGTCCTTTTGGAGTCAATACTATGGTTTAAACACAATACTCATTGAGGTTCAGCACATGGAGCCGCACACTCGACGAGGTGATCAGGAAGATGACACCGAGCAAGCTACCTACCTCCTTGCAATTCTGAGTATTATATCATACGAAGGAATAGACACGTCCTGAGAAGTGATTTGTCGAGTAACGTCCAAGGTAATCCCGAGTGCCGTGCTCCAGCATTTCCTTGTCCGGATTGGTGCTCTCAACCAAGGTGACTGCTCAGTTCATACACATGGTATGGACATGATCACCATTGGCATTCAAGGGCACAGTATTCCTGTGACTTTCTAATCGTTCAAATGATCATACCTCGCTCTTTGCCTAGTAGTACCGGTCAGGAGAAGTCCGGTGTTCCCTCTTCCCCAAGGCCTGCTCAGCTTGCTTCATGATCATGACCCCTATCTATCTCACAAGTCAACCACCTCGTGGCTAGGGCACACCAGGAGTCACGCCCTCTCCCATTTCAAGCTGCACCCAACCTCGCCTCAAAGAACCTACCAACTTGAGTAACGGTCCTCTGCGCCTATAAGACGAGCCAATACGACTCTTACGCTCAGTCGTCCCAGTGGTGTCTCGAACTAATACTCATCGACAGGCAAATGCTACAGCAAGTCTTCAGTAAGCGAGGTCTTGGACAGCGTGGCATGATACGTCGTATTGACTGAAAAGGACAAAGAACACCATTCCGTGTTTTGCGAAGATTCCAGGTCACGTCCCAAGAGTAAACAGCCCAGGGGTCACCGCTATCTCGGACAGACCGCACCAACATCATGGACAATGCAACCTGACCCGAATGTGCCATGTAGTCCACGTAGCCAACCAGGCTTTGTCATATTAGACTAGGCAAATATACAGGATTTCCTGCCAGTCCACGAGCCGTCACCATTTTCACCTAGACCAGGCCAGGAACCGATCCGGTTTGTAGGGCCCCCTTCCACCTCCTAAGTCCAAGATCCAAGACGACAGCCTCATGACATAGCACAAAGCACAAGTAGAACTCCCAAAAAGAGCTCTAAATCCCTGCTCCCGTTGACCCTGTACATCTGCTATAAACAGCACTTGTCAATCCCTGAGGCATCTGTGTGGGGTTCAATTAGGACAAAGGTAAAAAAATACACGCCATATCGTACACCGCCGCAATTCGAACAAGGAATCTATAATACAGTATTGTCATGGTGGTTCTGGGATCCGTAAACTAGTCCATTATTCAATGGACCAGTTTACGGATCCATAAACGTGAACCACCACGACAATGAAGGCTCGAGCTCATATTGGGGATGATATGGTTTTGACACCTAGTCCGGGTAAACTATGGGTGGGAAAGGTTGTGAATGGGTCGACAGGCTGTGAATGAGACGTGATGAGGGATATGGGATGGGAACTGTGACAAAGAGCCGAGCAGGTAAGTGAGTACACGCGGGCTGAGCCGCCACATATGATTATATATCAAGTCTCACATATCGAGCCTAGTCAACACATGAGTTAACCTACACAGCTCAGCCTCAATGTTACAAGACATTTCATTTATGATACTGACGTATAGTCTAGTGTCTCCCAAGCCGTTCATTGTTATGGGGACAACACTAGATCCCCAGTTCGTTCTGGCAATCTATCGGTCAATGGAAATCACAACAACGCAACTTGGGTTAGCTACCTCATCAATCTTCCCTTTTGAGTCTCTTTCGGGGACTTTCTCTCAATGACTCCTCTTGGAGGGCGGTGATGAGTTCTAGCCCAACAGTCGATGACCCCTGAAGACACATATGTAAGTTACCCAGGGCCAGGCTAGAGCGCATGAGGGGAGTAGATATATCGGATTTGACCCTCACATTACTGCATATCCAATACAAGTCACCAGTCCATTGATGTCCATGCTGAACTTTGGAAGAATTCCACCTGACTCTTCGAAGTCAATCACCAAACCATTGTTGTTAGCAACTCTTGCTGAGCCAGCAGACCGCGCCTCAAAGCACGGAACCACGAGGACGAGTAAACGTGCACTGGTTGTAAGTAGAATGGCAAATATATAATCAAGAGACGGAACTGGGTTCATGTAAGTCCATTGCCTCTTGGGTACCTACCCAGCCCCAATACCGGGCCAAGTCGAATAATCCAATCACCATCCAACCACCTGAGGCACGCCAAACGAAACCCAGCAAACAAGACCGTAATCTAATCAAGAACTGTATTCAAGCAGAGCATGAAGCAACGCTGGATAAGCAGCCAGGTAGACCAGATACCAAGCCCACGAGCGTATTGTCTGCAATCCCCATGCTGCCCCCCCCCATCACCTCGGTTACTCCGCCAAAAACCCTCAAGACTCAGTAGGTGTTGAATGGGAGCCGGAGATAGACACCGGAAGATCTCCAGTGGGGCAGAGACGCACAGGGCATCTGACCCACCAAGAAGACAGATGATCAATCTCTGCACTCAGAGCAGAACAATCAATAGAATCAATCAACATCCGTGTATTCAACAATAAGGAATGGTCTATAATAATCTCTGCTATTAATACTGATAGTTGGGTGGTCCCGCCATGCATCATTTTACAGGGCAAACCCGACTTCGCGTCATGGTATCACGGCACGACATTACCACACGATTAGAAGGTGGCCGTGTCTGACAACGGATGGACTACGAATAAGAGCGGTTTGAAATGAATTCAGTATTTTGACAAGTATACCAGACCGCGTATGACCGCCAGTAAACACCTCCTCATCCTAGATGGCCACGAAAGCCACCATTCCTAGGTCTTTGAGAATTATTGTCAGAACAATGGTATTATTACCCTTTGTATGCCTACCCACTTGTCATACAGGCTCCAGCCATTAGATATCAATTGTTTTAGCCCGTTTAAACGAGCTTACGGTCGCATAATTAGATCTCATCCGGCGTCATATAACCTATGTTTCAAAAGAGGACTTCCTTATAGCGTTTTGTGAAGCACATAACGCTGTTATGACGCCAGGAAACATTTGAGCAGGTTTTAGTACTACTGGGTTTGTTCCTTTTGACCCAGAAAGTGTCATTTTAAAGCTAGATGCTGTCGCTGTCATATGAACACCGTCGCCAGACCCCAAACTGCCACCCACTACTTAGACTTCCAAAACGCCTATCACTATTAAAAAAGCGGTAAACTAATTAGTTTATATCCAAAATTGAGTCAGAAATTACTAGGAAAGCTCACATATATCAACAATTGATGCGTTGAGCTCGTTTTTAAAGGCTACATATAGTCTTATGCACAAGGTCACTTTGGTTAATTCCCAGGTCCGCGAGCTAGAGGATGTCAATCACTTATTAAGTAAATACTAAAGAACAAAAAACAAAAAACTAATAAAAAGAGGAATACTTTCTATTAAAAATGCAGTAGGTCTTCAAGCTACAAAGGATATGTCACGGCGAGTGGCACCTAAGATGAGACAAAGCAGACGACAAGAGGGTAACCAACTCTATAAACAAAAATATTGAAGATGAAGAAAGGAAGGAAAGAGAGCTAGATACAGGTGAGAGACAGAGCCATCTAGATGAACCCCTGGCCAGGGTGTGATGTAGGGCGCAGTAGGTTGCGCTGGTGTGTACCTTCATACTGCCCTCACAGGATAGTGCTGAGCTGGCAAGACAGGAGATGGGTGAAGGTAGTCGTCATCCAAGGAGGGCAACAGCGCGTGAGCGACGTTGTGGTATTTACGGCAACACTGGCTATAATGCGCGAACTTGTACAATAGAGATAGAAACGTCTAAAAAAGAGGAATCCGATTGATTAAATTGAATTCAATGCGTTGTGATTGAGTTATTTAACATGTTGGTTGGAAGGTGGGTAAAAGTGTCCCGCTCGCTTGTGACCTATGTTAATAAAAACTTTTTTTGTTATTAAAAACCTATATAAAGGTTATTAAATTTTCAAATACTATTAATTTAATTTTTTAATTTTTTATAAAAAATAACGTAAATAGTTTTTAAAACCTTTTTTCTTATTAATTAATTAAACGATATGGTTATATATACTTCCATAACTTAATAGTATTATGTGGATTTTCTTTTAAGCGTTACTATATACGTAGTAATAGCCTTTTAAATTGTAAAAATAAGTTCTATGAAGCTTATACTTTTTAAAAGAATGAAAAATAAAGTAAGATTCTTCGTTAAAAGTTATAATTTCGAACTCTAAATGTTTTATTGAGTTAATTATAACCTTTATAATTATAATTATTTAATTTTCAAACTTTGTAAGAATACGCATATATTATATTATAAAGCGAATTGTTTTATAAAAAAC